AAATTTGATAAAATAACGTAATTGATGGAACCGGATAGAGAGCAATCATAATTTAAGTTATTTATGGTCATTATATACAATCATCTTTATTTGTTTTGAATGTGTAGTTGGGAAAATGAAATAGTTTTAGGGATTGATTTTCATTTATAATTAAAAGCAAAAAAATATCACTATGGCATATTAATTAATTTTGAATTCAAAAAATATCATTTCTTTAATTGGTTAGGAATAATTTACGGATGACAATAAACTTTTAAATTTTACATTAATGCAGAAATTTGGTTTACGGGCTTAGTTTTTTCTCTTTTTAATTACTTTATAATTTGAGGACTCATTTCTAATTTTATTAAGTTTTTTTAGAAGAGGTTTTATAAAATGACACGTAGAATTTGCAATTAAAGAATTGCTGATGATTTTGCATTAATTATTTTTTAATTTTAAAAAATCATTAATATTGTTTATGATCAAATCAATATGTAATGGTATTATTTAAGCCGATTGGATAATCTTTTCAAATCAATCAAATTTAATGTTAAATCAAATAAATATTTACCTTTTTATATGACACTTAATGAAAAAAAACCATTAATGTTGATTTTTAAAAAAGGTTTCCGTTTACTTTTTCATTTCTCCAAATATAAAATAGAAAGTTTACCACACAATTAATTGATATACTTTAATTGCGAATTGATAATAATTGTTTAACTGAGAATTTAAAGGAACCTATTGGAAAATGACACATATGATTTTGTCCTATGTGTCAACGTGACAAGAAATTTGATTTTCTCTCTCTGGTTTCTCTCTTAGTATAATACTATAGATAGATATTCTCTTTATCTCAAAATTATTGTCAAATTTAAATTTTTATTATAATTACAAGTTAAATTGAAAGTGAAGATCTAAATTGGACAATAATTTTAGTACAAAGGGAGTGTGTATTTTTTTAAATAATCAATATACTCTATTTGTCCAAAAAAAGTTATATTGAATTTTAAGATTTGTAAAAAAAAAAAAATATTCTATATGTGATATTTTGAGATTTGAGATAATATATTATCTTGGGCCAAAAAAATTATTGTATTATTTTAATTCGAGAAGTATATTTTATTTTATTTTTTCACACGAGGGAGTAAAAGTTTCCTTTATTATCTTGAGATTTGAGACACTAAATAGATATAAATATAGGCGGTGCTCGTGTGCGATTTAAATACTGAATTAGGGAATCTGGAATTGTGTTTAATCAAATCATGTAAACTTTTTTGTAGCTAGCCTCGTTATTTTTAAACCTTTTCAGCTTGCATTTTTCACTAATGAAAGGTAATGTGACTTAAAGTCATTTTGCCATTAATTGATCCCTTTTTGTTTAAAGAACTAATAAAAGTCTAGAAGTATCGTAATTGTGCTTCTAATTATATTTTCATTCCGTTTCAAATAAAACTAGCTAAAGGAACCGTGCCAAGCACGGTTGGACTTTGCAAGCTCTTGTTAACCCATTTCCCGCCAAAAATTTTTTAGTACAAAAATGTTCAATACATTAATTTTGATTTGGACTCATTAATTTTGATTTGGATAAATTAAGAAAGTATTATAAATTATTACTCATTTATACTTTGATTTGAGAGAGATTTAGAAGATTTTTTAGAATCATTTTCAAAATAATTAGTGAATGATATTATAATTGAATGTGGATACTTTTTACTCACATATTCGATTTTTTTTTTTTAAAAAGAAATAATTACAATTATTGATAATGCATTTATTGATTGATTTAAAGTAAACATGCTAGAACTACAATTTAAACCCTCCCCCTATATACACTCGTCCACAATATCGATCTTCTCATTCTCTACTTAATATAGGTTAGAGTTATATTCTTTGAGATGCACTACTTTTTTTTTGTGCCCTCTATGTTTCAATATCGTTCTTTTAATTTTATTTTTTTGTCTTGGTCGAAGTCGATACAAATGACCACCGAATACCATCGGTATGACCACTAATTCTTTTGTTTATATTGTGTAAATTTTCCTAAATATGGTTTGCAAAATCTAATTTGCAAGTTATGTTCACTTGTGTAAATTATATCAAACCATGTATTGGGATAGTGTTAGTTTTTTTTTTTTTTTATAAAAAGTGAACATAACATGCAAATTAGATTTTGCAAACCATATTTAGGAAAATTTACACAATATAAACATAACTTACAAATGATACTTTTGCAAGCCATGTTTCGAGATAATTTGCACAAGTGAACATAACTTGAAAATTGAATTTTAGAAGTCACATTTTGGGAGAATTTACACAAATTAAACATAACTTGCAAATTATGTTTTGCAAACCGTGTTTTGATATTAATTTATACAAGTGAACATAACTTGTAAATTAGATTTCATGTTTTGGGAGAATTTAGACAATTTAAACATACCTTCCCAAATTATAATTTGCAAGCCATGTTTTGATATAATTTACACAAGTGAACATAAATTGCAAATTAGATTTTGCAAGCCGCGTTTTAGAAGAATTTACACAATTTAAATATAACTTGCAAATTATATTTTGCAAGCCATGTTTTGATATAATTTACGCAAGTGAACATAACTTGCAAATTAAATTTTGCAAATCATGTTCTGGGAAAATTTACACAATATAAGAAAAAGAATTAGTGGCCATACCGATAGTATTTGGTGGTCATTTGTATCAATTTTGACTAAGACAAAGAAAAATTAAAAAAACGATATTGAAACATAGAGGGCACAAAAACAAAGTAAATTTTAAATAATATAATTCTAATTTATATTAAGAAGACAATGAGAAGAATGATATTGTGGACGAGTGTATATAGGAGGGGGGTTTAAATTTAGTCCTAACATGTTTACTTTGAATCTATCAATAAATGTATAATCAATAATTTGTAATCATTTCTTTTTTAAAAAGATCGAATATGTAAGGAAAAAGCGTCCACATTTAATCAAAATATCATTCGCTATTTTGAAATTGATTCTAAAAAATCTTCCAAATATCTCTCAAATCAAAGTATAAATGAGTAATAATTTTTGAACTTTCTTAATTTATCCAAATCAAAATTAATGAGTTCAAATCAAAATTAATGCGTTGAACATTTTTATACTAAAAGATTTTTGGCGAGAAATGGGTTAACAGGAGTTTGACATGTGTACTTTTTTCCATAAACTTATTTTGCTTTAATATAATATATATAGACAAGTGAACAAAACTTGCAAATTAGATTTTGCAAGCCATGTTTTGTGAAAATTTATACAATATAAAGAAAAGAATTAGTGGCCATATCGATGGTATTCGGTGGCCATTTGTATCGACTTCAACTTAGACAAAGAAAAATTAAAAGAAAGATACTGAAACATAGAGGGCACAGAAAAAGAGAAGTAACTTTCAAATAATATAAGTCTAATCTATATTAAGCAGAGAATGAGAATAACGATATTGTGGATGAGTGCATATAGGAGGAGGGTTTAAATAGTATCCGTGACATGTTTACTTTGAGTCAATGAATAAATGTATAATCAATAATTTGTAATCATTTCTTTTTTTAAAAAAAATCGAATATGTAACGAAAAAGCAATCATAATATCATTCACTAATTATTTTGAAATTGATTCTAAAAAATCTTCCAAATCTCTCTCAAATCAAAGTATAAAAGAGTAATAATTTGTGAACTTTCTTAATTTATCCAAATCAAAATTAATACGTTGAACATTTTGATACTAAAAGATTTTTGACGGAAAATAGTTTAACAGGAGCTTGACACGTGTACTTTTTTCCACAAACTTATTCTGATTTAATATAATATATATAGATTTCCCTTTGTTGTATTATTAATTCAAGAAACAAGGTACTTACTTTGAGATGGATGATATAAGTGGAAGTATTTGCATTCATTGAGACAATTTTAAAATGTAAACTTTCACCAATAAATTCATACCGTTGCTTTCAAAAACCAAAAAAAAAAAAAAGAAGAAGAAGAAAGGAATGCATATTGCAACGAGAGATATCAGCATAAAATATAATTCTCCAACCCTTCTCGTTTGAGAAATTATTCAGTGTAGCTACTGTACCAGGTAAGATTGTGCAGCCAGACACAGTAATAGGGGTAAAGTAGTAATTATGGGAGGAGAGAGATAATTTCTACGAGAGTTATATCATCAAAATAAGGGGTGCTAGTACTTGCTGCATTAAAAATCAGGATACAACAGATGTACCCAATAATTTTTCTTTCTCGTTTTATATATAGATGAAGAGAGATCGTTTTACGCGATCTTCTGACCCGACCTTTGATGCTGCCAGTAGAGAAATCATGACCTCAACGTCATGTGAGTTAGAGCCAAAACTAACATTGGCATATGTGTCACGGATAGATCCGATCGAGTGCCCTAATCATGAACATCAAATTTCATCTTGTCATGTATGTATTCAGTATTCTTCTGATCTTAACAATTAAGTACGAATTAAAACAAAACTTAATTCGAAAATTGTGTTTATGAATAAAACTATCGAGACTACAATGTAAAACAAAACCAAGATCAGTTCAAAGTCTTCAACAAATAAAATCACACTTGTAGTTGTCCCCCACTAAATGTGCATGTTGAAGTTGAAACATCAATTCCCAACATTTGTTCTAATCCATTGGAATTAATCATGTCTTAACAACCCACACTACTTTGGGCTGTCTATTTCCTTTTTTTGTTGTAATTGCAATGAGAGGTGGATACTGGATATGCGAAATCCAAATCAAATTAGTCAAATGTCCTTTTTTTTTTTGACAGAAAATTAGTCTATTGTTAAAATTGTATCTATCATTTCTTTTATGTTAATAAATGACAAAATCCAATTCACATATATATGGATCGAATTTCGACTATTGTCAATGTCACAAGTACTGAATCATAATGTACACATACATAGAACTCCAGTCAAGGACGTCCACCTTTCTACCACATATCATATATATATATATATATATATATATATATATATATATATATATATATATATGCTAGTTTGTATTCTTGCCGTCCCAAAATAATTTTGAGAGAGAGAGTACATGTTTTGGTAGATTAGTGCTCTTAGGCAATAACAGCCATTCGAGGATGGAAAAATGTTACGCTCTTTCCTATCTGTTGAGAAATTTGACAATTTCTAATACGTTAATTCACTTGAAAAAAAAAAAAACGTTAATTCACTGTTCATGCATTCTGAAATCCAACTGGAGATACCACGATGGGGCTCTTCACATTGTGTTTTCCTCCAACCTCAACCCAACTCAGTGAACCAAAACTAACTGTGTAATTAGTATCACCTTGATATTTTATGGTCAAATAGTAGACTTGAGTCTCCAACCTGTTTTGGAAACTCAATTCTGATGGACTTATTTCAATGATGGAACTCTTTGGAGCTACAACATTGGCTTGATATTTGGCAGCACCATTTCCAACATTTGTAACTGTTCTCTTGAAAGTTTTGGACAGCATTTTGGTATCCCCGTTCTCGTACAAGGCTATGAAAGACGGATAATTTATATCAGATGAAGGGCTGGAGCAATCATAGCTAGTTGTTCTTGTGATGGATGAGATTTGACTATGAGTAAGGTTCATAGAGCACAAGAGATTGATGTAATCTTGCAATGTCGCGTCGTAAATCAGGCCGGGATCCAATGCACTGTTCGGATTCACATGTCCCGCTCCCATGGCTAAAGGCGACGCGACGTTGTAATTTGTCCCGATATCTTTGATTGGTTTCCCGGTGTTATCCAGGGTATCTGCCGTGGTCATCATGGCGGAACGGATCGCTGATGGACTCCATTCCGGGTGCGCGCCTTTAAGAAGCGCAGCGATGCCAGAAGCGTGCGGACAAGACATGGATGTTCCGCTGAGAATGTTGAAACCGCTGAAGAAGTCTCTGTCTCCAATTGCTTCTATAGGAGCATTTGGGATCCAGGAGGCAAGGACTAATGCCCCCGGCGCGAAAATGTCGGGTTTCAAGATATTTGGGTAAACTGGTGAAGGACCCCTGGAACTGAAATCGGCCACCGCTGGAGCTGGTTTTGTACCTGTGAAAGTTTGATTGAACCGAATTGTAGCCGTGGGTTTGACATCATTCACAGCATAGTTTAAAACAGCTTCTTTGTACTTTGCAGGAATTGCAACACCTTGGAAATTGAATTCGCCTTCATCGAACATTGAGGAATCATCTGAGAAAAATATGATTCCAGGGACGGAGGAATTGGAAACAATGTATCCGTGGTAGTACATTTCGGGATCATCACAAATGACAATACCATTGGCAGCAGAGAGCAGAACACTGGAATTGCAACCAGAAAGTGTTTTGTTGTAGATAAGAGGTAAATCATCAACAATGGTTGAAACAGGGTAAATGCTCCATCCAAGTATGTCCATTCCATTTCCTAAAGTAACCGTTCCTCCGAACCAACGATCCATGTTTCCAGCTCCAACAGTCATTAGCCAGGGGAAGCCATTGTTCAATGTTCCAAGACCAGGGCCGCTATTCCCTGCGGAACTGGACACCAGAATCCCTTTCTCCATTGCTCCAAAAGAACCGATAGAGATTGGATCTTCGTAAATTGGAGGAGAAAACGGTATCGCCATGGATATAGATATTATATCAACACCATCAGCAACAGCTTGATCCATTCCTGCAAGAATATCAGATAAAGCAACTCCCTGCGAGGACCCAACTTTATACATAGCCAAACGGGCTCGGGGCGCGATCCCCCTGGCTGTTCCGGCTGCATACCCGAAAAATGAAGCTCCCTCCACATAATTTCCTCCGATGGTGGAAGAAGTATGCGTCCCGTGCCCCAAAGTGTCCCTCGTCGAATTCATGTCTATGGTAATATTAGGATGCTCAGCAATGAATCCCTTGTTGAAGTTCCGAGCTCCGATCAATTTCAGGTTACAGAGTGAAGAATTGAATTCCTGGCCTGCTTCACATGTCCCTTTCCATCTGGAAGGAATTTTCGTCATCCCGTCATCTTTGAAGCTCGGGTTCTCCGGCCAAACCCCGCTGTCAATCACCCCAACGATGACGTCTTCTCCGAAATTCGACGCCGGCCAGAGCCCTGAGTTGGGATTCAGGGAAAGGAAATCAGGGGTGTGGGTTGTGTGCATTTCAGCTGGTCTATCTCTGTAAGCTGTGAGGAAACCTGGAGACTTTTTGAGGAATTCTAGTTCTTGATCAGTTAGTAATGCACTGAAACCATGTAAGACAGTGTCGTAGGTATAGATATGAGTGTTGAATGAAGTGGATTGGATGGAATCAAGAATGGAAGAATACCATTCATGATGGCTCAGAAAAGCTTTGGGCATCACTGATTTGTCCATGTGAACAACGTAATTCGACCTCTTCGCCATTACTGAACTGAAATGACATGATGCGAGAAAAAACAATGGAAGTAGCACAAAGAAACCCAATTTTGATGTTCTTTCCATTCTTTGTTTTGGGTCACTTTTAATTTGATGCTTTGGTTTAGAGAAATCGAAATTCTTTATAGTGGTTGATCATTTTATTGCCGTCTATAGAGCTTTGTTGTTATATGCTCAGACTTGGTAAACTTTTCACACTTTGATGCTTCCACCAGAGAGAGTTGTAAATTTGAAAATTATTTGAGACGGAAGTCTTTTGTAGTTTTGGAAAAAGATGTCATAATAAAGCTACAAAACTCATGACTACTTAATTAAGTCCAACTTTACACATAATTGTTGAGTTCGTCAAGTAGTAAGAATTTTCTCTTCTCTTAGCTAGACAAATCATATGTGTTGGAACACCTATAATAGAAATTACTCGAAAATCGAATAAACTGTTAGGAGATTTTTGCCGCTTCCAGAAAAATTCACTCGAAATCAAATTAAGTTAGTTTGAAATGCATGTGCTGTGTACTTAGAGCGCCCCTTATTTTTTTGTTAAAGAAACAAATTTAGTGCAGTGTTAATGGCAATAATGGTGCTGGATAAAGGTAAAGAAATTAAGAAATTCAATGGAGAAATGATTACCTTCTAGTCATTTTGCCCCTTCTCATAATTTAAAAAAATAAAAAATAAAAATAAAAAAGATTATTGTTTTTCACACTTGTTCTTTTCATTGTAAAATTGTTTACAGCCTTATAATTCTTCTTCTTCATCTGTTTGTGGATATGGCTGCCAATTCGGCACAGTAACCTAAAAGCGTAGATAAAATTGGAACCAAAAGAATTTGGAGGGTCGCAACTTAGTTTATGTCACTTTCCATTACATTATTATCCTCCAAAGTTGAGAAGTTAATAAAAATTAGTTTAAAGTGGCAACAGAAACAAATTAGTACAAATTTTACGACAAAACTATTTAATTATTGTTGTCATCCACTAGTTTTGGACAGCATGCATTGGATGTTAACTTCATGGCCGGTCCAAAAGTTAGGCAAATAATCTAAGATTGAGAAAGATGACATGAAATATAGTCTATGATAAGGATATATCAATAATTTAAGGTGAGCACTCCCAAGATGATTGATTAAGTTTACACACATTTTGCTTCCATCTCGCAGGATCATGTTAGATAAACTTTGAACTTTATCGTTACTTTTAGTTTTAAATAGGTACCATATGATTGGTCCAAAGTTACCAATAATTACCGATTCAAGGCTGTTAAAACCCATAGTTAATCAACGACTCATTTTGGTTGATTCATTACAATTTTACATTTGGATATGATATTCAATTGTCAATGAACTCCTACTTCTAATTGTCCAGTTTAGTATATTACGCACCCGGTGTTTGAAATCATTGTTCCGACTAATCCGAATTCAAGCCGGGCAGATTCCTTTCGAGAGACAAAATTACCCCCAACAAGTTTTTTAATCATTGTTGCATGCCTTATGCCCGGGTTTGAACCCGGGTCATAGTTAAGTTGGTCGAATATTTTACCACTTGTTCTAATTTAGATTTTTATTTTCAATACAAATTTTATTTAAAGTGAGAACTTAAATATAGTTATACAATCATTTTAGGTGGAAAGGAGCATAATTCTTTTGCTGATCATGAAAGGCATAATTCTGAATTTTCTACTATCTTCTCAAACATTAACAAAGGAAGAAAGTCGGAAAGTGACACAATACTACAAGTGCACAACATTTGGACTAGGGACGACTACAACAAAATGATAGTCGTGCGAATGAGCCAAAACTAACAAGACAATAACACCTTTTGTCTACCTACTAAGCCCAGATTCTAGATCGTGGACGTCAAATTCACATTCGTCCTGCCTCATGCCCACAAAACTGTAAATTGTTGGGTTCACTTCAACAATGATATCACTTGGACTTGTCGGGGAGAGAATGTTGATGTAACAATAATTCCACATATGGACTTCATTTCGTCGTACAATTGAAATCAGTGGATGGGCTCGACCTGGGTCGTGTGGATTGGGTTTGTATTACTGTCAAGTTCATCACCAGAGTGCCCGTCATTCAGTTCTATTCATAAGGTATAAATAATCTATCATCAATATTAGTTATCTCTCTTAAACACATACTAATAAAATACTATCTCTGTCTCAAAAAAAAAAGTCCAACTCAATGTGTATTTTTTTGGGCAGTACTAAATTACCTATACTATCTCAATATAAATAGCTCCATGTTTGAAAGTTTGGTTAGTATTGATACCGTTCAAAAAAGAAAAAAAAATTTGGAAGTACACCGTAATTAAAATCTTAAAAACATCAAATGTTTAATGCATAAAATCAAGAAAAACCTTAAGAAATACTTTAGTCCTTAAAAAAATAGTTCACAATGAGTTTTGAGTTTTATACTAAAATTATACAAATATCAAAATTCAATATAAATTACTTTTTCCGAATAGATGAATTACTTTATAATAAGAACGGAAAGGCTTGGTATTTGAACACTGCACGAAGAATTTTTTATTTTACTTTTCTTTTCTTTTTTTTTTTGATATAATCAGCATCGGGAGTTCCTCTTTCTAAAACCATTACCGTTACGTGCTTACTGCTTTTAGATCAAATTTCGAGCCATCCAATCGGGTTTATTTGAGATGTTTGGGAATTGGGCAGGCGCTTTTAACTTACAATACTTGTAAGCAGTGAAGCCATGTATCAGGAGTTGGCAAGAAATTTGTAAATTTTGATAGTGATAAATACCCAACATTTTTATTTTATTTTTTTTGGTATGATTGTGTTAAATGCGGCATTTTAATAGAAGTCATAATTTCCAAAAATTACCCAACCCTGACTGCTCGTGAGAGGCCCACATGAAAAATGCAATGTAACAAAAACATCAGGTAGACCACAATGGCCGAAGAAAAGACAGAACTGTCACTTTGTAGCTCCTGTGGATCAAAACAAATGGAAAATGAAAGACATTATTAGGCATTGCCCCAAAAAAAGTTTAGAAAAGGGAACAACAGCCTGTCCCAGTGAGAAGGACCAAACCATTCATTTTGGTGATTCATGATCGACTTCCATCAAATCACCAACGGTGTAAGAAGCGTCGATCAAGCACAGTGGTCAAATAGGTAATTGAGAAAAATGTTTAAAAGTTTTTTTTTCTTTTTTTTTGGAAACAATATATTAGGATATTTCTTTTCTTTATAGATATTTGTATATGTTTGTTTCGTTTTTTTAGTGTGTATTTTTAGGTCTTTTTTGTATTGATAATATAAAAAAAGTGTATTGGAAATGTAAAAAGATATGCTGGAATGAGACAGTTATTAATATTTTAATTTAAAAAACTACTAGTACTAAATGATTTTAGGAAGAAGGAAAAGGAAAAAAGAAAAAAAGAAAGAGTTAGGAAAATGAAGGATTTGATTAAGCACGGTGGACAAGAAGCATCTCACAACTCCACCGTCCGCATAGGCAAGCATTAAAAAGGCAAGTTGCAAAAATATAGAAAATTCAACGACATCATTGTTCCTAGATTTTTCCTTAACAAGTTGATTGATGATCCAAAAAGGGGACCTCCTCTTGTTTGAGGGAAAACAAGTTGGAAGACTTCCCTTCCCTTCCCTTTGAAGTTAAAAAACTGATTGGCTCAAAACAGCCTCCTTTAGAATAATCACCCAAAAAGATTAAAAAGAAAAAATCAAATATACCCATCAAACACTTCAGATGAGATATTTGTCCTAACATGAGAAAAATTGGTATCAATTCTGCTTAGCAACTTGTCAAATTATTACACTGTGACTAAATATGTTCGGCTTCATGATAGGATGATTCAAAATGAAAATGAAAATCTTCCGTTAATTATTTTTCCGTCGAAGGAATTTGTGGGAAAAATTAAAGGAAGAAATTGTGAAATTCTCTCTCCATCTCATAACAATTATAAACATTATAAATTGTAAATTGTTTGCCCTTTTATTGTAGTTATAAGAGTGTTTAGTACTCCCTTCAATCTACAAAAAGATTAGGATAATGGTTGGTTCCTGATCATTTCATTAAAAAAGATTAGGATAACCCTAAAACACAGGTTAATTTGTCCACTTTGTTAGTGTTCATCTTGCTGCTTCATCCTCTCCACAGGTGCAAATTCAGTTGACAGTTGTTGAAAAAGAGAATTCAAAATTAAAAAAAGGTATAATTGAATTATCAAAAAGATAGCTAAAGACGCTTCCAATTATATAATATCTCCCACTTGCAAGTCTTGCTAGAAGCCTCTTCTTCCCTTTGTCTCTACTAGTAGATAGATTGCTTATACGGTGGATGCATTGATTATTATTCATACTTCATACTACCAAAAAATGCAACGTCATGAAATGAACCTTTTCTATGATCTTCTTTTCTTTTCTCCCGTCCAATTTCCCACCTCCACAACCAATCCATCCATCGGTTTTTTTGTTTATTCATTTCTCAAAATACTTGCTATGTCTCAAAAAAATAATCTAAATTTACAAATTTGTATTAAAAATAATACAAAATTCAAAACTCAATGTGGTCTATTTTTTTTTAGAACGGATATAGTAACTATATCATTGTACGTGAAATCGAAATAGTATGGGTCAACGAAAATTTTCACAACTCCCGTTTCAGAATTGAAATACTCACTCTGTATAAAAAGGTGGCAAAAATACAATAACAGGAGTAGATAAATAGGAAGCACAACTTTTGATTTTATTCCGGGAATTAAACTGAAAAAAAGAAGAAAAGAAACAAAAAGGGTTAAAAATGATAAAATCTTGAGTCACCTATACTGAGCTAAAAACTTCCACCCCCAAAGTCTACCATAATTACTCTTGGACCTATCATCAATTTCGACAAATTGTAGTGCGTAATTTTGAGGCCGTGATCTCCTACATGCGTCCCTAGTCATAGATACGAACTCCCGCTGGAATTGCTGCGTTTCGGAGTTGCCCTTGCGGTGGACCCAACATCCCGTGATCGCTTTTTAGTCGTCGGATCATCATTCCCCATCATCTTCGCCAAATCTCCACCGAACATTTCCACAAATGTCCGCTGCAGATCCTCTAAGCTCTCCTCCTTCATTTTCCCCCAAAGCAGACAAAAAAAAGGGAGAAAAAGAATACATAAAATAATCAGATTACTGTTAGGTGAAAGATTCCGTCAATAAATATCCAAATTTACCTTCCAAATCCTCTAAATTTGAAAGATGCTTACCGGTGCCCCGACATTTTTATCCATCAGGTTCATCAAATCATGTAAGAAATCACCCATCCCCTGCATTATTAGAAATAAATCGTAAATTCGAGGGGCAATTTTTAAAATATAATAATTTAAGAGCCCAAAAAGTTACTACCACTAAAATAATGAGGCGGCGTAAAAATATCTACGAATTAATTAGTATTTATTTGGGGAAACCGAAAACCGAACCGGCGTGGCCGCCGGGACCGGAATATCAACAGAAAAATCTGGGAACCAAACCTCATCTTGCTCCAGGAGATCAAGGAATCCGGCGTCATACATTGATCTCTTCTCCTCGTCGGACAGAACTGCCATCATGACCAGTTCACGACGAAGTATTGGCCGTCAATTCACCACCACAAGTACAAAATTCCAAAAAAATAATAAAAAAGAAACAAACTTTCCGAATAATTAGCCATTAGACAAGAAAATTCAACCTGAATACGCCTCTTGAATCTTCTGAAACCGCCGATTAGCTTCTCCGGCAACGGTCGGATTCTTCGTCCACCTATCCGGATGCCACCTCTTCACAATCGAAAACACAAACGAAAAAAAGTTCAAATTTTTTACTTCAATTTGTCAGTTTCAATGCTGAAAAAAGGTTAATTAAGAAGTTTCCAGTTAATTATATACCAGGGCGAGCTTGCGGTAAGCAGTGCGGATATCAGAGAAGGAGGCGTCCTTGCGAATCCCCAAAACGGAGTAGTAGCAAGAAGATCCGTTGGAACCTCCTCCTCGATCCATTAACCCGAAACCCGCTGGAAATTTTTTTAACTGACAAATCGGATCCTTAGAAAAACCCGGTTCGGTTCCGACGAGAAACAGAGGGAGGGGTTTCACCGGCACGTGGACATAAACGACGACGACGATGATGATGGAGAATTGATGAACTGGGTTCACGGGATAAATATATGGAAGAGAAAAGACGACGTAATTTTGAGGTGAAAAGAAGCATAGAGAGAAAAACAGAGATATATTGGGGGAGAAAAAATATCTAAAGGGGTGGAAAATATTTTGTTAATAAAAGGTGTTTTGAGGAATACAGAGATACATTAGAATATTGGAAAGTTCGAGAGATTCAATAACTCCATCTCAGATGAGGGGGATGAAGATATTTTTGGAGTCACGGTTGAAATTAGGCATGGAGATTGAGTTAATTACGTCTTTACCATTTAGGAATTGACACGTGCGGGTTGCGGTTCCAATGTGTCGACGTGTCAGTGCGGCGGTGATCAAACTGCTTTTTAAAGATGGCGGGAGACGGATCACTAATCGGTTTGAGTTTCAGAGTTTTGGTATGTCAAGTCACCACTTACTACTACTTTTTGTTGTTATTTTTTGACATTTCTCTGGTCATGAGGGTGACAAAAGAATACATTGGAAATCCTGGAAATTCATGTGTCAATCTAAGTTAACCGGTGGAATGGGGATGAGATCGGCTAAGGAGCTTGATCAAGCCCTACTTCCCAAGCTTGCGTGGCGCATTTACTCCAATCTTCACTCTCTTTTCGCAAGAGTGTTCAAAGCGACTTTGTTTGTTTAGTTTTTTTATGTTTTTAATAGATTAATAAAATAATAATTCTCCTATCTTAACATTATTTTTTTACATTTTCAATACACCTTTTTACATTCCCAATACAAAAAACACATAAAAACACACACTAAGAAAACAAAACAAACATACCCTAAGTATGCGAGGCAAAAAGATTTTTCGGCTTGTGATAGTAAGACTTCGTGATCTTGGGATTGGCGTAGCATCTTGCATGGGAAAGAATTATTGTGTAAAGTCTGAAGTGGAAGGTCGGCAATGGGGAAAATATTGGCATTCATGAAGAATGAATTCCTGAGGTTGACAATCCAATAAGAAGCAATCTTCTATTTCAAGGACCACTCAATTTGAAGGTGAAGGATCTCTGGGATCAGGACCATGTTTGGAGGACTCCTCTCCTAGGAGTATTGTTCCCCCAGTCAATTTATCTTTCACCAAAACTAGCTCAAAGGAGAGATGTCAAAGTTTGGGCAGCAACCTCAGATGGAACATATTCAGTGAAGAGTGGGTATTATACCGCATCAAATGCGTCTTATCCCCCTCTACCTTCAGCATTGTCAAAGGAAGCATGAAAGAAGCTATGGTCTCTTAAGCTACCTGGGAAGATATAGTGGTTTGTGTGGAGAGTTGTAAATAATGCTTTACCTTCCTATTAAAATTTGCAGCGACGTGGCATAGAGGTACAAGTGGTATGCAAAAGATGTGAAAGAAATGAAGAAGACATCCAACACATATTTCTTGATTGCCACATTGCTAGGGAGGTTTGGTTTGATTCCCTTCTAGGCCTCAACTTTAACTCATCTTCCCACAGTAGCTTCAATGCATGGTTGGAAAACCTGAAATGACTGTGTTTGAAGACTTGCAATTACCTTCTTCAAACATCAAGACACTTGCAGTTAGAGAATAGAAGAAATTTGCAAGCTCATGCTGCCATACTTCAGCCCTCAAGCCACTAAACATTACTGGAAGAGTTCATCAGTAGCAACAACTAGAAGAGTCCAGCCCCGAAGTTCAGTGCATTATCAGAACAGACGGTGCATTCAAGGAGTCACAAAATCAAGGCTCGGCTGACTGGGAGCTCATCAATAGTCATGGTAGCTTGATTGCATTAGGTGGTGAGAGTTTTCATGCTCTAAATGCTTTACAGTCAGAAACATTGGCTTGTTTGAGAGGTATACAGAAAGTGCATTGAAGACAGTTTCGTAACTGCCTACTTTAGACATACTGTTCTAGCTTAGTAGAGATGTATTATTATAGAATGGTAGTTCAGGTTCATTTAAGGGAAAAAATGTCGCTCCTACCCAAAGCTTTGCCCTCGTCGTCAATCATACCCAATTGATTTTCGGTTAGCCAACTTTACCCTAATGTTTGAAATTTTCGCCAATTTCGTCCAATCGGTCCATTTTCCGTCCAAATTAACGGATCTCCGTTAGTTGTTTAATAAAATAATAAATTTAAATACAAAAACACCCCATTAGTTTGTAAAATTTTTAAAAATAACCCCTAAAATATATAAAAATAACAAAATAGTCCCTTTTCACTTTTTTATTTCATTTTTCTCTATTTTGTTCCATTTCTCTCAACTACTTTTAATGACCATAAAAGTATATTATATGAGTTTTAAAAAAAATATTTATTTATTTTCAAACTTTACCGTTAAAGTTAATCTTTGTATAGTTGTAACACATGATTGTATTTATATAAGCATGTTAATCTTTTTAATAATATAGTTTAGCAATAAAGAGACTATTTTTCTGGTTTATTTTATTCTTCCTAACATAAAGATTAAAAACATTTAAATGAAACTAATATTCCACGTAAAATAAAATATTAGCTCAAATAAAAAATAATATATTAGTATAGTTTAGTGTATTACAATTTAACTAGAGAGACTACATGGCATAATATAATTTATAAAAATATGTTTATACTTATCAATGCGAGGATTTAACATTTTGTAATAAATATTTGAGATGTTAATATATCTAACGATAGAAGAAATCTTACTAGCTTATTTTATATGATTTTAGTTTAAAATAAATGACTGGAGGTAAGAATATGGTAATAAGTTGTTGTGATAGAAAATAGGTTTTAGATTCAAGAAAAAAACTTATGTTTGGAGGATCTTTTTTAAGGTTTTAATTATTTTATATTTTAGTTATTTTTTTATGAATTATATTAAAGCAAGTTATAATCTCTTGAGTTAAATTGTAATACACTAAAATATATTAATATTTTTTTATTTGAGCTAATATTTTATTTTTATATGGAATATTAGTTTCATTTCAATGTTTTTAATCTTTATGTTAGGAAGAATAAAATAAATCACAAAAATAGTGTCTATATTATTTTATATTTTATTTATTTATTTATGAATTATATTAATACAATTTATAGTCTCTTGAGTTAAATTTTATACTAAAATATATTAATATTTTTTTTATTTGAGGTAATATTTTATTTTTATGTGGAATATTAGTTTCATTTAAATGGTTTTAATCTTTATGTTAGGAAGAATAAAATAAATCAGAAAAATAGCGTCTTTATTGCTAAACTATATTATTAAAGAAATTAACATGCTTATATAAATACAATCATGGGTTACAACTATACAAAGATTAATTTTTACGGTAGAGTTTGAAAATAAATAAATATTTTTTTAAAAACTCATATAATAGACTTTTATAGTCATTAAAAGTAGTTGAGAAAATGAACAAAATAGAGAAAAATAAAATAAAAAAGTGAAAAGGCACTATTTTGTTATTTTTATATATATTTTAGGGATTATTTTTAAAAATTACTGGGGTATTTTTGTAAGTAAATTTATAATTTTATTAAAAAACTAACGGAGATCCGTTAATTTGGATGGAAAATGGGCCGATTGGACGAAATTGGCAAAAATTTCAAACATTAGGGTAAAGTTGGCTAATCGAAAATCTATTGAGTATGATTGAAGACGAGGGCAAAGTTTTAGGTAGGAACGATATTTTTTCCTTCATTTAAGTTACCTTTTGCAAGATATTAGGGAGGTAGATAGACAGCTAGATAGTTTTCAGTTAATTAAAGTTCCTAGATAAACAGTAAAAAGTATGAACAGGCGAGCTAGGGTTTGTTTATCTCTATTTACTCCTGTGTAATCCTTCTAATATAATGACTTACTTCCAAAAAAATAAAAGACCTTTCTCTAAGCAGATTTTGGGATCTTTTATATATTTTAGTTTTTGTTTTAGTTATTTTTAGTCTAATGTTATACGAAAATATTTTTTTGTATTGAAAAATATAAATTATTAAATTATTAACAGTAAAGAGTATAATATCAAACATGCCGAGTTTTAAAATGAGGCTATGATTTGAAACAAATTTGACATTATATATATACAGGAAATATACGCTTAGCACTTAATAAAAAGGTGAAATGTGTGATCGATACACCATACTCTAAACTATAATGCCAAGAAACACTATCATCATTTTTGGCCTAAATCTTACAAAAAACAATTTAATTCCAAATATTTTTAGGGTTTGATTGGGAATCAGATAATGATGAAGGCAAGTTTCGATAGGTCAACTAGTCAATAGTGATTTAAAGATCTGAAGACCTGCAAGACAAGAATTAACACTCCTACAAACAAGGAGTCTCAAAGTAATAAATTAAACATATCAGTTAAAAAAAAGAGTAGAAACAAACTGACTTTGAAGAGGAAAAGAAAAAACAAATTGCACTTATTTCTAGTTACAACTCACAATTCATTACATTATCTTTGTAACTTTTCTGATTCTTGTCACATGTCCATTAAGTTTCCTTGTTTTATTCTTGAACTTTGACGTTTTTAGCATTTTTATAAGTGGAATGTAGAGTGTGGTGTAATTTCATTATCGTCATATATTAAGACGTTATATATACAGGGTGACATTTCATTTGATTAAGTTTAAATGGATGGAAAAATCTATAGCAATTAGTCATTCCAAGATCGGATTTTTTGCTTCATTTAGAACAGTGATGGGCTGAGATAATGTTTTTTGTGTTGGAAAAATACGAAGAGTATTCGCAAAGGCTAAGAAAAATTAGAATAGGAAAAATCCGAGACTCGTGAAAACACGATCTCCTTAAAACAGATTTGCCCCCTCTTAAGGTGCTTGAGGATCTCGAGCAACTGTTTTCCAGGATACAACAGAAACGTAGATCCTGCTTAGCACAAAGCAACTCTACAATCAAACTGGAACTCAGAACAATTGATGAACACCGGGAAAAGAAATGAAAGAAGGCTCGAAAGAAAGCTGAGAAGAGATGGGAGGAAAGGTGTGTAAAACTTTGGAAAAGCAAAACGTAGGTTGATTAGGCCCGCGAGAGTTCGGTTCGGCATTCGTGTCCGCAGGTCGTGTGCACACATGAGTCAGGCTATTTTTGCCCCGAATCGGACCTCCATTTGCACCCCCCAGCTCGGGCGCACCCGAGCAGGAGAGATGTGGTATAAAGTCAATTTGCAAGTTAATTTTGGGCTCTCACTTATAAAGTGAGCTCCAACTCTTCCTAACACCCATGTGGGACAAAGTCCCTTAGCCTTAACTCTAATTTTTCCAACTCTTGAGAAACTTAATTCTCATTCAACTACTCATTTCCAACATTTTGCTCACTGGATTTTTTCTGAATCGGGAACTAACAATTGTCTCGAAGGAAATCTTAATGAACACAACTTAAATCAACCATTTCCCTCCAAATTTTGTATTGGGAATGAACCGCCTAACCATGGCCAAAACTTGATTGGGTTACGGTTCTTGGGGTTTTATTGTTGGGGAAATGGTTGCTGATAGGGAAAATAGATAGTGAAAAAAGATAGAAGAGCGAACATGACATTATGCGTGCAATTCACGTGATTAAAATCTTAAAATTGATAGACGATATTATATAATAATTTTTTCATTGAAACGTTTTAAATCCATTTCTTTATTTCTAGCCTTGCGACAATAAAATGTCGTCGATCGGCTTAGGCTTTTCTTATATTATGTTTAAAGGATGGAATATCAAATCCAACTCGCCATACCTTATCCACACTCTCATTAATCATTTCCTTTTTGTATTCATGAATCTTGGCAGTAAAGACGTTGCTAAAAGTGGAGTGTGGACTGGTTTCAAAATTGTTGTGTTGTGCCATGTTTAAAGGGACGGAAATGTCTAATTCAATTTGCTAGCCATTCTAACGTAGATCTTGGTTTCTCTAGACTCTAGGATAATGATTTTTGCTCATTGTACTCTTTACTGAATCAAGAAGCCAGTTGTCTCAAGGGGAATCTTAATCCAAATATATCCAATCCACAATTTTTCCTTGTTATTTTGAATTGGGAGCAAATGGGATAAAATAGACCCGCGTGCAATTCACGTGCCTGAAATTAGAACAAAAATGACTGAAATTTTAACAGATTCGACATTCGAGACAAAGAAAGGATTCTTGAAAAGTGTTTATAACACGAATTAACATTATCATTCACATTACAATTAATTATTTCCTTCTTGTATTCATGAATTTTTGACGTTAAAAGGCAATGCTATATTAGTGGGGTGTGGACGACATTTCTATATCGCCATATACCAGGTCGGTTATGAAAGATGTAGGCTTTGGTGGGGTGGCATTCTAAGGGAAGGAAGATACCTAATGCAATTAGCCATTCCGAGTTGCCTTTCCGTTTGTTTAGAAATTAGAAGGGAGGTGGTGTAAGATCATGAATCGGAAAGCAGTTGTGTCAATGGGAATATTAATCCTAACTACTTTTTCCATCTACCATTTCCCTCCTAATTTTAATATATTTTATAGGGAGTGAACCGCCTTACCCTGGTCAAACTTGCAGCAATAATTGGTCTATCTTCAAGTTTCATGCTGGGAAATTTCACACTCTTTTTTGGTATTTTACTCTAAACTCTTTTTTGGTATTATATAATGCAGATGTCAAAAGCATTGTAACATCTTTGAAGTTATTGCAGCATTATGATATGATGAAAAGAAACGTTAGAACCCAACATCTTGTGCTGTTTAGCAAGACAACTGTATCATTGTTCTCAAAGAGAAAGACATGCTGTTCAGGAACAAAGGATCACACATCTGAGAAAAACCATAGCGAATGTACAAAATTTATTCACACCTTCAGAGTTACAACTTGGTACTGACAAATCAACGAATTACTTAATGCTAATCACCTCGCCAGAATGGGGGCGAACCCAAGTACACGCGCTATATACTACATTGAGCGCTTCTTTTGTTCAGGAGAACTAGTTTAAAGAGGAAGGTTGATACTGTACAGATGCTTTCTGCTAATTCATCAACCAGATTCTGTCTAATTACAACAATCTAAACAACTCGCTCTCTGTGCGCATTCTGAGGCGAGGAAAAAAAGGACCTATTTACATTGCGATGCACCCTCAATCTAAGGAAGAACTGCTGCTGTTTTCTAGATGTGAAAAAACAGCTGCTTGAACTTGCTAACAGAAGGTAAAAAAGGATGACTATTCACTACAAGCTCGTTCCATTTCTGGAGCCAAGTGTTGAGGTGAAATGTCAAAATGGAGTATACTTGGGAGCTTTCCCATACTTCTGGCAGCGGCTTTTGATCATCCTAAATTTAACAACCGCCCTTATCTTGCACCAACTTGCTTTTGGTTTGCCATAGCCAGAGATGCGAATGCCAAAATCAGAGGAAACAAAACCAAGTGCTGGATTGTTTTTCGGATATTGGTAGTATCCATTCCCCTGCCACGGAGAAGTTGCAACCAAGAAGTTTTCACTGACTGCTAACTGCTCTGTAGATCCAAAAGACCTTAACGAGGTAGGGGTGTCCAAACCATATCCATCAGAAGGAAACTCATCATAAGAATCGCTGCTCATGAGGCCGTTGGACACGACAGAATCAAAAGTTTCAATCTGATAAGAAGTTCCTGCTGCAGTTCTGGACTGATTCCCTTCTGCTCCATAGGCATTTGCAGGTGAAACTTGCACATTGTGAGGGTTGAGGAGAATTTCATATTCATCTGTATAGAATCTAATATCAGCTAGATTCAAAGACATTTAAAACAAGGGATGAGAATTCAGGTCATTCAAGAAACTATAGTTAGTTTATGGTGCAAGCTCCAAAAAGTGCTTAGTGTAAACTATTCACTGTTGATTACGGAGTATATGATTGTTAAATTCAGTGTTGAAACAGTTGTGAAAGAAAAGATTATTCCTTCAAAAGATGACATCCATCAAAGCAAAATGAAGAGCGTCAGTTCAACTAGTTACCTCGTTCAACAGGAAAATTAACATTTTGTGGAGCCATAGGGATTATGATGGGGTTGCTGTAAGAAGAGCTCATCTGCAGACTCTGCAGCAGCATTTGGCGCAAAAGCAACGAATGTTCCTCAATGGGAACCACAAAGTTCAAATTTTTGTAGACAACTTTCTTCCACTTGTCGACCAGCAACTGTCAAGAATAAGGGAGAAACAGTTAACATCCTAGTTTTCAAAATGAGGAAAAAAATTCCAAGGATTGACACATACATCAGATATGATACAGGAACAATCCGTTGGACAATACTATCTGAACAACCACATCGATATTTATATGCAGGCTGTGAAAGGGTCCCAATACCCCTCAATTTGGCAATATTATAGCCTAATATTCCTGCCTTAGATAAGAACTTTCATCAATTACGAGCTGAATAGACCTAGAAACGTCATGAGTTCATACAGTAACTAGTCTACTAGTTAAAAAACCAATAGGAAAAAGAAAATACAATGAGTCGAACTAATTACTAAATCTGAAATATAGTAATGATGTTTCAAGCCAGGGAATCATTCGGTTTAAGGTTTCATCGGTTAAAAGGCTTATTTATACCAGGAACTACCTAGATTCCAGGGTAGCATCAACAATTCTCAGTTAAATTTCATTTTCAAAGAAAAACAAATATAAGGACGATCAGTATCACAAACCTTCTGAGACATGCTGAGCATATTCAATGACAGGTAATGATCCCCGTCAAAAATCACTCCATCAACTTCATAGATGGAATTGAGAACCAGCACGGTCCCATCTGGAGCGTTAAACTGATAGAGATCATTCTCATCCAACAGACAAGCGGTAGCGTGCCTGATAATTGTGTTCCATGTCTTGTCTGAGGTCTTTTTACCAAGTATCTGCATAATGATTTATTGGAGTTAATACTCTAATGAAATGTTATCCACTTAAAAGTACAGGTAATAGGTAGTTAATGAAGAAAACTTAGAATCAAGAGGATAGTTTTCTTACATGGCGAAGGGTGGCTGGATCAGTCACATATAAGCGTAAGAAGCCTTTGACATCAAAGATGCCAGAGTCAGTCAGCCGGTTGTGGGATGCTCCGTCTTTGGCTATCTTTTTCAAGCGCCAGACTTCATCACCCGATGAGGGCCGATCGTGTTTCTTGTATGCTAAACGAACACAAAAAGATAAAAATTAGTCTACAAACCTCATTAACTAACTGAACACACGATTCCAAATTCTAAATACAGATGAACTTACACTCGCCACGATGATCCTTCACTTTGAAGACATTGGTAACTCCTTCCCTGATCATGTTTGGATCAGAGGTGGTTGCACCCAGTCTGAACTTGCCACTCCTCGTCCAGCTACTGTTGTCGGTAAAGCTAACATCTTCAACATAACCAATCCCCTCCTTGAGAGCTAACACCAATGTCCCAGTGACCAGTGGCCTTTTGCCTTCTCTTTGCTGCACTGTTCGATTGTGAAACTCTTGAGGAGGCCAATCATCGCGATCATCCTTGTTAAAATCGCCATCAAGCACACGAAGGGTGACCTTTGCAGTGGAATGAGGTCCGGATCTTATTAATTTCCGGGTCATAGCATCGCGCAACACAACTTTAATGGTTGCTCGATCCTCCGTTTCCACTTTGCAGCCAGTGAACAGCGTGTTGGGCAATCTACCCTCAAAATGCAACTGCAAGCTCCGTGAGCCAACGCCAACATCAATCTGATTATGCGAATCCCTAAAGTAAACATTTAAGATGGTTTAGCTACAACTTTGTACCCTACACATAGCTAAATCCACGTATGACATCTTAATAACAGAAAGAGGAACAAAATGAATAGAATCACACAAGTCCCCAGTGACTCAAATATCAAGAAATCCTTAACAGAAACTAGAAACAAAGTAAAGTCTCAATTGCTTAGGATGCTATAAGATGCTTAAAACAAACAGACATTATGCCAAAAAAAAAAGCCTAATCTTTGCAAGGACCAACCTGATGAGGTATGAGCAGAACACACGATTAATCTCCTCCCGCACCTGTTGAAAAATCATAAAAACAAATAAGAACTGGTGAAAAGGTAGCTGACTAATGATGACTATAAACAAAACCCCCAAAATTCCCAAAAAGCACATCAGAACAACATCAGTACAACCACAACCCATATGATTGCAGCTTACAGACAAAAGGAATTAACCCAAAAAAAAAAAAAAATCAAATTCTTTGTCTTAAACATACTTTGGCTACATAGCACCAATTCAAAAGTTCAAAAGAGCTTTCTTGATGAAAAAGAAGGAACAGAGACGTTACCACATTGCGAAGATAAGGTTCCAACGTTCTGCCTAATTCTTGCTGCGAAATTCTGCTCACATCTCTGGAAACACAAAAATAAAAAAAGGCAGAAAAGATTCAATATGGGAAACAAGAAGCTTTTATCAAAATTACAGAACTGAATCTGAAACCTTAAAACAGCCCTACCTAATAAAAGAATTTGGGCGTTTAGAACGGTTTGAATAATCAGACCCTTCCTCTCCCCCACCTCTAGACCGTCGTTTCTCTACCATCAAAATACTCAATCTAATTCGATAAGGAATTGAGAAGGAAAAATAATAAAAAACCCCAATTAAGATGGCAATCAAGCTTGAAAATCTAAATGTTGGGTAACACCAAACGGCCAACTGTCAGTCTTATATATAATTGTGAAGAATCAGAGTATAATTCCCCAAAGGAAACTACGTACGAAGGTTCGATTTAAGGATTAAACAACGCGGGGGATGATACTAAAAGTCAAGCTTAGCTCTGATCACTAAGAAGATTCACAAAGCGAAATAAAAAGAACCCATTTTTTAAAATTTCTTTTTGGTCATCATCATCTTTAGTACACGTAACTGATACAAGAACAACATTCTCAGTGTAGTTAATAAATCTGGCATTTTCTTTTTTTCTTTATTTCTGCATACTCAGCAGGCAGCAGCAGCAGCAGAGCACACAATTGCGTGTAGACGATGTGTTAAAACCATTTTGCATTTTGCATTTCTCCAGATTTTTAACTTCATCGTTTTCTCATTACCACATTGAATTCAACATAGAAAGTATGGCACAATTTCCTGGGTTCATAATTCAATTGTCACATTAATAAAACTCAGATTAAAGCACACCAGCGGGCACACACTAGTGTGTGTAGCAGTTGTTTTTGTATCATTTGACTAATCCAAGCAGGCCATTAGAATCCAAATCAAAAAAGTTGGAATTTTTTGTGTGAAATGATATGAGTCCTAATTGTATCCGAATTCTACCAAACCCATATGAGTAACGCGTTTCCAATTTAGAAATGTACTATGGGAGTACAAATGTTGTCCGTGTTGAGGTTTGCAGTTTCAACGTTTGGGATAATTTTTGTTTTCAAGCTTGAGTGTGACAAAATTCATACATATTTGGCATCGAAAAACAAACATTACAGTGAAATTAAAATCTTAAAAACAACGCGGGGGGTGGGGGGAATGATAGGGACTGGAAGCAATCTTTTCGAAGAAACTAGCAGGAAGCATCCTACTGAGTTTAAGAAGAAAAAAAAAAATTTGTTTGAAAACTCGATAAAGATTTTGAGGATGAAGAACACGCTTTTAAGTTGATTTCAGAGACTTATTTGTTATTAGTACGACTTACGGCTGTTTTTAAAGTCTTGTTACTCAAAGTCTCTTTTTTAGTATAAAGTCGTCTGTTTGTGAATAAAATAATTGTTTTGTTGAAGTATCTATTTTGTTTGGTGGCCCTTGGCAAGTCCAAATTATACGATACTTTTAGAAGCTTTTGGTGTGACAAACTCTAGATTTGATTCTTTGGGTGACTGTGTTTTGGTAGTGACTGATTGTTAGTTTATTTGATGTCAATATCGACCAAGCCCAAAAAAAAAAAAAAAAGGCTAAATACGATTTGATTCCTGTTTTGAATAATGATGATGATTCTTGTTTTCCTTGGCTTTGGTTTTCTTGTTTGGTATAAAAGGACATTGGTCTTGGGATGATGCATGGGATGGTAATTATCATACCAAAAAAGGTTTTACCGTTTTAGAAGATTTCGATATTTGAAATTTTTTTGCTAAGAAAACCAAGGATTTATGCATTATGTAACACTGTTTCATTACATTTATTTATGTTGGTATCTATTTGAGTAATATATTCTTAATTTCGAAAATAAAATGACTACTGAGGCTATAACTTTGTACTATATTATTAACAACTTTTAACTTGACAGAATTTTTATTTATTTTATATTCAATGGACTAGGTAAAAACACAACACTAAACTATCATACTCAAACACTGTTTAATTCTTTCTAATGGATCATTATGAAAATCTCCTAGATCCATTGACACCAAAGAACCCCGAACTACAATAAAATTTGCTTCATATTAAACACGCCTTATAAATTTCGGTACGAAGAAAACTAATATGCTATGTGTACTTAGTATAACATGATCGCAAAATGATCAGCTTTTGTCACTTAGATATGACTTGGCGTCGAGAAAGGATAAGTAATCAGGTGACACTTTGGGTTTAACTTGCACTTCATGACTTTTACTAGTCCATCATATATCATCTTTTACCATGGTGATTTTTTATTTTTTTATTTTGGGTTGAAAAATGATAATTTAATGATAATTTGATGTAAGACTTCCGTAATTTTATTTATCACTTATCATCTGGAGGTTTTACTCGTGGATCCTTTACAGCCCCACGAGATTCACCAAAAAAATAAAACAAGATGGAGGTTTTATTTTAATTCTTAAAAATTGTTACTGCCTCCTGTGTTCTAAAATAATTATCTTCTATAAATTATATATTACTAACAAAGACAATTATTTTGAGACGAGTATTACTTTATTTCAGCGGCAGAAATACCTGGAAACATCCTCAGGATATTAACAACCCTGTGGATTTTCTTTGTTGAGTGTTAAAAGTCTTTTTCTAACCAGTTTTATTATCATCACCCCATGTTAATAAGAAATCATACACAAGTGACAAAAGCAGTACTCATTTACCATAATTTTACTATCAACGTTAATAACTAAAAGTTACTAGTAATTAACATGTTCTAGTATTGTTTTCTTTTTAGGGGAATATTAGCATTATTTGGTTAGGGGACACAAGGATATTCTTTTATTAATTAACCTACGTCAAAAACCTTAAACATGACGATCACAAATGACGTTAGAATTCTTGCGTGTCCTCTTTTAGCACGCCGACATTAATTTGGTGCAAAAATCAAAGTGAAGGAAGTACCACGGAAATTTCTCACACAGTACGAACTCTCCAACCAAAATTTCCTTGAAACTGGAAGGCAGAAATTTGTCGGAAAAGGAAAAGAAAGTTCAATGTTTTTCAACAAATTCACGTATGTAAAATACTAATAACCACCGGGAGATATGGATGTTGGGTCAGAAGACGGGGGTTTAATCACGCTCTTCGCGTCAGTCAAATAAATTACTTCCTCCGTCTCAAAAAAAAATTGACCACATTAAATTTTAAATTTTATAATATTTTAAGTACGAATTTGAAAATTCAATGTGAATTATTTTTTTGAAACGGAAGTAGTAATATTTGTCGTTTGATTAACACATTATAAAAAACTGATGTATTAAAATGGAACAGAAGGAGTAGCTGATGTTTTGGGATTGAACTCCTACTTAATATGCAAACGGCTGGGAATGGTCAACGTCTTCATGATTAACTTATATATTGGTTGGTTTAGAATGGTCCTTCAGGTACCAATTGATTAGTTTGAAAAGTTAATGATCAAGTTCTTCAAACTCTCAATAAACCCACTATCAAAATCAGAATGTTCTTTAAACTCATCCAATCAGAACGTTCATGAATATCATCCAAACATAGTTGGGTAATACATTCCCTAGCTTTGCACTTATATACGCATTCCGTGGTTATAATTTGAAAGTATATAATTAGCTTTAACTGTTGTAGTTTTTCTAACTTTTGCTAAAATTGTGTATTTGACTAGATATTGCAATAACATTTGGGGTAAAAAGAAAAAATGCCACCTGAGTTCGTGAGGCGATGATGTGAATGCGGGCTAGTATATATACCTTTTTTTTTCGGCGAATTTTTGAAGGGGTGGACGTTGGTGAAATACATTGTGTGACAGAGATTATGAAGGTAGTCAGGGGTATTAAAGGAGCTTCTCAATATGAGAAGTCCATGCGTGGAGCTTGTGTCGGGTGGTGGGAGGAAAGGTGGATCTACTGGATCCCGCCGCCGGTTGACTGGGTGAAGGTGAATTCTGACGGCAGCGTTGATCCATCCATAGGAGTTGGCTTTGCAGGTGGAGTTGTTCGGGATTGCCATGGTAGATGGTTGGGGGATTTTATGATGAAGGTCGGGTTTTGTACCATTACTGGTGCGGAGCTTTGGAGTTTATTCCAAGCCCTAGTACTAGCATGGGATCTTGGTTATAAGAAGGTGAAGGCGGAAGTGGATAGCTCAAGTGTTGTGCTGATGGTGAAGGGTGACGAGGAAGTATTAGGTATTCATTCGAAGATTGTAAGCGGGATTCGGGAAGTACTACATCGTGATTGGATTGTAGAATTTGACCATGTTTATCGGGAGGCGAATTTCGTGGCCGATTATTTAGCTTCTTTAGCAGTTTCGGGCCCGGTTGGTCTGCAAAGATTAGTGTCACCTCCGTTAGGTGCCAGGCCTTGGCTGCAACATGATGTACTAGGGGTGGCCCCGGAATGTAAGAATCTAGTATATATACCTTTGAGCAAATGGTAAAATGGTGTGATTGAAATGGTTATGAGTTAAAAATGTGTACTTATTCTGTCCCAAAATTATTGTTCAATTTGAAATTTCACTTTTAGTATAATTTGAATTAGAAATAAAATCTCAAACTGGATAATAATTATGGGACGGAGGGAGTATTAATTAGGAATAGAGAAAAGGGGGTGAAAAAAACAAACAAGTTATATAATGAAGAATTATTATGTGTAATTGGAATGGATCAAAACACACAAAATCTAGAACCTCTTGCTAGTTGCCTCATTACCGTATTTTAACTTCGTTTGAAGAGAAAAAGCGAACACACAATTCAAATTCATCTCATTAATATTGGAAAAATTTGAACAAATGCGGTCGAATTCAAAGTACCAAGAGAGCCAACGAACGAACCCTAATGTTACAACCTTTGGCCCAAAAGTATGAAAAGTAAAACATATTATATAGTCTACCATGCGACTATTGAAGATTGGTAGGAAGAATTCACAAGAATTTAGTCAAAAAAAGGAAGAAAGAAAAAAAGAGTTTGTGTTGCATGTCAAGAAATCAATAAGTTTGAAAATGAAAATTTTGCGGTCCAACTTTATGGAACATTAATACCATAATTTTCCAACTACTTCGAAATAAATTTTGATGGAACCTAGATTGCAAGTTCATTAAAGAGACTGTTGAATTAAGTGTGAAGAAAAAAGAAAAAGATGGAAAAACCGATGTAGGAATCGAAATAAACACATAAAACTACTATTTCAAATGACAAAATATGTAAATTCATTTTCCCAGTGAGCCAAATTGAAACTCTCACTTATGTGTTCTCGGGTCTTATTTATTTATAAATCATAAATTTAAACCATATTGTTACATAGACCGGATAGAGTATCTTATATATATGGTGAATCGTGAATTTACAGGACAACAGTCAGATTGAAGGTAGTTTCTCCTGATGATCTCAAAATATCGATACGAGAGTGTAAATCTTCATCGCAAGAAATCAGAATCCGAAATCCATCTTCGTCCTGATATTTGACTTTGATCCTCTCATTTTCCAATTTGAAACTTTTATCCAATTCTCTATGCAATTAATCTTCAATCCCCGAGTTAATTAATTAGCAACCTAAACTTCACAGTATCATCCTAAACTTAATAAACACGTAGCTGCGATCCATATCATTATTACTCGTGGTTGCAATTCTATTACCCTGTGCATTTGCGTAAACAGAACTCGTAGGTGGTGGTGTTTGAAGACTCAGAGTTTGACTGAATTCGAGCTACTCTGTTGTTCTTGAGTGACGACCAACTCCCAATACCAAAACCTCGACATTTGCGCTTCAGAGTAGATTTACTAACTGCGAATCAAGTGAGCAAAACTGTTGTTAACTAGGACGGCAATAAGTATAAGACTTACTTCCGATTCTATTTTAATAGTCGACTTTGCTAAACTAAAACAGTACGAGTAAGTGGACTTATATATTCCTTCGGATCCTTAATAAAAGTATTTTTTATTTGTCTTATATTTCACCTAATATGTATCTTTAATCGGAAAAAATCTTAAAAATATATTTTCATATTAGTTGTGATCTCTTAATTGTTAAGAAAAATTTTTAAGTTTTTTGGTCAATAAAAAATGTGTATTAAGTGAAATTTAGGACAAATCAAAATGTCTTATATCAAGAACCGGAGGGAATATTAAAAAAAGAACGCGGACGGAGTTAGAAAAAAAAAAAAAAAGGTTTTGAGATGATTACGACCTCTTAGTTCCTTTGCAGCATCTTCAATCTTTTTGTGGCCGACTCTAATTATTATTATCTTCGAAAGTAATTTCAACTTGTCCACCTGTTCCAGGTCCTCTTGATGTCTCAACCCTGTTCGGTGCAATGGGATGATCACTTTCTTCCAACGTTCCTGAAGGATCTGATGACGGAAATTGCTGCTCTTCTCTTTCATTCCCTAGGAAATCAAGGCTCATGATATCCGATTCGCCATTTCTCGGAGCTTCTGTGAGAGTTTCCATGAGTACATCATTGGGATTATTATCATTATAAATTGGTTGCTGATCAGCTCCAACTCCGGAGGCTGATGCCATTAGTACTGATTATCATTATAAATTGGTTGCTGATCGTTCACAATGAGATAATTCGGCGTAGAATTTCGCGTTGCGCTTAAATTTTTAAACACATCATTCTGTTTCGAAAGTCGTTTATCCAATGCGGAACATAACGATTGCAACAGAGTCTCCAGAGTTCCACCAGAGTGCTGATGAGTTGGAAGAAAAGCTTCTAACATCAAAGGAGAAAGCCTGGGATGAATTAACCTCAGAGCATAATCTCCAGAGAGGCTGAACTGTATCACATCTTTAGAAAAACAAGCTTTCTTCTTCGAATATGATTTTCCCACCAAACCTTTACCATTTTAGATGCAATGCATACCATTTGATGATTTAAACAGGATGTAATCCCAATAGTACTTGAGTACAACACCGCCTAAATAAGTGAACTCGGAAAACTGATCAGCATTGTCATCAGGCACAGTAGAAACTCCTCCTGAAGAGTTACACAAACAGGGAATCCAAACCTTAATTAGAGGTATTTGGTGTTTTTCCCTCACAAACCTCAGCAGGCCATACATGTCGACATCTGAATGAAACGCAGCCTTTCGACGAATCAGGGATGGAAAATACAGGGAATTCCTGATATTGTACTAAAACAATGAAGCATTTATGCATGGAAATTGGGAAAGAGGTTAATTTATACATCCAAGCAAGTCATACAAGTACCTCAAAATTGTGTCATGATTTTGTTCATCGTCTTCAAAATTTTCCTTAACAAAAGAACAAAGAGAATTTAATGGTGTGTTATGTTGGAAATCTATTTCAAGAATAGCGGACAACAATGGCTGCACTAGATCAAAGAACAAGAAGAAGAATTTATGATTATGACAAAAGAAAGTTTTGTCTCCAAGTCACGAGTAAACTTGCTTTCCTTTAGGCTAAATTCGTCCACTATATAGTGAAATTGTCTAGGCGAATTCCCTATAAGATAAAATGGAGATCATGTTGTTTTACTATGCACTTTAGTGAACCAACAACCTGATACAAGGATAAGAAATGTCACTGGAAATATTCCAATTATTTAGTGATTTCATTATACACTAAAAGCATCCAAATGATCCATATTTATAGAGCTAGAGAAAACTCTTGAGGATTAGACTTAACCCTTGGTTATGGTCCTAGACATAACTTTTCGTTAATGTCTTTTCATATGGAGTCCATAGGCACAACCTATTAGTTGTGTCTCTACAAATTAACTGTGTCCCTACATTATATTGAAAATAACTCCAACAATCCCCCGCCATTTTTAATATATTGAAAATAATTTTTAAATGGATCCAGAATAATTCCAGCAAAACCTATGCATAAAATAATGGTGTCGTTAGACTTGAACCACTATCTTAGTGTCGGTTTCATAACTTGTAGTACAACCCGGTAGACTAGCTTTGAACCGTGCGTACATGTTACAAGCCACTATTGTCAACACACATATGTTTCTTTCTCCTCAACTTGCCTGCACCTTACCAGTGTGTATGGTACGTAAAGTCTTGTACCCATATCTCTTCATGAATGTTAACAAAGCCAAGTTCCAACCTTTGTGGATGCCCAGTCCGACATTCATATGGGCAAACTTCTTAACAGTCCCGCCATTTTAACATTTACAAGAGTTTGTTAAGAGTCAATTCTCAACCTGATACCCAGCGGGAAATATGTAGCACTAACTACTTTGGGATAAATATTGTAGTGCTCAATTACTTGTACATTGTATTATCACTCATTGAATTCAAGACTAGAGTATTTACTACCGTTGAATTGAGGTTCCAATACAAGTAATTATTTCTAGACTTTACACATATCCCTTTAAGTCATTCAGTCTTAAGATCTAATGTCTTTCTATATTTAGTCCTTACTTATGAGTTTGTTAACTCAAATTTTAAGGATCATCTCTTCACACGAGTCTATTGACTCAAATCTTGTTAAGAATTTTAATTCTTAACCTGAGTTCATTAACTCATCTTGTCATCACAATTTAAATAATAATGCATGTAAACTGTTAATTAATATGATCATATTTAGGAAATTGAAGAACCAGTCTGTTCTTTCAAATTTCACAATCAACCCAACAATGAAATCATCTTCCCTAATATGAAGTTTTGAAATCACCATGTCACGATTTATTTTTTCATATTCCTGAAAAAATTAACTCCATTTCTCTTGTTACAAGCATTTTATACTTGAACTCTTAGTGTCATTCTTTGTTACAATATGGTAGCTATCCTAATACCTGATTCATTGTTATTTTAGCTGATATGATTTCGAACATGGACTTGATGCTTTGTCCATTTTCCACAATGTGGACTTAAGTCAAGGATCATTCTCCTTTTTAACTTTAATAGAGAATTTTTCATTCTCTTCAAACTCTTTTATTATATATAAAGAGTTCCAAGTTTCCAAACATATAATCTCCTTTTTTCTTTGAGATTTCATGAAAACTTTAAAGTATTGACATAAACAACTCAAACATATAGTAAAACATGATTTTCAAATCATATATTAACACATATGATATAAATTCATAACTATACCGCTATTGTCATACTATGTATCACATGAAATTATCATATAAATTGCAAATTCATTTATGCAATTAAATATTCCATGTAACAAACACAAATACACGAAATTAGTATTTTATTGGGATCAAAGCTCTTTATTTGATTAACCCAAAATCAAATAAATAATATGTTATGCACTCATAAAAATTCTGCACACAAGAATTTATTTTATTTTATTTTGATTTTCTTAGGTTTTGGTCATTGACTTTTCTGTCGACTTTATCCAGGCGACGACTAAGTCGACGAGGCCAAACAACCAAACATTTTAACTAATCAAACATTTCCATTTCAAAACATGATAAAAACATGACCAAATTCTCTATCAAATCTTTTATGACATACATTTTCTTAATTAATCATCACATTAATTAAGTATTTTATTTTGATAAAAATCACACAATTGGGCAATCAACAAATAATGCATACTAAATTTCTTTTACATGCAAAAGTTCATGAATTCTACAACCATGTTCCACTCAGGCATAAATCTCATCACTACGTTCATGTATTTATTAAATATATACATACCTTGAACTTGGAATGTCACAATTCACAAGTAAAATATAGTTCTTACTTTGATGATAAGGTCCATTGTATCCTATCATTGCCCTTTCCATTAAATTCAATAATCTGCAACATTTTTACCAACGAAAATGTCCTTGCTTGATTCTTCAAGTACTAGCCATTGTTTAACAGGAAAACTTAGCCTAAAGATTGTTGGAAATCTACTTCAAGAATAGTGGACAACAATGGCTGCACTAAATCAAAGAACAAGAGGAAGAATTTATGATTAGGACAAAAGAAAATTTTGTATCCAAGTCACAGGTAAACTTGTTTTCCTTTAGGCTAAATTCGCCCACTATACAGTACAATTGTCTAGGCGAATTCCCTATGAGATAAAATGAAGATCATGTTGTTTCACTATACACTTTAGTGAACCAACAACCTGATACAAGGATAAGAAATATCATTGGAAATATTCCAAGTATTTGGTGATTTCATTATACACTTAAAGCATCCAAATGATCCATATTTATAGAGTTAGAGAAAACTCTTGAGGATTAGATGTAACCCCTGGTTATGGTCCTAGATATAACTTTTCGTTAATGTCTTTTCATATGTAGTCCATAGGCACAACCTATTAGTTGTGTCTCTACAATATATTGAAAATACCCAATAGGCACAACATATTAATTGTGTCCCTACAATATATTAAAAATAACTCCAACATGTTATAACTAGAAATATCTGATTATCTGAGTTTGAGCATACTAACAGACACATGCTCAGAAAATATTCTTTAATTTTAGATGATTTCGAAAAATATTCTTACTCCTGACGAAAAATTATCAGTACCATATTCAAAATTAGCATTTTTTTAAAAAAACTATCAGGTTCTATTTGGTTACATACTATTGGGGTTAAGAATTGGAATTAGAGAGTCTTAATTTCAATTTAGCTGGTTGGTTGGATAAAAATGAGATAACAAAATTACAATTATAATCTCAAAAAGTATCCAATTTCATGTTTTCAATACTTTGGTTGGAACTAATATTTACAGTTCCAATTCTTGGTCTTAAATGATTTAAAATTACTTTTTTCATTTATAGGAGATACACTTATTTAAATAGGTGGACTTTCTATAATAATCTATTATATTTTATTATAATTCTCATTTTTAAAAGATTGAAATTAAAATAGGATTATGGAAAACGAAATTATAAGATAGTCCAAGAGAATACTTTTGTTGGATACTTCAACATACGACAATGGTTTGTTTTGAAGATTGAAATTACAATGGGATCTTTAACAAAATTTTAATTGTTGCGATTGTGAAGATAATTTATAGTTTGAAATAGAATTTATTAATGGTATCTTTAAAAGAACGTTAAGAGTATGTTTGGTAATAAAATAATTAAAATTTATTTCTTAATTTATAAATAAAATAAAAAAAATCAGAATTTCCACAACAATATTTTACTTTACTTTCCTCATATTTAAAATTCAAGAAGTGTTAACTTTACTTTCTCCACACTTTCCTAAAAACTAAATAAGAGTAATTACAAAGTCAAATGATGTTAGAAAAAGTCTCAATGACGATTCTAAGAAAGGAGTAATACGGAAAAGCGAGGGTTTTACTTTCCTAATAAAATAGTAACGAATTGTTTCTTGCACCATCTAGCTCGGTCAATTTATTACTAACTGTTATTAATAAATTCAGTAATGCCTAATCTTGGGACCATTAACTAGTTTTTTGTGATTGATATATGAGGCTTATGAGCCTTCTGCATTTTGGAGAACGTGGTGTCGGAAGGACATGCATATTGCCCAGGAGGACGAGAGAAACCAAACTTAGCTAAATAATTGGTGATAAACAAATGCATTTCAGTTTACCTTTTTATTATTCTGTGAAATCTTTTAGCAAATCTGTGCATTCGTATTAGTAGATTAATTTGATAAAAGTCATTCTCTGTCGGTCTTATTTGAATCTCAAATTTGTTATATTATTTTAATTTTAAAAAATGTATTATTAGTATAAGCTTTATGGAGTAAAACATTAAAATCGTACATGTGAAAGTTTCAAAAAGAGGGATATGCGGCTTGAGGTTGGTCGAGCACTTATATTTAGAAGTCTTTTTATGTGGAATCGGCCTAACACATTATTAGTTCCCGGTTTCCGTTATCATATTTCATTGTCTAAATAAGTTTTTCTTTTCTTTTTTTCTTCTGAAAGTACTGTAATACCAAAATATAATCCCATTTTGTTTTTCAGATCTAATAATTCAAAACGTTAAATTAACTCCTTCCAAGATCAACAGTCCAAACTGAGCATAAAAATATATACACGAAGTCACGATCGAACCCATACTTTAAGGGTATATGAGTTCTGTTTAGTGAGACTATGTACAAGGCATTATATATAGTCACCTTCTTTTGAATATCCAGCAAAGTGAAGTTGCATAATATTTGCGCATGCACGTTGTTAGTACTTGTTACAATTATGAATTACCGGTTGAAGACACGAAATGCATGGGCATTCATCGAGTCAATCGAACGACAAGTATATATATTCCATCTTTTTCAAAAAAAAAAAAAATAGTTAAAATTGTAATTTTTGAATCGTATTAAAAATAATACAAATCACATATTATAACATGAACTATTTTTTTTAAATAAGACGAAAGATTACATATGCCAAGCAATGTTTGTATCAATTGATTATCTTTTATATGTTGTAAAATATTTGTGGTTGATCTCTCTTTATATGCCTATATGCCTATAGCGTGGATTTCGGACATCGGCTATCGCGTCTTCTTTTCCTATTTTTCTTAAGATAAATAAGCTCCAACTTGTACTTTCTATAACAACCGTAATCAAGTTGTGTCAAATCAAGAAAAACTTCCTACTACACTACTTGCATGCAGAGCTGCAGCCATTCAGATCATAGCTGAACAAGTCCCTTTGTAGTTTGTACGTTAATAGAGAGACCCTATCAACTCTCAACTTGTACAAGTTACATAATTATTAACATCAACCGAGTAAAGTTTTTTTTTTCCCATTTTTTATTATCAAACGCTCTGTCGAGTGGAAATATAAATATACCTTAGTAATGAATAGGAAAAATTAGTGCTCATACCCAAAGCTTTAGGCCTATCGTCAATTCTACCCTATTAATTTTTGGTTAGCTAATTTTATCCTTAATGTTTGAAATTTTTGTCAATTCCACCCAACTAGCCTAATTTTCGTTAAACTTAACGGATTTCCGTTAATTTTTAACCAAAAATACCCCAAAAGTTTCGGAAAATTGTAAAAATAATCCTAAAAATACAAAAATAACAAAATAGTCCCTTTTTATTATTTTTTTCTATTTCATTTTATTTCTCTTTATTACTTTTCATAACCATCAAAATATACTATATGATCTTTAAGAAAATAATTATTTATTTTCAAAATCTATTGGGCGAGTATAGTACAAGTCATATGATTATTTTGTTCTTTGTAATAAAAATAATACAGGTCAGGTAGTATAATTTAGTAATATTTTGCTAAAAAATATACGCCGTTATCTTTTTCATGAAATTCAATAATTGCTTATGTAGTTTAGCAACCGGCAATCGACAAGAAAAAAATTATTAAAAAAGAATAAAAATAGTGTTAACCAAATTTACAGAAATGCATCATTGTGGACTAATTAAATTATCAACTTCTCATGTTTCAAATAATTGTCTAATTTTTATATTATTTTTATTACAACAAAAAAAATAATTATTTTAAGCTAGATCAAGTAAAATTTATGTTTCATAACTCACCTATGAATTAGAGGAAGTCAATAAGGAAAAACTTGTCTTCGTAGATTTTTTTTAAAGATTTTTTTATTTTTGTTTAGAATGATAAAATATTAATTTTCATGTTTATTTCAACTTGATTTTTTCTTCCTCATTTTTTTTATGTTAATTTTTTTATAATCTATGAAATAAAAAGGTAAATTAATTATTGAAATTTAATAATTATACTAGTATCAATATACACAAGTCAGGAAATATAAGAAAAATAATCTCAAAAAATAACGAATAAAAAATAAAATTATAAATTATAAAATTCAAAATGACAAAATTACTCCTCAACCAAAATCACAAAATGTTGCACATGAAAAATAAATTTTGAAAATAACTCATTATTTTTTCAAAGATCATATAGTATATTTTGATGGTTATGAAAAATAATAAAGAGAAACTAAATGAAATAGAAAAAAATGAACTAAAAAGGACTATTTTGTTATTTTTATATTTTTAGGATTATTTTTATAATTTTCTGAAACTATCGGAGTATTTTTGGTTAAAAACTAACGGGAATCCGTTAAGTTTCACGAAAATTTGGCCAATTAGGTGGAATGGACAAAAGTTTCAAACAGTAAAGACAAAATTGGCTAACCAAAAATTAATAAGGTAGAATTGATGATAGACACAAAGCTTTGGGTATGAATACTAATTTTTCCGTAATGAATATCATTAAAGAAGTTATGTTATTGTACGAACAAAATAAAGTCAATGACAACAGAAAAAGTCTCCACTAAGACAAGGGAGAGAAAGGGAAGACAAGGTTTCACCTTTTAAAAGACACTTGTTTTCGTGGTTAAGATTTTATGTAATTATTGCTCTTTATGATATTTCCTCCGTCACAAAAAAAATCCCACATTGAATTTTGAGATTTGTGCTGTTTTTAGTATAGATCTCGAAAAACTTAATGTGGACTATTATTTTAGAACAGGAGAAATACATTAAGTAAACTAATGGATGCATTAATCTTGCTTTTGAAATTTGATTAAACCTGGATAACGGATAAAGAAACATCACATTCCGAAATTTTCTCAATGTCACTTGAAATATATTCTTACTGCGTCTTATTATGCAGTTTAGATTTTTATTTGTAATTTGATATGTACTAAAGATGAAAATTTAAAGTGGACAATTATTTCGGGACGGAAGAAGTAATATTAAAAAAATTACAACAAATCTTTTGCATGTTTTTGCCATTCAACTTGTCAGCTCGACGAGTTAATCGTAAGTGTACTTGGGAAATCTACAATGTCACATTTACCGACACAAGTTACATTTACCATCAATAAGAGGATTTTAGTATTTGCTTTTTAAGGGTGTAAAAGTTTTTGCATGAAGGAGGCAAATCATGTAGGAATATTCTTAATGAACATGTTGTATGAACGAAGACCCACCAATTATATATATCATATTCCAAAGTACGGTCCTTTCGAAGTACAAATTTATAACGACATTGTTTGAGACTCTGAGTTAACGGAATGGGTCAATATTGTGGCCATATTGCTGCGCTGATCTACATTTTCTTTTAATAATGAGTTTAATGCAAAACGCGAAACTGCCTCCACAGGGGAAGACACATATAATAATAACTCATACGCTATGGACCAGTGTATATATAAGTCTGCTAATCCATAATGAGTTTTATCTATCTATTCTGTTTTTCTCATTCAGATACGTTTAGTTGGCTTGCTGTTTGCCCATCTTCCATCATCCTCCAAATCTCATCTTTTTCCCCACATCGTTTCCTTTATTCCCAGTTGTTCTATCTGATTCATCCATCGAAATATATATATATATATATATATATATATTTTCGCCAAAAAAACAGCAACTAATTAATGGAACATTCAACCGTTCAGTTGGGTTTCGTTGATTCCGTATTGGCCAAGCTGACGGATCTGACAGGTTCTGAATTATCTGAGCAAATTTCCTACAGCAAGCTGATGATCCCGCAAGTTAAATCCTTCAGACATTGGTTGGGACAAATTGAGAACATGTTGGGTCAGGACGAACTCCGAACACTCTGGAATCGTGTTTTAGAGGCAATGCATAAGCTAGACAGCCTCATTGGCGATTCTTCTTCAACAATGTTGGGATCCATCAAGGAAGAAATGGACGAAATTGAGTCCGATATTGAACTCAAGAAAATGGAAATGAAAATGAAAGAGAAGGAAATCCCCACGGCTAGCAGTCAGTTGTCGACGGCACGACGAAGAACTGATCCCTCGACGGCAGCAACAATAAATCAAGCAGTGGGTTTCGCCGAGGAGGAAAGATCAATTGAAGATCAGCTTACAAGAGGGGGGAAGGGCTTGAAAATGGTTGCCATCGTAGGTATGGCAGGACAAGGTAAAACCTTCTTAGCTAATCGAATTTTCAATCGCAATTCGATTTCGCACCATTTCCCGGTTCGCGCTTGGTGTGTGATTTCAGAGAAACTGAACAACAAGGAAGTTTTATCTAAACTCTTAAATCAGACGACTGTTCATGGTGAAAGCAAAAGGGAAGAAGAAGATTTGAAAGAGGAGCTCCGGAAAAGTTTGAAAGGAAGGAGATACCTCATAGTTTTAGATGATGTTTGGTACATGGAAGCATGGAATAGTTTGAGAGCTTGTTTCCCCGATGACAACGTTGGAAGTAGGATTCTTGTGACCAGCCGAAGTAACGATGTTGTCTTCTGCAATGAAACTCATCGTCTTCGCTCGCTCAACGAAGAGGAGAGTTTTGAGCTGTTGCGCTCGCATTTGTCGCAATCGAATAATATTGGAGTTGATGGTTGGACTTCAGATTTGAATGAGATAGTGGCGCAAATCGCGACATCGTGTTGCGGCTTGCCGCTGACGATGGTTGTGGTAGCTGGACTTCTAAAAGCAACAAATTATCCAGAAGGTTGGCAGGAAATTCGTGATGACTTTATAAGGTTATCCGGATCATCTGTCATGGACTCAGTCCAACGCAGCTACGACCCTTTACCACAGCATTTAAGAAAATGCTTTCTCTATTTCGGAACCATTCCGAGAAACAAAGAGATTTCAGTCGGGAGGTTGCTTTATATGTGGATCGCAGAAGGTTTTGTTGAGGAAAAATGTTGTAATGGGAAATTCATAGAAGATGTTGCTGCAGGTTACCTGAAAGACTTGACTGACAGAAGCTTGATTGAGATTACCAAGCAAAGGTGGGATGGTGGAGTTAAGAAATATGGGATTCATGACTTGCTTTTTGATTTCTGCTTGAACAAGGCTAAAGAGGAACATTTTTTCCATGTTGGAGAAGAGCAGAATGGTTCTAATGAGCCATCCAACAACTTCCAAAGGCAATGCTTCCACCAATCTGATGAACATTTCCATGAAGGGTTTGAGTTACTTTCTCCTAGTACTTGTTCTTTAATTTTCACTTCCTCCAAAAAATCGGTAACTATCTCCTGGGACGTTATTCTTGGCTTAAAACATCTGAAAGTGCTGGATTTGCAGAAAACCGACGTATGTCGGGAGTTTCTGAGCAAATTTGAATTGCTGGGGAAATTGACCTTCCTCGCAATTAAAATCAACTTTCGTCGTATCCCATCTTCAGTTGCTGGCCTCCCAAATTTAGAGACTCTCATTGTGGTGCCAAATGCTGAAGTGGAATTGCCAGATGGTCTATGGAATCTACAGGAATTAAGGTATCTTCACATACAGTATCCTTTCGGTATTTTGCCCGCACACAATCTTGAGGCGGAGGGCTCAACAGTGCTCAATAAGTTGGATAGATTGGATGGTGCATTCTTTCCCTCTCGGGACAGCATGCAAAGCCTAATGACAAAATATCCAAACATTCGTAGGTTGAAATGCAAAGTTTTCGCTCGAGCCGCGGATGATCCGGAAACCCTTGACAAGAAGATAGTGTTTCCTGACTCTTTGAGCCAGTTACAATCCATTCGTCTGTTAAGCAACATTCCGTCCGGTTCTCCGGTTACATTTACATATGAGCTCATTTTGCCCGGACACCTGCGGAAATTGAGTTTGTTTGACTTTGCTTTGTCATGGGCAAATCTTTCAACCATCGGTACACTGCCTAACCTTCAAATCCTCAAGTTAACTGGTATATTCTTTGAAGGTGAAACATGGGAAATGAAAGAAGGAAAGTTCTCAAAACTCGAATCCTTCAAATTGCGGTGGCCTAAGACCAACCTTATCAAGTGGAGTACATCCTGCGATGATGATCACCAACTCAGTCGTCTTAAGAAGCTGGCATTTTGTGGGTGTAAAATGTTGGAAGATATTCCTTCTGATTGTTTAAAGAGCCTTGATACACTTGAAAGGATTCATGCGTGTCGTTCGTCTAAGCGCATTAAACAAAAGGTGGAAGAGATTAAGGAGGAACATAAGGAGCTCGGAACTGATATATATTGTGATATCTCTGATTGAGATTTTCCGATATATACACCATGTAGATTAGTAGGCTACACCATGTAGATTAGCAGGTTGCTACTCCTTTTTATGCTTATTCTTCTGTAGTAAATGTCTTTCAAAATTTAATTCAAAGCAAGTGCTTTGATTTTTATTTTTTTTATTTTTATTTTTGTAATCAATCAATTAATCTCTATGCATATTTAAAGAGGATGTCTTTTGGGATTCTAATTCACGAAGTTTTTTTTTTAAAATTTTTTTGTTCACGAATCATAAACTAAAATTTTTATAATAACTTAGGTGCTTGTAAGAGTTGTATATTAAAAAAAAAAAAAACTCTGTCAATCAATCTCTTAAAACTGAATCTTTGATCATGGAATTCCCCCAATTTTTCAGTATTATCCGTCCGTCCTTTACTTCTTGAAAAATTCAAAAATGATATTGCTATGATTCAAAATTGATGCAGATTCGAATATGAATCATCCACTGTTGTATCCAAGTCTACCATCCACTGTTGATCTCTATTTAAGATTCGGTGAGGATGTAATTTGTGAACACCCACTGCCGTAGTAGCAATCAAATTTTCACTATCATATTCAAAAAATTACATGTTACAATTATCCAACCGTCTCCGACTAGTCAAATCCAAATGGCTCAAGAATTTGATACGATGGAAGAGCTCGCCCCAATGAAAGTCAAACAAAAATCACTAATGGGGTGAAAGGAAAGATCTTGAATGGTGAATTGGAGGACATTGATCAGTAATCTAATTTATCATGTTTCGAATTGTTGTAATTTTGTGGTATAAACCATGAGCATTTTGTTCAGTTCTAATCTCGGTTTTACATTGATATTTCAGGAAAAAAAATATATTTTCTGTGATCTGTTAAATAAACATGCTATTAATTTTGCAGCTTATATGGCCGATAGTTGTTAGATACTGATCCTTGAACATACTGTACCGAAAGAATTCAATGATAAATTGTACAAGAGAATTCAAACATTATGATAATCTTATGACATTAATCCATTTTTTTAAATGAAAAATGAAAGTGCTATGCAATTTGACATGCATATTTTTAGGTGCTAAACTGTGGACGAACTGGTGATAAAATATGAATGTGATGTTTGATCATACTTTTAAAGTTTGAAAACTTCCATGATAGTCATATCTATTATATTGTACTTGAGTTTTTATAAGCATAAGGGATGAATTTGGATAAGAGATTTGTTAACTATGATTAGTTTTCACAATAATAATAATAATAATTTTGAGCTGTAATTTAAGGATCGATGAACTTTATTTTTGTTTCGGAAAAACAAAAGAACACAAAAGACATGGCTTGGATGATGTACTGAGAAAAAAAATTAAAAATGGAAAAAAAATAGGCGACCTGCATTATGTTACGTATTGACGTAACTCAGAATGATCATCGTTTTACAGTGACATACATATGCATTGTTATAGGATGATGATGTACTTAATTACAAAGGAAGTACTACTATATTACAAAAGAAAAATGATATATATAGTGAATAAAAATAATGACAAAACATAGTGACTGATGTGGATTTATTATGTCCTATAGTTTTTTGTCACTTTTCTGTTGAAGTTTTTTTTCCTCAAAAATTATACTTTTACCCTTGACTAATAAATAGACATGTTTACTAAGTGTGTGGTGTATTTGACTTTTCATTTGTTATTATCTAAATTTACTATAATTTTTCACTATGTGTATCATTGCTCATATTACAATATCGAATTATTGTATATTCTTTTGTCATGTTAGGTATATTTGTTAAGGATTGAATTACAACACATCACCGATTTCTTTATAAGTTCCTTTTTGGTTTCTTTGTTATTTTATAATTTGAACTGAATTAAAAAGAAATTTCAAACTAAATATTTATTTTGAGATGGAGAGATTATTTTTTTTGTTAATAAAATGAATATCGTAATTCTTGTTTCCTTTTGTTAATAAGAGATTATTCTGCCATTCAAGTTTTCTTCGGAGGAGCCATTTCTTCATCAAATGATTGTGCTGGAGCTGGAGTATTTATTCGACATTCTGATGGTCGTTTTCTTCATGGACTTGCTCGCCAATTTCCAAGCGTGCTGGACTCTGATTTAGCGGAAATTTTAGCTCTGCTAGAGGCTTTATTACTTTGCAGAAAGTTAGGGCTGTCCATCATTATCGTTCATGGAGATTCCCAACTCGTTGTTTTGGCCGCCAACAACGAATCTGATGGTCCCTTGTCCTGTCAACCAATCATTGAAGGCATTGTTTACATGTGTGCGGATTTGCCGTTGAAAAGCTTGGTGTGGATCCTTGGCTCAGATAACATTGATGCTGACTCTTTTGCAAAGTTTGCTAAATATGCTGAATCAATTGAAAGTACTTGGAGTAACATTCCTAACTTTTTTTGTTTTTTTACAGAAAGAGAGGTAACAAGTCTTGTTTCAACTTAGCACATTTTTAGGATATGCAACACTTATTATATCATGCTTTAACCACAGTCTGATGTCTGACAGCGGGTCATCAAACCTCTGTAGTCCACCCGGTCCTTGAGCTGCTAATAAAGCCATATAATCAACTACGAAATTCGCCTCCCGAAACACATGTTTAAGCTCCACAACCCATTCTCTCTTCAACAAATCACGAATTCCATAAACGATACCAGCATTAAGGCCAGTAATCATTCCTAACTTTGTATCTCAATTGGTGCTAGACCATTTCCAATGATCTTTAATATATTTATATTCTCTCTCTAAAAAAAATAAATATCGTAATTCTATTTTTCATTTTGAGTCTTTTTTTTTTTTGACAAATTCCTCTAATACCAAAAAATTTTCAACTATGCACATTCATGGTGAAAAAAAAAATTCCTTTAATATGTCACGTATCACGTTTCTGTTTATTCAAAATTATAACAATTAATACTTCACAAATTTTGATTTTGTGGATTTGATATTTTTTAAAAATATTCTTCGTGTTATTTATAAAAAATATTATATCTAGTTTATATTTTTTTTAGTAGTTATTCCGAATTGTTGTAATTTTGTAGTATAAACCATGGACATTTTATTCAGTTTTAATCTCGGTTATACATTGATATTTCAGAAAAAAAAAATAAATTACCTGTGACTCTGTGAAATAAACATGCTACTAATCTTGCAATTTATATGGCCGATAGTTGTCATTGAGGTGTAATGTTGATCCTTGAACATGTACCGAAAGAATTCAATGGTAAGTTGTACTTGTACGAGAGAAATTCTTTTGTATATTGCCTGCACAATTTTACATGATGTAACTTGACACATGACAAGAGTAAAATTATAATTTTTCTGGCTATGGTATGCTAAAATAGTGGGGCTATAAAGCTTAAAAATATTTCTATCGGTTTAGTGTACACAAAATGTGGATGCAAGCATATGGAATAATTTTTATATTATTGGAGGGATATGATAAGATTAGTCAAAGATCTCATTAGTTAGGATTATTTAGATTCTATTTGTTTAGATTATTTCAGATTTTATAATATCTAGATCTTAACCAATGTTGATATAAACCTATAAATAAAGACAATGTAATGTACTGCTGCACACAATACAATTTATAATTTCATCTTCTTTCATGAATTTATTTCTCATCACGATATTTGTTTGTTTGTCGGATCGAAAAGACCGGCCGGCTTTTGCCGGCTGGAACAACTTTAAAGTTTGAAGTTGGAAAAGGGAAGCTTCTCATTTTTCATCGAAATTTATGAAGTTGGAAAAGGGAATCACGCTATTGTTATTAACTTATAGTACTACTACTATTATTCATAGTTATGGAGGGAAGTTAAGTAGCTAGGAAAGTGGCAAGTTGCACAATCTGCCGCCGGTCACCCAGGAAAATGTCAACAAGTCTTCCACCGCCACAATCCGCCACCTCCGATGAGGCAACTGATCTTTTCGCCGCCGTGGATATGGGCACAAACTCCTTCAAGCTTCTCATTTTCCGAGCCGATCCCTCCACCGGCCGCTTCCTCCCCATCAATGTCTTCAAAGAGCCCGTCCTCCTGGGCATTGACACCACCACAACCTCCGCCGCCGCCGTCATCACCCCTGCCTCCACGGATCGCGCCATAGCCGCCCTAATTAAGTTCCAAGAAATCCTCCAGTCCAACCGAATCCCGGCCTCCCAATGCCGCGTCGTTGCCACCTCCGCTGTCCGAGAAGCCTCTAACCAGTCCCAGTTTCTCTCCTTTGTAAATCAAAAAGTTGACCTCCAGATTAAGGTCCTCTCCGGCCAAGAAGAAGCCCGCCTAATCTATTTGGGTGTCCTCCAATTACTTCCCGTCATTGAGGACACGGTTCTCAACGTTGACATTGGCGGCGGCTCCACTGAGTTTATTATTGGCCACAATGGTAATATTTTGTATTCAATTTCATTGAAATTAGGGCATGTTACATTGACCCAACAATTTTCCGATACTAGACAAATGCGGGAACATATTAGGACTGTGTTCAAAAGTTCAGGATTAGTTGATAAGATTAAGGACTATAGGATTAATAAAGTGACAGGTTCTTCTGGAACAATTAAGTCAATTGAGGAAGCAGTGTATAAAGGTTATGCTAAGAAAAGAGTGGAAAATGCTCGTCGTGATTCCTACAGTGATTGGAAATTCAGTAAGGAGGAGTTGATGGAGTTAGTGGACAGTTTTGAAATGGAAGGGAAGGAAAATAGGAAGTCATTCTTCAGAAAGAGGGCCGAATTTATAGTTGCCGGGGCAGTTTTATTAGAAGAGGCTTTTGAGTCACTAGGAATCATGGAAATGGAGGTCTCCGAGTATGCATTAGCAGAAGGTGTCGTCGCCGAGATGTTGGGGATTGATGAAAGCTTGAAAGTAGATATGCGGTGGGGGAGTGTAGTGAGGCTGGCGACTAGGCTTTGTAGCAAGAAGAAGATGAAGACTGCTGCATTCTGTGCACGGATATCAAAGGTACAAAAACTGTAGGTGCTGCTTTGTAAGATATTTTTGGTGATTTTTTTTTTTTTTTGTTCTTTTAAAAAAAATTTCTTGATTGGAACAGGAAATTTTTGACGGAATAAGGAAGTTGAATGTGACGGCCAATAATGAGCTTCTAAAGAACATGGAGGACAGGGACATTGAATATCTTGAAGCTGCTTGTTTACTTCACAAGATTGGTCTTATTGCTGGAAATAAAGGGTACCACAAGCAATCATATCAGCTGATAACTGTGAGTGATTTGATTGGTGTTTGATGCATATTTTCTCCGAGCAGTTGGCACATTTTTTTGCAATTTTCTGTAGACTACTTGTAAAGAAGTTGTCTGAAACGGTAAATTGTGTTATAGTAACCCATGGAGTCTGTTAATTCTTATTATGTTGTGAAGATTCATTTGGTCAATGGCTCGTCTCATGAATAAAATAAAATTTGACAAGAAACTGGAATTCGATCTCTGGTGATTTCAAGAACTGAAAGAAGAAGAATAACAATTATTGTTATCTTTCAGTTTCTCTCCACATGAACTTTTTTGTTTGTTTGTTTGTGATAACATTATTGGATTAAAGCTTATGTTATTAAGCTGCCATAAATGTGTTCGATAGACCATGAATGAAATTTTAGCCATCTTGTATATAAAATGAGAGAGTATAAAAAAAAAAAAAAAAACTCTTCTCGTTTCATTTGGAAACTGCCATGTCTCGACTAAGATGCCTGAACTTTCTGACAGAAGGGCAATCACCTCCAAGGGTATAACGATGACGAGATTATGGTGTGTCTCAATCTACTCCCTTCTGATTAATTTGTACTTTCTCTTGTCATTTTGGTGGCAATTGCGCACTATTATGACAGTTTGGTTAGCTTTCAGTTTATAGGACTCCTTGTGAAACATCATAGAAAGGGATTTCCAAAGGCTGATGATACTTCTATGCAGGGCTTTACTGAAGAGGTATTTCTGTTTTGGGAAGAACATTCCATTTTCCATTTATAGAGCTTGTAGCCATAAAATTTGTAACCTTGAATTCCAAATGTTAGGTGAAGCACAAATTCACAATGCTTTGTGCAATACTAAGATTGTCTGCTGTCATAGAGCAGTTGCAGTCTTTGGACTGTCCTAGGTACACACTTTCACATTCTCCCGAAGGTTTCAGGCTGGTAAGCATTAGTTGCGACTTTGCTTATTTACATTTTCCTTCTCAGTGATTGCGACTCAAATAGATTTGTGCAAGGCTCATGCCAGCATGTTTAGTAGGAAGAGCATCATTAACATTCTCTTTTGGAATTATCTCTTGATAGCATCCATCTTTCCTTTTTTAGAGCAATACATACAGAACAACTTGCCGTGGATCAGACAATGATTCCTGAAAAGTTAGAAACATTTTTATTGGCTTCCACTTTTAGATACTTCTGCAGTATTGGAGATTAGCTACCTTGGATCAATGGGTGTACTTTTTGTGTCTCGACTCATTTGAAAACTGGTTCTGGAAAAACTTTTTGCAATATTACACTGTCCTATTCTGATGTTTACAATTTCAGCTCACTTAGGGACTAGAAAGTTTGATGCAGAAAGTCAGCAGTAACTAAAGCATTTGATAGAATCAAATAAAGGCACAAATTATGTAAACAGAACATCGTGAAGATAGACCACAAAAACCAATAAATGAAATGTAGCTGATTTATGCATCTTAAGTGAAAGCATATACAAACTTTGAGATGAAAGATGAGTTCAACTGCAAGATCCTTGGAAATTATCTGTATGCATGATAATGATCAACTCCTTGAGAATGTTCCGGTAAATACTCTGAGCCAACCGTAACCTTGCCATTCCTACAGTCCTCATCATGTACAAATGCATCTTATTTTAGTCGCCCGATGTTTTTTCTTGTTCTTGAAGAGCCTTTTCTGAGGCTAGTGTAATCAGTAGTAACTCCTCTGTGTTTCTCTGGGTTGTGTAACTTGCAGGTACTTGAGGTAAGGAATCGACCTTCCCCGCATGGTAGTTTACAGTTACAAGCCGAGATGGTTAAGGAAGAATTAGATAAAGAAGTGGCTAACTTTAGCGAGGTAATTAACACTAGTGGTCTCCATTATCCTCATAATCTTCATGAACTTTGTTTTATTTGCTTTGATTAAAATCTTGCTTTGTCCTCAGGTGTTTGGGGAAAAATTGTCAGTCGTGGTTCATTAGAGCACTTTCTTTGGCGAGGAAGATGATCGTTCTTGTGAATCATACAACCCATTGGAAGAATAAATAAATAAAAAAAAAAAATCACAGTAAGGTGTTTGAAGTAGATTTTTGGTCCCGTCTACTGCTCCTTTCTTGTGATTAGGCTTTATTCCACAAGTAGCGTAACGTGGGTTTATTGTCGATTAACTGAGTTCACGGTCATTAATTGAGACATGGACTTGCTTTTTCTTGAGTTCTCATTTTAAGACGGAAGAACTCTAGGACTAATACATCGATTTTCCCAAAGCATAAATTAATTTATGACCTACTAGTTAGTAATCCTGATCCACATTTGTATGCGTATGTAGTAGTAGCTCGTAGGACAATAGACAGAGTAACAAACCAGCAATGAAAACCTGAACTTATCCACAACATTTGTCCCCAAAAGTTGTAGGTGAAGATCGCCATCAAATTCTAGGACATTCTAGGACTAAAACATCAATTTTTCCTAAACGTAATATGTACATCGTGTAATGTATATGCCGTAGCCCGCAGGACAAAGGACAAACCAGCAATCAAAACCTGAACTTATCCACAACGTTTGTCCACCATCTCTAACAATTTAAAAATAAAAGGTAGGTGAAAATCGCCACCATCGGCCATCACAAAACAGGGAAAGCCCTTAGTCAAGCTGAAAAGAAACAGATAAGAAGAGAGAAAAGAAAAAAAAGTAACCTGCAGATTGGCATTGCTGCTGTGATTTTGCCATTTTGAGTTAATTTTTTTTTTTCTTTGCTTTTCTTTTTTGCTTCGGTTCTCCCCCAAGCAAACAGATTACAGATTACACAGATATTCAGTACTACTACTTTCTGAACATTTTAAATTCATAGGTGAAACAACAAAAAAACATCCTTGATACAGTAACTATCCCAACGGTGAAAAGAGGCAATAGTTTTACTGTTTTACTAAGTCAAAATAGTTTCAGAAATAAATATATAGCTACTTATTACGGTATTCTACCGAGAGACGTAAATGCATATATGAGGGAATTTTCCTCCCTCCTCATCAGCTACCGGCATTTTCTTTCTGAGGCAAACAAACCAGTTTGAACATCAAAAGCTTTGGCGAAGTTGCTTTTGTCAGGTGAGTTTTTAGTTTTCCTTGGTTGTTGTGTCGTTAGAAAATGTTTAAAAGTTTACGCCTTTTGGGTGTTATACTGTTATCCCTTTTTGATTTTTCTTTTTCCCTCTCTGTTTCTCTCTGTTTATCAACTGTTCTATTGGTGTCTGTCTAAGTCAATGCGTAACCTGAAAAAAAGTTGTTATCTTTTTGGGGTTTGATGAAGTTTTCTTTGTGTTTGATTTTTTTTGTTTTTTTTCCTGCGAAACTGCATCGTTTTCCAAATGTTGTGTTCTGGATTTTCTTAAATTTTCTCCCTTTCTTGTGAAGTGCTGGTTCACCTTCATCACAGCATTTTTACATACAGATTGTGTACAGTTTTCCCCTCAAGATGTGATCTTAAAACAAAAATTGTTGCATTGATCTTCTGGTATGTGTTTTTGCCGTTATTACTGACTTGGTCATCACATGTATACCCATGTCAGTTTGATGTGTCCTAATGAGTGCCAAATGAATCCCTTTTCTTCCTGGGTTTGTTTCTGATGGTACATACTGCAGCATATGATAAATTTCAGTTTACATTAGAAATTTAGTAGTAGTACATATATTTAGGGTCCACCATTTCTTTCCTAAAGTTTAGTAATTGAGGTTCTATTTCTTCTGCATTATTTACTTATCATTGTGCTGACAGCTGAGTATTCATCCTTATTGTGCAGGACTGCTACTGGAGTGGTTGATGATCATTGGCCATGGATCAAAGGGTTGATGAACTGCAGGATGAAAGTGAAAAGGCAGGGTCTTTATCATTGCATGCCTTTTCTGATCTATCACATGTCTCACCACTGATGTTTTTGTACCTACTAAAAGAATCTTATGCTTGTGGTAAGATACATGGTGGTAAGATATTCAGATATCTGATTCTGCTTATTCTCTGAGTGCTGTTGTTCTGTTCCGCTTATGCTGAAGATCTTAACGTTGAATCCCAAAATATGGAGTATCTGTTTTATCATGTAGCTTAATTGACCTCCAATTTTTTCACTGTTGTGGATCTGTGATCTTAAGAATCTTTCTTTCCCAAGCTATTCGACAATGGATTGTGTCCCTGTATGGTTTGTTCTCTTTTGTTCATGCATGAGGTTAGAAATAGTGAAAATAAAAAATCGCCGAAGTAGTGGAGAGATGGAACCAAAAGTTGATCAGTCAATTCATATGTTAGCATCTATTCTTCCTAACTCCCTGAGCAACATTAGCAAAACAAGTACCAACATTTGACATCTGCTTCTCCATAAATTTTGATGATTTGTAATAGATAAGATTAGGTGGTTAGAATCTTTTCAATTAGTTGATGATCATATTTGGCCGTATTTAGTTAGGCCCCCTGAAGCACAACTCTCTGCTAGATTGTGACCAATTCGTTACAAACTAATAGTGACTATCTGTATCATATGATTTGTCTAGCTGGACCAAACCAACACCATCAAAATATGCATCCCATTCTTGGTTAGAATCTTTAGATAGATGGTGATTAGATTTGAAAAGTAAAAGGGAGTTTTGCTGTTAGGACTTATCCAGTACTTGCACACACTTTTGATGGTGAACACATTATTCTATAGAGTTGTCCTCATCCTAATTTTCAATTTTAGATTATGCAATAACTGGTAACAGTAGCTTTTATGATCAGAGATGTTACACACTTGACTTTAGTAAGAAGGTGATTTGGAGTTTCTTTTGATGGTGGTGATAAGCTGATTTGGTTGATGAAGCTTATGATACAAAAATGATCTACCACAGCTTTTAAGTTACGTTCAGAGATTTTATTCTGCTTTCTTCAGATTTGCTATGGGGACTTTTTTGAATATTCCCTATTTCTTCCTGGTAGGTGCATTAAGGGCCTCCGCAAAATTCCGCATACTACAACAACAAGTCCTTCAGGTGCTGCACAATGCCCCCCAACCGGGACCTGCCATTTTTGTGGCTCAGGTCCTGTACATTTCACGGATATTTGATTTATATACTGATGGATTCAATTACTTGATGATATCTGGCTTTCGTCGCTATTTGAGAAAGGGAATTACTGAAGAAGACAAGCAAGAAGCAAGTGTTGTTGCTGCAAAATTGTTTATTCACAGTGTCTGCCATGGTATGGTTCATGATGAAAAGGTCTTAGTGATGATCCTTGAAGTTTTTGATGTCAGATTAACGGATATAGAGAAAGCTATGCAGATTGTGGATGGAAAAGCTGATATAAACCTAGACACCGCAAGAAAATTTATCGAGCAGTTTATATCCAAGCTGATAGAATCTCAGTCTTATGAGACAGCAGTTTCGCTACTAGAACAATTCTCCTTTTACCCCAAGTCTGGGGAGTCTTTCCTGTTGCAGATGCTGCAAATTAAAGAATACAGAGCAGCAGAAAAATGGGCTACATTTTTGGGCAAACCAATGTTGCGTGTTCTTGTTGAGGAATACATTAAAGAAAATCTGCTAAATCCGGCTTATAATATCATTAAGACAAATGACATGCTCCATGAATATCCAGATGTGTGTAAAAAATATAAAGAAAGGCGAGTCACTAATCCTGCTTTCTGGGATCTGCCCATGGTAATTATAATTCCAAACCTTTCGGTTGCCACTATAATATTATATAACTATCAGAATTGGTTTCAGCTCATTAAAGAAGCTAGCAGAAAAGGGCTGCTGGGAAGTTGCAGAGGATCGGACGAAAGGTGATAGACAGTTTTTGCAGTATCTGGTAAGTCAAGTGTTTATGGAATCAGGTAAATTGTAGTATGTTTGTATGAGGCTGGCAATACCATTTTTATCTCAAATTGTCCAATGTGACAGTTCTTCTGCTGTCAAATCTCAACTTGTGGATTGTGAAGCCTACTTTTATAAACTGGGGAGGAATATAATTCTTTCTTCTGTTAATATTTGAGGCTCCCGTGAAGGGAACAGGGAGAGGTTGTCTGCAGCTTTACATTAGATATATGATAGGCTGTTTCTAGCAACCAAACCCATGATCTCAGGTCATATGGAAATAGCTATGTTACCATTGCACTTAGGCTCCCATTCTTACCTCAACTCTATACATGTGAAAGAAGTTGCACTTTTCTTCTCTCTTCAGAAGAAATCTGTCAAAACAGTTCTTGGAGAATGTTATATTTGATGGAGGTGTTAGAATTGTTTTCCTAACAGTAATGCTTTTGCCATCTCCCTCAGGATCCTAACTGTTCAATAGTTTTCTGACAATTTTAACTATTTAAGGTATATCTGGCACTGGAAGCTGGCTATCTGGAGAAAGTTGAGGAACTCTGCACTCGATATGCACTTGATGGTTTTGAAAACATTAATAGTAAGTTAATGCTCTCTCTTTTGTTTTAACTAATTTAGAAGAGAGATCATGCATATGAAAAGGCTCAACTCAATGAGTTTCTTTTGCGCGGACCTATCTATCGACTATCAGTATTCGAAGAAAAGATAAATACCATTTTTTTTTCTCCCATTGATGTTTTACAGAGACTGAAGCTAATTGCAAAAAGAGTTCCTATTTGCATCTTGATGACTTTCCTATAGAGGATGTGGTCTGGGTTGATGGACTCAATGAATTGCAAGGTGCAACAAGCCACCTTGAGGAATGCAAAGTGGTAGGCCTTGATTGTGAGTGGAAACCCAATTATGAAAAGGGCAGTAAACGAAACAAGGTATTTTTCAAATATTGTATATTTACCTTGAGGTTATTTTTTAATCAAATCATGTGTTTTGTCCAGCACATGATTAACTATAAATATGCTTTAGTAATTGGTGGTGATGGCCATTTTATTTTTAATGTAAAACTGCCTTATGTTAGGATCTATAACAAACCTTCTTAACAGAATCTTGCCGATACTTCTCCTCATCTATGATTTGTTTCTGGTACTGATATATCTCTGTCCCGTGCAATTGATAATAATTAAAATGAAGAAAAATTTGATCAGTTACTTTGATTGTGTCAGTGTATGGTATTTTACAATCCTTATGAGGTGTCTTCTGTGTGCTATAGTACTTCTCTGAATGAAATAGTGTTCAATCAGTAGCTGTTTAGATTTTGCCAGACAAATCAGGAGCTTTGCATATTGAACCAGTCGGTTTTTGTGTTTAAACTTTGTCTCATTACAGATTGTTTCCTTCCAATTTTTCAGGTTTCTATTATGCAAATTGCCTCAGAGAAGAAGGTTTATATATTAGATCTGATAAAATTATGTGAAAGTGTTCCAGCTAGCTTAGATGAGTGTCTAAGCCGCATATTGCATTCTACCAGGATTTTGAAGCTTGGTAAGCAGAATATTACCTTATGTGATTACTTGATGAAAACTCTTCTCTGTTCGACACGTTGCAATAATACTTTATTTTATAGTATATTCTAGATTAAACAACCAAAGTCCTACAATTTCGTGAGTTCAATATTACACTCATGTCAGTTTGTTTGTTTAATGAACAATGTACAGTTGCAGTCCTGGGTTTGTGATAAAAAGAATAATGTTTTCTTCTGCATACAAATATTTGTTTGCGCCTTTCTATTTGCACCTTTTACAGCTAATCAGTTTTCAGTTTAAACAAAAGGACCTGACATATGAAATTGTAGGTTACAACTTTAAATGTGATGTTGAGCAGCTTTCTCAGTCGTATCCAGAGTTGCAGTGCTTCAAGCAGTATGATATGCTACTTGATATCCAGAATGTGTTCAAGGAGCCAAAGGGTGGTCTTTCTGGTCTGTCGGAGGTAATGGTTGGGTCTTTGGCAGTAGAACTGCATATTTGATAGATCTTATACCACATCCAAATTCTTTTTCCTTCTCTTAACTCATACCTTACTCTGTCGAGATTCAAAATTTTGTGATGGACTTTGTTAATACTAAATGAAAACAGAAAGTACTGGGACGAGGATTAAACAAAACAAGACGAAACAGCGACTGGGAGAAGAGACCTCTAAGTGTATATCAGGTTTGTGCCTAATAAATGATAATTATCAAGACCTTCAAAAATTGTAATACGTTGTCAGGTTATATATGATTGTATATCTACTTGCGCTGACATAAACTTTTGCAGTTGGAATATGCTGCTCTTGATGCTGTCGTGCTCATAGAAATTTTCCGGCATGTTCGCAACCATGTAAATCCCACAGGTGTTACTGGCGAACATAGCAAAGTGGAGTGGAAATCTCACATAGTAAGTATGATACCATTATCTTACAATGTCATGTTCAACAAATGAGCTGAACCTTTCCATTTCTTTGATAAAGGAACTGACCAATACATTTGCACAGGTTTCCCACATCGACAGAGCTAAAGGACAGAAAAAAGGGCGCCGGGAACAGAAAGCAGTTCTCTACTGATGCTGAACGCTGATGCGTCTCCGTGGAGCAAGAATAACTTTTGACAGTTTCATCAAACAGACTTCTAGGTTAGAAATAGGTGCGGCTAAACCATGTTTCATCCAAATTCTTTAATTCTTCCAATAGATTTAATCTTACTTCTTTAACGGATAGTGATCGTGAAGATGTTTGCTGATGTAAATAGTTTTTAGCTGTGAGACAGGTATATAACTCTATGTATGGAAATTCAGCAGTCAACCATTATCATCTTTGTCTTTCTGCTGGAATCCCTACTATTTATCTTTCTTTGCTGAACATGTATGAAGATTTATGCAAGCACTTCTTAAGCACTAGATTTTCATTTTTGTTCCCATCTTGTGCCAAAATGGATAAGAGTTTTTAACTTTTGACCCTTGACCTTTTAACCTTTGACCTCAAATCCACCTACATTACATATACAATACACACATTAGATTCCCAATTTTGTTTCATGTCTACCTGTCATTCACATTGTTATTATATATATCTTATGAATTCCTAAAACATGTCCATATAACCTGAACCTTCTCTTCTCCAACCCCTCTCCATCTAAATGCCATCCATATCTAGAGGGTGAAAGGAAGAGAATGGCAGAGTTCAAGGCTCATCAAGATCACAGAATAACAGGGCAAACTCTAGGAATCATCAATGGCAAAGCTTATGGTGCAAGCAATGTATATGTGATTCGATCCAACGATAACAATAATGATCATCACCACCATCATCATTGTGAAAATCCCGGTAGAAGATATCATCAGGTTGTTTCAAAACCAGCTGCGAAGAACACGTTATCGACGTGTAAGTCTAAGTCAGCCACAAAACCTTGGATTGATTATCGACAGTTTAAGAGAAGAAAGAGGATTGCAAAATACAAGTTGTATGCGTATGAAGGCAAGGTGAAGAATTCTTTCAAGAAGGGTATTCGTTGGATCAAGCGTAAATGCAGGAAGATTGTTCATGGATATTAATTAGCTGCATATAAACGGAATCTGCAATTCCCTGGGAAGAGGAAAAGGGTCTGTTCTTCATTGTAAAATTAATGCAAGGTTTGATGGATATTTGCATGTCTTTTTTTTCCTTCATCTCTGCCTTGATTTAACATAGATTCTCTATTCACACAAAATGTTAAAGGGTCTTTGGCAGCAACCTCCTTTGACGTCTTATTGGTTTTGTGATAAGAAATTCTGCTGATATTTTGCATTGGTCAATATTCCTTCTATCTTGATATGGTTATCCGATTTTCATGCTATTTTTACAGCAATCAAAATGATAATCAATTTAGGGTAATAGGAATATGAATTATCAGTAAATTAGCTGGAAGATATAGTAACATCTGGTGTTTTTCCAGAGAACTTGAAGTTGTATAAAGTATAGACAGTAATAATAATAGAAAAAGGTGCTCTTTCAAAAAAAAGTGATCTTAATCATCTTTTAAACGTTGGAGTATACGTGAAACAGTACCAATATTATCATGAATTCCATTATTATTTATTAGTCTGATGGAAAGAAAAAACTCTTTCAACTCTGAGCAAAATTAGCTACAAATGGATTTTGAGCCAACATCATTTGTCTAGTTCGAAGCTTATTGCACTTCGACCCTTGAATGAGATCACTCGATCGATCATCTTTTTTGGCGATAATTGTAGGAGATATAGTACAATGCACCATAATCGCGACTGGAGCATGATATTGTTAGTATCTCTTACCATGTATCAGAATATTTTAATTTAATTAAATAGGGCATTCTGCCTTCTCTTTTGTACCAAAAAAGAATATAAAAAATGACATTGCTAATAAAAAAGGTGAGCTTCTTGCCAGTTAACTTGTGGAGTATTTGAAGCGGGGAGAACAAATGTCGAATCTCCTTACATTTTTTTTTTCCCTTTTCTCTCGTGGATCGTTATGAATTTGTGATTATCCAATCATAATAATCTCATATCGAGGAAGATTTAGATAAAATCTATAAAAACTAAGATATAACAATCAATTTCTACATTAGAAAACCCATGCCATCATATATCCAAATCTTATAGACCATCCCAATCTCAGATTTTTTTTTCCCCGGGTAAATGGTGATTAGTTGTGTTGCATAAACAAAATTTCATCCCACATTTACTTCTCGAGTTCATCACTTCTTATCTCTAAGAACAAACATAAAACCATACATGACAAATTTATTAAGACAAAATTCCTATATTTATCAAGTAATGCCTGTCACACTGTTTCATTTACTTACAATAACACTTAAACCTCAATTCTATTTCTCGTTGAATCATTTGAACACTTGTATTGTATCCACTTCTTGATGTCCACCATCAAATACATTCTCCCTAAATCTTACACACATTTGTAGGGCATGATTATGCAAAAATAACCTCAAACCCGTAAAGTTGTACTTCCTCCGGTCTTTATAATAAGGTATTTTGATTTGTTATAAATTTTATTACGCATTTTTAATTGATAAAAGAAATCTTAAAAATATTTCATAACAATCAAGAGAACAAAACGAATATGAAAATATGTTTTTAAGATTTTTTTGGTTAATTAAAAATATATACTAAGTGAAACCCATGACAAATCAAAATACCTTTTATATTAAGGACGTGAAGGAGTATTAGAGAACAAAATTTCAGCCTTGTAATTTATAAGTTATTATTATACTAAAAGTGAATTTGAAACTAAAAAAATTATTTTGAGACAAAGGAATAATATATCGGACAAAAGCATGACCCTTTTCCTATCTCAAGATGATTATATTCTTTTTTAAAACATATTTTTCTATAATTTTTTTGTAAAATCATTTTGAAACAAATGCAATAACTCATTTTTGGAAGATCACATTCTCAATTCTCATTTTTATGATCATTTAGGATCCAGACCACGCGAAGCCCGGCCCACTGATTGGTCTCTTTTGAATGTACAAAATGGGTATAGAACCACAGGCCCTACGGCCCAAGTTAATATTTTCTTTTGTTTTGTTATAAGGTTCGCGCCTGCCAGAGTGGAAGAGGGCGGGAAAAAAAAAACACAATTCGCATTTCTCACAGACGCCGGATAGAAGCTACGGTGAATCACCGGAACCCTAAAGGACCAAAACGCAATGGATGATGAAAATCTTGAGGTCGAGAAAATCAAATTAATCAGCTTAGCTCTCGATTTAGGATTTGATGAAGAATCCGCCAGAAAATGCTTGGATCGACTCGTTCAGCTCTACGGTAACACCCCCCAGGCCTCGATTCTTTGCTCATGGCACAAATCTGATTGAATGATTGAGTTAATTATTTACTAAATTGATTATTTTTTAGGCGAGGAAGGAAGAAGCTTTATCAAAGTGGAATACTGCGGAGATGATTTCCTGGCGGCGTTGGCGGAATCCATTGTTGACACTGAGGATTGGGGGAATGATGATTTCCAGCAAATGGAATCGCAGGCTTGCGGAACCCTAAAGGAAGTGTTGGACCAGGATGTTGGCAGTGGAAGCGTTGTTTCTGGGAATTATGTTCATATTATTGATGATTCTTCCAGTGAAGAAAAAGAAGAAGGAGATGATGATGATTTTGTAATTTCAAGCAAAATGAAAGCAGAAACTTGTAGGGCTGGTTCTCAAAGCCAGGGTCTTGATCGTATTTTAGGGAAACGAAGTTCGAGGTCTGAGGTATGATGGTAACTCTGTTGTAACCTTATTTTTGAACTCTTTCGGGATTCTAATGTTTTTTTTTTTTTTTGAAAAGGACGGGATTCTAATGTATTTGAACATGGCAGCATTGTTTCTGTTTCTTTATTTTCTGGGAGCTTTTGATTTGTGGGTGGGATTTGGATATTTCTTGTCATTCATTATACGCTAAGGCACTAGCCACAGACAAGACTGTAAAAGGTCTAGTCTAACAATTTCTAATTCAGTAATGAAGATGGGGGCTTTGTCATATTTAGATGTCTCTACATATCTTAGCTCTACTGAAAGTGCAAAGCTTTTTTGGGTTAAAAAATTTATTTGTTCAATTCAAGAGAGCCTGTAATGCCTGTGTTAAAAGAGAAAGGAAGTAGAGCTCAAACTTAGGCGGGACCAGAAGACCCCCTTCCTGCCGAGCTGTTAGATTAAGTTTTGATCAAGTTTGTGATGTTTAATGTCTTATCGTCAATTTAGAATCCAGTAGGCTCCTTTCAACACAAGGGTATAGATTATAAACAACGCTTCAATAAGTAAATTTGTGTGATATGATTTGTGTCTGCTGTAGTCCTATTAAAAGTTGTTCAAATTCCCAATTCGATGCTTCTGTGTAGCTTTAATGAGCACTGTAATTACTGATGTTCTAAACTAAGGTTTCTTCTTTTTTCTGGTTTTATTCTCCCCATCTCTTCTGAAGGATTGCACAAGCAGTATTACAAATAGTTCAGTTTCATCCACGAGATTAAAACTTCCGGCACAAACTGAAAATAGAACCAAGATACTGACATATGAAGAGTTGCAGTGGTTGGATGACCTTGAATTGGCAAATGTAGTTGTCTTTGGAAACACAAGTTTTCGGCCCTTACAGCATCAAGCTTGTAAAACATTTTGGGAGAAGCGTGATTGCTTTATCCTTATGCCTACTGGAGGTGGTAAAAGCCTTTGTTACCAGGTTGAGTTTCCAACTATACAGTATGCTTTTACATTTCAATTTGACTTGCACGAACAAACGAAAGCATTTGATTAGCTAGCTTTTTCCTACCTTTGAAATTATGCTACCTGATTTGCCATTATAATTAGGAGTTATTTCAATTGCCATGTGAGAATGAACTTTGTTATTCAGCTTTCTTTTGCAGTAATTGGTTGGAACAAGGACACTATTTTCTTAAGTTCTTAACGATACAAATCTTTTGTAATTGTCCACTCAACAAATTATCTTCTTCCTCTATCTCGGAAACCATCTTTGTGTCTTTTGTCTGCTCTATTTAGATTTCAATTTGACCCATGCCAAGAATTGAAAGCATTTGATTAGCTTGTTTTTCCTACCTTCCAAATTATGCTACCTCATTTTGCGTTTTAATTAGGAGTCATTTCATTCGTCATTTGAGAAAGAACTTTGTTATCCAGCTTCCTGCAGTAATTGATTGGACAAAGACACTGTTTTATTCACTTTTGAGTGATTATGATCATTTGTAATTGTCTACCCTGACAAATCTTCTTCCCCCTCCACCCTGTAATCCATCTTTGTGTCTTTTGTTTGCTCTTTTTCATTCAATTCATATAAAACGGGCGACCTGGTGCATAGAAGCTCCAGTATATGTGGTCCAGGGACATGACTCAAACCCATTAACTCTGCTGTCATGGCAACATTGTTTGCCTTGAATTTGCATACACTTAAAATAGATTGGCATTGAGAAACCTGTTTTTTTTGAGAAAAAAAAAATTTTGCATTTAGAAAGCAGGTATAAATAACCTTTTTTTTTTTTTGTATATGTAAAAAGGACTATGAATGATAATTGTTGGTGAAAGTGATTACCAGAACTGAAGTTTACTTGCTGTTATCTTTATCTAAGAGGTTCATGCACACTCTGCAGCTTCCAGCGATTCTACAACCAGGCGTGACACTCGTTATTTCCCCTCTGCTTTCCCTCATTCAGGACCAGATAATCACTCTCAACCTTAAATATGGAATACCGGCTACTTTCCTAAATTCTCAACAAAGTACTTCACAATCAGCAGCAGTGTCTGAAGAATTAAGGCAAGGTTCAAAATTCAAAGCTTTACTTTTATAAAATGTCACCTTTATCTCATTAAACTTCTTGTTATTAGGATTGTGATTGAAGAGTTCTGGGATATTGATGACTCCTTTATTTCCTTTTGGATATTTAATATAATACAGTTTTTGTATTTCAAAGCGAATAAAAAGAATGGTGTCACATTAGTGTAAATTTGTTTCTGGTTTATGTTGCCTCATTTGATCAGGCTGCATTGGTATCACTTCAGTAGCTCCCTGAAAGCTTGAGCAATTATTTTCTACAGATTGGTCAAACTTTCTATGATTTACAGTTTGTATTTTATCTTAATATCTCATAGGAAAGATAAGCCATCATGTAAGCTCCTATATGTAACTCCTGAGAGGGTTGCTGGAAATTTATCATTTCAAGAAAGCCTGAAATATTTACACATGAAGGTCAGTTTTCAAAGTGTATTGTTAGCTTTCTAGACTGATGACTAACATTTATTACTTGTATTGATGTTAGTGAATGTCTCGTGAAACAGGGTAATTTGGCTGGATTTGTAGTCGATGAAGCACATTGTGTAAGGTACACAGCTTAAATTCTTAAGATAGAATTAGAATACAATGAGATTTGTAGTCAAGATCAAGAAATTTGGAAAGTGAGCAAAAAAAGATCAAAATGATAGTGTGAATTATAGTCATGGTGAATGTTGATAAACTAGAAATCAAGTAAAGAAATGCAGTTTTTATATTTGATTTTTCTTTTTGTCCACTTGCATCGTAATAAAAATGTCATTCTCATCTGTTATGTAATGGAACATATATGTGATAATTACAATTTCACATCTCATAAAGTTGTATCAAATACATTGAAGTTGAAGTGGTGTCCGTTAATTGTGGAAGTTTATATTTGAAAATGATGACAGCCGTATATTGTTACAGAGAAGTAATTGTGATTGAAATTTTGGTCGAATTTTGCCCATCCAAATGAGATGAAATAACTATCTAGCTTCTTTATCATCTATGTTTCAGTCAGTGGGGACATGATTTCCGTCCGGATTACAAACTTTTAGGATGCCTCAAGAGAAACTTTCCCAGAGTTCCTGTGATGGCATTAACAGCCACAGCAACCCAAAAAGTTCGTGAGGTAAGTTTTCCACTTAATTGAGTTTGTGACTTTGATTCCTGCTTTCTTTTACGCTATCTTAATCTTCTCTGCAGGATATCTTAAAAGCTCTTGGAATTCCTCGTGCAATCGTCTTAGAGAAGAGCTTCGATAGACCCAATTTAAAGTATGAAGTGATCGCAAAGAACAAAGAACCACTCAAACAGCTTGGGAGTCTACTATTGGACCGTTTCCAGGATTTGTGTGGTATTGTGTACTGTCTTTCAAAAAGTGAATGTGTGGATGTCTCAACATTTCTAAACGAAAAATGTAAGGTCAAAACAGTTTACTATCATGCTGGTCTTGCTGCACGTCAAAGGGTTGAGGTTCAAAAGAAATGGCACACTGGAGAAGTCCATGTTGTGTGTGCTACCATAGCTTTTGGGATGGGAATAGATAAACCTGATGTTGTAAGTCCTACCTTATATTGCTTCTCTTTCTTTTAGACTTCCGTTTTTCTATGTGCGAGTGACTTCCATGATTACTATCGCAGAGCGAGACAGAAACCTATCGTTAATTTATTGAAATTCAATTGAGATAAACACATGAAGATGGTGATGGTCATTTGAGAAACATGAAATGGTAGATAACTTTAAGCTGTAATGAAAGAGATAATACCTTTAGAGTTTAGGGATGATACCTTTCAACCTTTTTGAAATTGCTTATTTCTGGGATACCATATATTTTCGGTTGGAGATTTATGGATGATTGACAGATTTTTTTGCTTTGAAAACCGTCTATGCCAAATGATTCTATACATTTTCTCTGTGGTAAAAACTGATTAATTCGTTTTAATGATCCAGAGGTTCGTTATCCACAACACTATGTCTAAATCAATTGAAAGCTATTATCAAGAATCGGGAAGAGCAGGTAGAGATAACTTTCCTGCCACATGCATTGCCCTATATCAGAAGAAGGATTTCAGTCGAGTAAGTTGTCTGTTGAGAAACGGGCATGGCCGAACATTTGAGAGCTTGAAATTGGCCATGGAACAAGCTCGGAAAATGCAGGAGTATTGTGAACTTAAGGTAATTACTTTCAGTATGAAACAGAAATTCAATGAGTTTCACTTTTTAGAATAAATTTCATTTGCTAAAGTTGTATGTTGCATTGTGCAGACTGAATGTCGTAGACAAGCTTTATTAGCACATTTTGGAGAAACCTTCGACTCTAATGCCTGCAAACATGGATCTAATCCTTGTGACAACTGCCTCAAAGCTGCGCGATAGAATGAGACATGTATCTTCAGCTGCATCAGGACAGTCTCGAATACTAAGCAAGCACAATTCTCCAGGTAGATATTAGAACTGGAAAGTCCAGATTTTGCTTGATTTACTCCTTAAGAAACTGGTTTCGACACTGTTATTCTTAATCATCTCGAACAGGGGTCTAAGGGGTGGTAGCTTCCTTGTCTGCTAACTTTTTTGGGGACCTGTTTTTGGCAAACATATTCAAATAAGCTGCATCTGAGGTTCTGTTTCCACTTTAGGGCTGGTTTGTGCCATATCGGATCATAACTTCCGGCTCCAGTAAGATCCATTAGCAAGGTTCAGACACGCTGTCATGCTAATTCATCAAAGTATTCTCTTAGGCTCTCCACAAAATCATGGACGACTCTGGACACATGCAATCAGATCTCAGTTTTATTTCAGCAGTTCCGGTGTAACTTCCATTGACATAATGCAGTTTTACATTCTTTGGTTATTGTTTCTTGTCTTCTGTTCGGTGTATATATATATCAGAGTAATTCTTGCTCCTCAGCTCTTTTAATAGACTTTTAATATCTGATGATGATAAAAACCAAAATAAACATAAAATTTTGGTCTTCCGGGCATTACGCAATTACAATATTGATTTCAGGTCACGTATGCCTTTTGACGTCAGTTCGTTGTGATCTTCTGACCAAAATAAGATTTGGGTGTGATCTTTTTTGACCATTTTTTTTTCCTCATCTTTTTGGAGATTTTGCTTGCATAATTGGTCATCTATGACTAAAATGTAAAATTGGGATTTGTGGAATTCCCTTTTCATGAAAAGTTTTACGCAGGTAGAAGACGGACAAGTGGATGATTCGTTTTTTTAAGCAATGAGTCAATAATCGCTGCTTTCAAATCCAATGTCCACATCTGAGTTGATCCCGGTTTTTACATTCTTTCTTTGATGAGAAAAATGACACAAAATTGAGGGGTCCCCCTGCATTCATCATATTTGTGTATGTTTCAATCAAACCACGAGGGTAGTTGAGTACTCTCTTTGACTTACATTACTACAAAAAATAAATGAACAAAATGCGTTTATAATTCGACAGATACAGTTCAATAATTAATCAATTGATGAAAAATTCTCTTTTCGTGTGTATTATAATTTATAAAATCGTTACTACTGAGTAAGAGAGACGTCTTCTCACAACTATCACCCCATAATGTCATTGATAAAAATGTAATTGAATTGATTCGTTGCTAGTTTGTAATAATTTGTAATACTACGGACGGTGATTTGATTAACTTGTAAATCAAATGTTGAAAACTCTAAAATGAGAGAGTTAAGGGACTGAGAATGACCTTCCAGCGAACCATGCAAATTCGGACAAATTGTGCTGCGGAAAATAAGGATATCCAAAATCAATTAATCGTTGGAAATTTTGTCGTCGAAGACTTTGGCGATTTGTGTGATGTCTTCTCTATGATGAGCAAAATATATATAAAAAAAATCAAAATAGTGCACACAATTATTTTGCTTCCCCTGAAAATGAAAGAGCATGTGCTTTTGTCAAATATAAATCATTGTATATATATATATATATATATATATGTATATGTATATACTTTTTTTTTTTGGTAATAAAATTATCCCATCAAAATTTATTCTGTTCTGTCTCCATCATCATTCCTGTGTGCACCTGTGTGAGTGCATCAACTTATAAAATTGACATTGTTGTGGCCACTTGTCAGAATATTATTTAATTCTATCAAATTTTGGTACACTTTGAAAATCTCTTCCCTTTTGGAAAAAGAAAATGTTGCATCATAAATTTGTAATAAAGATCTCATAAGTGGTACCAGATGAAGTGCACTATTATTAAGTTCGATGAGGATAGAATTGAATGAATAATAACTTAAAACAAGATGGCACGTTTTCAAAACTTTTAAGTTGCATAATTTGGTAGATTTTCCTTTTCTCATAAAAGACAAGCTTAATAATATGTATTTTAACTTCTTTTTGGAATGTGTATGCACTGATAGAATAGACAGTAAATTGTAATTATCTTGTATTACTAAATTAGGTTTAGCTAGTTTACCGTTACATTTGATAACCTTTAGTTTATTAGATAAATACTATTGTTGTAAATCAAGTAGAGATCATCATGTAAACAACTCTATAAATAATATTAATCAATACGGTGATTCTCAAGTTAGAGAATTCACTTCACGTTTAAACTCTTTTATAGTATCAACTGTGTTCCACTGCCGCCATGACTGTTGAAGATTCTGTCTCCTCTAGCAAAAACCCTAACTCCACCGTCATGTCTTCAACATCTTCTGCTTCCAATTCTTCTTCCACTCATCCTGCTCTTGGTCTCTCTAATATCAAGAACTATGTTTCACCCGTTCTTGATTTCACGAATTATCTTCTCTGGAAAGAATTGTTTCTTCCAGTCTTACGTAGTCATGGTGTTTATGATCATGTCGATGGATCCTCTTCTTCTCCTCCTTCGACTATCACTGATGATTCTTCCAATTCTATTCCTAACATTGCCTATCACAAATGAATACAAGTCGATTCTATTGTCCTTTCATGGATCCAAGCCACAATTTCAACTAAAATTCTTCAAGCCATCATTACCCCCCAATCATTCCCTCACTGCTCGTGAAGCTTGGTTCACTATTGAAAAACTCTTTCAGGATCATATCGATTCTAGAGTTCTACATCTTAAAATGAAGTTTCATAATCAAAAGAAAGGAGATCTTTCTATCAATGACTATGTTCATTGTTTGAAAACCCTCGCTGACTCTCCCAATTCAGTTGGTGGCAACATTTCTGACTCCGATCTTGTTCTTCAAATTCTTGAAGGCTTACCAAATGATTATCTTCCTATTTCTGCTACAATATCCACCAAATTACCTCTTCCCTCCTTTATTGAGGCACGTGCCCTCCTCTTTCTCCATAAAACTCACCTTCAACAAAATCGTATCTCCCCATCCCCTTTTTCTGCGACCGCTCTTATTGCAACTGTTCTTTCTGAGTCTTCTAATTCAGCAGCCTCTCAACCCTCCGCCAATTTTGCTTCCACTCGTGGTCGTGGACGTGGTCGAAATTCAGGTTTTCGTGGCCGTGGAAGAGGTCATGGCCGTCAAGGTTTCAACTCTCCTCAATTCCAAGCATTCTCAAACTATTCTTCTCAGGCACCAAATTATGCTCTTTCTCGCCACACGGTAACTCTATTCTGGGATCTCCTCCTTTCAATTCATCATTACGTTGTCAATTATGCATGCAATATAATCATAGTGCTCGTGATTGCTATCAACTTCAACAACCGGCCTTCTATGTTGACAACTCCAACCGCTCTATTGTTCCTTCCTCTCCATCGGTTGATCATTCCTGGTATATGGATACTGGAGCATCCAACACCATGACTCCTCATCTAGGTAATCTCTCTAGTCTAAAACCTTACACTGGTTTGCAACGAGTCGTAGTTGGTAATGGTGTGTCGTTGCCAATTCGCTCCATTAATAGTCTGCCTTCTTCACTTTTCCAATTTCCTAATGTCTATCATGTTCCTGCCTTAACCAAGAACTTAATATCTGTCCGTCAATTCACTAGAGATAACTTTTGTTCTCTTGAGTTTGATTCACTTGGCTTTTCTGTGAAGGATCTTTGGACGAAGAAGCTCCGTCTACGGTGCAATAGTCTTGGTCCTCTTTACTCCTTCCCATCTCACACTCTTCATTCAATATCTTCTCCTATGGCCATGACTGCGACTACCATGTCTTCTTCACTCTGGCACCAATGCTTGGGTCACCCCCAATTCGTCTATTCTGTCTCAATTGATCTCCTCCAACTCCCTTCCTCGTTCGAGCATTTCTACAAATAAAAGTGCAGGTTCACTTTGCAATTCTTATCAAATTGGAAAGCACCATAGGCTTCCATTTTCTAGATCTCATTCACTTACTTGTCGTCCTTTTGATTTAGTGCATAGAGACGTCTCCTCATCCATCATTTATTAGATTTAAATATTATGTCTCGTTTTTAGATGATTATACTCATTATTTGTGGGTGTATCCAATGAAACAAAAGTCTGAAATTTCTACCATCTTTCCTCAGTTTTTTTCAATGATATTAAACCAGCACAATGTCTCTATTAAAATCCTTCAATGTTATGGTGCGGCTGAGTATGTCACTTCCAAAATCTTTCACAACTTCCTTAATGATAAAGGTAGTAATCTGTGAATTTCATGTCCATATACGCCGCAACAAAATGGCAAAGCCGAGAGAATGAATCGTACTATTATAAACATGGTTCGAACTCTACTTTCTCATGCCCAATTACCTTCTAAATTTTGGTTTGAAGCCCTTCATGTTAGTGCTATTTACTCAACAGTTTACCTGCTACAAGTAAATCTAGTAATAATCCTTTTCAGCTTCTTTATCAACTCATCCCTGATTATTCTTGGCTTAGGGTTTTCGGATGCTTGTGTTTTCCAAACCTCTCTGTTGTTGCACAAAATAAATTCAGTCCTTGATCCGCAGAATGCATCTTCTTGGGTTATCCTGAATCCTACAAGGGATACTGATGCTATGATCCAATCTCCGATAAGGTTTACATCTCTCGTCATGTAGTTTTTCGATGAGACTATATTTCCCTACTCTCTCTTAACCTCTAATCCTACTCCAACTCCTTTTCCTCCTTATTCATTTACACCTCCTTCTTTTTTAGCACCACAATTTATTCCCTTCAATTTAAATACTTCATCTCCTCCTCTTGTTGCCAACACCTCTCCTCGCAAATTATTGTCATCTTCTCCTACTAGTCATATTCATTCTTCCTCTCCATCCTGTCCAGCTTCTTCCTCACACTCCATTCCACCATCTGCTCCACCAGTTCCTTCTCGCATTCATCTTATGATCACTAGAACACAAGATGGAAATCGTCACCCAAAAATCATTCCATCTCTCTCAGCCACTACTGTTTCTTCTCTTCCAACCGAACCTACATCATTTACCGAGCCAACAAATACCCTGAGGGGCGCGCAACTATGTCTGCGAAATATAACACCCTTCTTCAAAATCAGACTTGGAATTTAGTCCCTCCTCACACTCATGCCAATATCATTGGCTCTAAATGGATTTATTATGTTAAATTAAAGGCAGATAGTTCTCTTGAATGTTGTGAACCGCGTTTGGTTGCTCAGGGTTATATTCAACAACCCAGAATTGATTACAATCAAACGTTCAGTCCATTGGTAAAACCCATGACAATACGGACTGTGTTGACTCTTGCAGCTTCTCGCAATTGGCTCGTTCATCAATTGGACGTAAAGAATGCTTTCTTGCATGGCCATCTCAAAGAAATTGTCTATATGAAACAGCCAACAGGTTTTGTTCATCCACATCATCCTCATTATGTCTGTCGATTGAACAAAGCACTTTATGGCTTAAAGCAAGCCCCAAGGGCATGGTTTCACCGATTTACTACTTTTTTTTATTGAGCCAAGGATTTAAGTGTAGTAGAGCATATTCATCCGGGTTTGTTTTCAAGTCTGGATCCGAAATGGCCATTTTATTACTATATGTCGATGATATTTTATTAACAGCATCTACTACTCTTTTACTTGATTCTCTGATGACAGCCATGAAAAAGGAGTTTTTCATGACTGATCTTGGCCCGATTAGTTATTTTTTAGGTATTTCCATTCAAAAGTTCGCTGATGGCTGGTTCCTACATCAACAAAAATATGCCCAAGAATTACTAGTTCGTAGTAATCTTCAAAATTCCAAGCCTGTTGCTACACCTTTAGCCTCCAGTTTTCAATTTTCTACCAAGTCTAGTCCTCCTTTTCATAATCCGTTTTTATATCGTAGTCTAGTAGGTGCTTTACAGTACTTAACTTTTACTAGACCTGACATTTAACATGCTGTCAATCTTGTGTGCCAACATATGCACAATCCTCAAGAAAAATACTATCAAGCGGTAAAGAGTATCCTTCGGTATATCAAGGGTACTCTTAACTTTAGTCTACAATTAAAATCCAGTCCTTTTGATCGTCTTGTAACATTTTTGGATGCGGATTGGGCTGCTTGCCCTGTCACGCGACGATCTACTACTGGATTTTGTGTCTTCCTTGGTTTATCTTTGGTCTCTCGATCTTCCAAAAAGCAAGCTACTGTCTCTAGATCGTCAGCAAAATCAGAATACCGGGTCGTTGCTTCAGCTTTTGCTGAAACTCTTTGGATTGAACATTTACTGTTTGATTTATTCATCAAGCTTCCCAAGCGGCTGATTATCTTGTGTGACAATATCTCTGCCACATATCTTGCTGTCAATCTCATTAATCATGCTAGAACGAAGCATATTGAACTCGATGTTCACTTTGTTCGAGAACGTGTGGCTGCCGGACAACTTACAGTTGAGCACATTCCTACATACCTTCAACAAACTGATTTACTCACTAAGTCTCTCTCCAAAGATAAGTTTGTTGCCTTGCAATCTAATCTTGGTATGCTTCAACATCAACCTTCTATTGAGGGGGATGATAGAATAGATAGAAAACTGTAATCATCTTGTATTACTAGATCAGATTTAGCTAGTTTACAGTTACACTTGATAGCCTTTAGTTTATCAAATAAATACTATTGTTGTAAATCAAGTACAGATAATCATGTAAACAACTTTATAAATAATATTGATCAATATGATGATTCTCAGGTTGGAGAATTCACTCCATGTATAAACTCTTTTGCGCACAAGTAAATATTGTTGCTCACCTGAAGAATAAATTTGCTAAAGAAAAAAAAAAATTCAAATTTGGCCATGTGATTTTTTTTCCTTTTATAATCTTTGAGCTCTGATAAATTCTTCAAGATAGGATTTTGAAGTGTCAAATGTGTCAAATGCTCTTGTTTGGTACTTCTTCTTCTGCCAAACTGAAAAATTTTTCCAACCTACTTGTATTTCAATGAACTTTCATCCCTTAGTATGAGATTAAAGTAGAACTTGACCTTTTTAAATTGAATAATTTTTTAGTGCAAATTACCCCCCAAAAAAAGTTCAGATTTGTATTTGTACGAGTTGGATAACATCTGTCTATTCTTTCTAGGTTTTGAAATTTTGCATTCCCTAAGAAACTGGAAAAAATTACGGCTCCCAATGCCAATTTACTTTTTAGTTCTACCATGTCTCCTCAATATAATAACTACAAAGTGTTTTTCTTTTTTTTTTGGAAAACAATAACTACAAAGTGTGAGTATGAACATGTTTATTTTACGTTTTGGATTTTTAATCTTAATTGTAACCAAAGAAAAAAAATGATTAAATTAAAAACATGATCTGAATAGATCTGTCTTTTTCTTTAGTGGACTATCCATTAGTCAAACTTTTTTTTATAATTTTGTTTTTTTCGCATTTCCAAAGCTTTATAATTATAAATAAACAATATCTCTAACATATTGGTTACTTCACTTGGTCAGATTACTTTTTAAAGAAACAATTTGAGGCTTTTCAAATTGATTTGCATTTGCGAGAGTCAATTACATAATTTGAAACAATGAGAAAAGTTGCATTCAAAATGTTAGATATGGGTTACATTCTGTATCTCAAAATGATTGTTTACTATTTAGTCTAGATTTTTTTCTTTTAATTAATAATTTCGAACTAAGAATAAAAAAAAAAATTCAATCTACTCAATCATTTCGTGACGAAAAGAAATTTAAAATATTGACAATCCCATTCTACCATCTACATTTAATCTGCTTGGATGAAATGATAGGGAGAAAAATGATCCCTTAAAAGAAAAGAAAAGAAATGTAGTATGAGATTATCCCCCAATTTCCTTATAAGTAATTATTTCGAGCAAAGTTTGAAAGGTCCAACCATCACGTAACAATTAAAGTTTTGTTATATTAGCTCTAAATCAGCATTATCTAGGATTTAAAATCGCAACTTCATCTAAAAAGTAAGAGGTGACTGAGTAGTTAATCCACGAAAACATAACATCAAAAATATATCGTAAACTACAAATATTACATGGCCATTTTATATTCCACGGAATTAGAAATATGCTGAATTTCTAATGCCATTATCCGAAACGGTCCATCTGTAAAATCACTCCATGTAGAAGAAGAGTACAATACTGGCATTTAGTAGTGTGGGCTTTGAAAACGGTTACGGTGGAAATTGGTACGTTTGTCGTCTTCATTTTTTCTTCATCAGCGTATGTATACTCATCACTGCAAATACTTATTATACTTACACTTTAATGCCTGACAAAATACCACACACTCACTCACACACTAGGATTCCTACAGAGAGAGAGAGAGAGAGAAAGAAAGAGAGCATTTTGTAATTTTCTCTTTTATCCAAAAAATTGAGCAGCTCCGGCGTTTCAGTTTTTAATTTAACCAAAAGGGGGGAGAGAGCTTCCCCACTTTCATCTTTTGTCTCCACTCATTATCAGTCTTCAGTCTTCACCTTCAAAACACACACACACACACTGTCACACACTAAAAACTCATCAAAATTTTAAATCCAACCGACCAACCACTTCAGATCTCCATAAACATTGCTACTACTTTGTTCCTTTTCCCACTTGTGTGACGTAGCCTTCTTCTTCTTGAAATAAAAAAGTCCAAGTCAATTTAAATTCTTGAAAAATGCTGATGATGCCCTTTGGTGATTTCATCTCAGAATGTTCTCTGGTCAGTTCCTGATTTGAAATAATATCTTACTTTTTCGCTGATTTTCATCCATCTTCATTTTTCTTGTTGGCATTTGGCTCTGGGTTTTGAATTTGAGCATTATATGTGTAGGTAATGGTAATGGTGTTGTATGGTCCTGTTCTTGGAATTGAATTATCTGGGTGAAAGTTGAACTTTTTCTTGATCAATTTCTGCTTTTTTGTGATGGGTTTTTCTGGGTTTGCTGTTCTTCTCAATCTTCAATTGCAACTCCTCAGTGTATGTAGATGGATATGTTAAAAAGTGTCTAACTTTTGCATTTGAATCTAGGTTTTCTTGACCGTCTGGATATGTTCTGGAGCTATCTTTAATGCTTATAAATAAAAAAGTGATATTCTTTTAGCCTCTACTTAACGCACATTTGCTGTTACTGTTGTGGTTTGACTTCAATGGATGTTGATTATTGAACTGGGCGATCAATTTTGGCCAAACTCTTGTGTGCTTGCTTGAATGAGTCTGCCAAGACTAGATAATGCGTCAGTTTCTACTGTTTGTTTTATTAATTTTTGGCTGTGGCAATGTGGTTGGGGATCTATGTATGTGTGGCCAGAAATGATGTATTAAGTATTTCTATGTTCTGATTTGCAGACAGATGTGGATCCCCTTTCAAATTAGCTGAGGCATTTAGTGCCTTTTGAGTGCTTTTCCTGCTTTAAATGTGAAAGATGGAAGTAGAGAAGAGAAGTTCAAAGGGAGGGTTTCTTCAGTTATTTGATTGGAATGTGAAATCTCGAAAGAAGCTCTTCTCTAACAAGTCGGAATCATCTGGTAACTATACTTTAAGCTTGTTAATCTTTGCTAAACCACACTCTAATTCTAAATGCATCCATGTTTCACCACTATCATTTTTCAATTATGATTAGGAAGTTTCATACTTTAATGCTTTGGCTGCAGAAAATACTAAGCAAGGTAGGGAAATTCTCAATGATTCAACTGTTTCGCGACTTCAGAAGGTACTACTTTGAAACATTATTCCATTTTATCATTCACTTCTACGTTGTTTTGTCTGCATTGTTTATATCTGGAAATATTCGTATGAAGGTGCATGAAAATGGTTATGGTCCGTGTACTAGAGGGACAAATGATTTGAATTACACTTCATCTGTGAATGGAGACGATGGAAGCACAAAGGCTCCTAGTGTTGTTGCTCGCCTTATGGGATTGGACTCTCTTCCAACTACAAATGCTTCTGAATCCTGTTACACCCCATTGTTTGAATCCCCATCTTTTAGAGACTCTCATTACTCGAGGGTTATTCCTGATATCAGGGGCGACGAGCATATTGTAATCTATGAGAGCATGCGGAATAAATTGGACGGGTCCACCAAAAATCCTGTTGAAGTGATGTTGCATAAAGTTCAGAGTCGACCAATTGAGAGGTTTCAAACTGAAGTCCTGCCACCAAAATCTGCTAAGCCCATCTCAATTACCCACCACAAGCTTCTTTCTCCCATAAAGAGTCCAGGGTTCATTCCAAGTATGAATGCTGCTTATTTGGTGGAGGCAGCCGCTAAAATTATTGAACAAAGTCCCCGGTCAACCACTACTCACAAGCTTCCAACTCTGGGTTCATCTTCAGTGCCACTGAGAATTCAGGATCTTAAAGAAAAAATGGAGGCTGCACAGAGATCTGCAAGGATTCTTGAAGCTTCTCAGAATGGCAAAGAGCAAATTTCTTCCAGACAAATGAAAAGACAGCCTAGGGATAAAGTTCTTGGTCGAGGAGAAGCTCCAGATACGGTTAGGGTATTAGAGGCACCTAAAAGTTCTGGTCCAAGAAATTTGAAGAATAAAGATAAATCAGTTTCAATGGCTGCTCAAGCTAAAGCTAATCCTCAGAAGAAAGAGAAGTATAATTCTGGTGGTAACCGGAATTTTGTAAACCAAAAGGAGCAAAGTGACAAGAAATATAGCTCTGCAGCTAGAAACCAATCTAAATCCCAAAAGTCTGCTGAGGGGAGAACTTCAGTGAACAGGCCATCTGACGTATTGAGGCCAAACAGCCAGAAGCAGAACTCGGGTTCAAATGATGACAGAGAAAGTTTAAGATCTTCCTTTTCCCATCAAAAAGACCGGAAATCAGTGTCTACAAATGACGTTCCCAGATCAAGTAAGACTGTGAGCCGGGTTGATGTAAATACTGCTGCAGGCTCAAGGAAAACCTCTGTTAATCTTGTCGGTAAGGAACAACCTATGTCAATGATGAGAAAATCTGCTGGAAAAAGGCCACTAGTTAATGGAAATAATGATAGAAATACGGCTATCAACAAAGGTGTAAAGTCTGTAAAATGCAACTTTGAAACAGAAAAGTATAGTAGTAGATGGGATGCAGCTGAGAGGAAAAGTGGGATGGATGTAGTATCTTTTACATTTACTTCTCCAATTAAGAAGTCTCTCTCTGCAAGCAGTTCACCAGGACATGGCGTGGAAAAGAAGCGGAGCCCCTTTACTATTTCCAGTTTCAGCGAAAGTCAGTCTTCTTTGGGTCTAAGTGTGACTAGTAGTGATGCTTTAGGTATGCTTTTGGAGCAAAAGTTGAAGGAGTTGACATCCAAGATTGAGTCACCCCATCAACAACTTGATCATTCTTCAGTTTTTCCAAGTTCTGCTGACTCTTGTAGTGATTCATCTTCCGCTCTCAACATAGCACGTACCAAGTCTGGAGAACATGACGTGAAATTCCAATCTCATACCCCCAAGGACAAACCCCATGTCTCAGCAACAAGAATGTGGCAGGTGTGTTCGCTTTCTACACTTTCGTTTGTGCATATACTGTTACTCGTCTCTATCTTCCTTGACTCTGTGACTTTCTATTCTTGAAATTCACTCTGAAATAGTTACTGCAAGTTTGCAAAAATGTTGATCAACTAGAAAGCTTTATCCTGCTTAGATGTCTTATGGTTTCACTTAATGCTGTACAGTCTTCAAGGGAAGGACTAACAGAGTTATCTTTAGGTTACCGAATTCACTAGATTTTGACCCATATGTGGAAGTGGATAAAGGATAGGTTAAAACTAACAGATCCAATTTCGATGATCTTTTGAATTTCAAATAATTCTGTAAGGTGGACTATCTATTATCTCTACAAACCAAGTTGGCTTAGTGCTACTGAACTTCTGTTTAAACAAGCTTAGGGTGGGAATAAGAAATGATTGAATCCAATGGATAGAAGTAAAATAACTGGAAACTCAGGTAGCTAACTGAAAATATTCCTTGAGATATGTAATTGATATCTCGTGCATATGACTATATTCTCCTTTGGAAGAATACCTGTAATTCATTGCTTGGTTATGCCATCTGTTCCTCTCTGTGCATGTTTATGTGTACGCTTACATGTTGCCAAGTTATGAAGCATCTGGAGCAAGTTAGATGTGTTAGTCTTGAAATGCAAACAAACCATTGTCATTGCCAATGTTCTTGAAACATCTAAGGAAAGTTGTTGATAGATTTAGAGTCATCATGTAGTTCAGTTTTGGTAGGTTAATGTGCTTGCACGTTAGCTTTGATAAGTGATGACCAGCTCACAGTTTGCTGCCCTGGATTCATTATGTACTGCTGATTTGCTAGTTTTGCAAGAATGCCAAATTTGAATCCTTATCTGCAGTATCTGCATTAAAATTAGCTAACCCTTAATTGTCATGTACATATCTAGTTTACCTTCAAAATAAGAGTACATGGACCTTCAACGTTATGGTTTTTTGCTGTAAACACTATCGGGTTTCTTTTTGTACTAAGGGGTACCTCATTTATTTCAATAGAATCCAAGGCACCATGAACAATTGCTCTTTTGCAGTTTGCTGTCATTTTGTAATCATTTTCTTTGTCACTTGTTATTGGTTCTCTTGCCAATGGAAAGTTTTGTATCGTACCTGAAATGTTTTTGCCATTAACAGGGAGTAGAGGGCACAGAAGAGAATGGTAGTATTGGTTCCATTGAATATGACAGAGGGCATAGACTTCAAACTGCTCGTCCAGTCCCTAGTCTGGAACATGCTTACTCTGAGGCTAGCTGCAGCTCCCTTGATAGCAGCAGAAGTGTTACCAATGAGGGTATGAATGCTTTTTCTGTTCTTTGTTTTTTCTTTTTTTCAATTGCATGAGGAATGCTCCGCCTCAAGTGTCTTTCACTATAATGATACCATGCAAGGGCTGCTTCATTGAACCCACTACATGAAAGGTTAACGGTAGCGTGAAGTTATCATAAACTATATCCAAACTCTTGGTCGGTAGTTGCATAGCTGTATATTAGACTCAAATTATTATCATTCCTGATCGAAGCGCTTTTTACACAGTATCTCATCCTTGTTACTTTTTGAATTCAGCAAGCAAGATGTTTTCATCATTTGAAGCCTATGAAATCACTCAATGGAGTTCCACCAAAAAGAGCCAACCAACTGAAGACGTGGAATTGTCAGATTGTGCCTCTTCAGCATCCCTCGGGACAACAAGCGTAACCGAGACAAGTTTGTCATGTAGTTCTATGTTTCCGTACGAATCGCCCAATTGGGAGTTTGAGTATGTCAGGCATGTACTTGTGAACACAGACTTGATGCTTCAGGAGTTCGCCCTTGGCGAGGCACACAAGATTCTTCCCCCCGATCTCTTTGTTCATTTTGGGGATGAAAAGCTAGGATCTAATAGAAATTCAGAAGAGAACTTCAAGGTAGTGCGAAAATTACTGTTCGACTATGTTGAGGAGTCTCTAGAACAAAAATGCGCACGACTTCTCAGTGGAAGTTGGAAGTCTTGGGCTAAGTTGACAAACTCATTCCAAAGGAAAGACTGGTTGGCAGAAGGGTTGTGCAGAGAGATATCTGGGTGGACAAGCATGGAAGACTTCATGGTAGATGAGCTTGTAGACAAGGATATGAGCAGCCATTTAGGGAAATGGGTCGATTTCGAAACTGAAGCATTTGAAGAGGGAGTAGATATTGAGAAAGGAATCTTGAGTTGTTTAGTAGATGAATTAGTTGATGACTTCTTGTTGGCTTAAAAAAAAAATTAAAAAAAAAAAACCAGTGAAAACATGGGGGATAACAAGTTAAACTATAAGTTTTAGGTTAATGATTAATCTTGTGATTATATATTCATTACAAAGTCTAATATTGTTGCTAATCAGAAAGAGGGGTTGGAATCCTTTATTCAAAAATGCTTCTCATTTCCAACTTCTCTTTTTACCTATAAATGCCGGAAAATCAGCTTTAGCTGATTATTGAGTTCATGTAAAGCTTTAGCTAGCCACAACAATCTATTTAATGCCCTGTGAATGGATACATTTTGTTGCAAAACGTAAGTGGTTATAGCTCGGCGGTGGCACCGACAGCTGATCAAAACTGATTGGGATTGGTAGTTCACAAATAGCTTCAGTAGTTCTGTTCATCAATTTGACATTTCAGATGTTAAAAAGTTTGAATCTCACTGTCTGTATATTCATCAATTTCTCTTCTTTCTGACTATCCCTTGTGCGTTTACTTCAAAAGCTTAGGACTTTGAATCTCGCTAACCACATATATATCACTTTCTCCTCTGTTCCAGCCTCAAAACTTAAATTGAAGGGAATAGTAGTGTTAAAAAGGTGTGGATGGCTGATGGACTTGATTTGGTGGTAACTAATTTTGATCCTATTTTACTGTTGAAACTAGAAAGAGGTGAAATTATTTCCCATAGTGAAGAATTTATTCTTATTTTTCTTTTTTTCTTTTCAGTTAATATTTTTTTTTATATTGCAAAGTGCCCGCACAACAATGACTAATCTCCTTCTCATGGTAAATACATCGATGGGTGGGAGTTGGTCAAAGAATTAAAGATTCCTCTATACCTATGGTAAAGTTTAAATTCTCGACCTATAATTAAGAGTGAAAGAGTCCTTACCACTTCAATGTAACCCTTTCGTTAGTTAATAATTTGTTTGAGTTTATGTGTCATTGTTTGGGCGGCCATCGGGCCATGTGGGGTGTTTGGTCGGCGCTAGTTTCTGGGTTCAGTCCAATTCTTCTTTACTTCGCTACAATTAGTGAGAATGATTATGATTAGGTTAACATGGTTAGCATGTTTATTTTTTTACCTTTTAACCTAGACACGCTTTTGTGACTCTTCATGAAGAAGCATACACGGTTTGACCATAGATTCTTTGAAATTTCTATTAACATATTTCTTGTATCTTATAGGTTTCTTATACACAATTTTTTTGTTACTACCTAATCTACTCATCATACCCCCTCCCCACAAACTCATCGTAAATACTTTACTTTCGCGCCCAGTAAAAATCGAACTCGCAACCACTTATAAGAGAGCCCTACCACCATATCACTAGGTTACATTCGATTCTCCTTAAACACAATTAAGTTGTAACACAAACTCACAATAGATTCATGGAAAAAGGAAATTAAAATGATCAGTAAGGAAATTTCGAAACGATGTCGTGATATCTATCCAGTAATGTAGATCAAGTTGTTACTTATTCGCCAGAGTGCTCATTTAAGAAAATGTTTTACACATTAGGGTTCCTTTATAGTTATTACTGTATAAGTTTCTAAGCCTTCTTCTGTTTTATACATTGGGTTCTTTTATACTCCCTCAGGTCTTTATTATAAGACATTTTAACTTTTCTTAGGTTTCACCTATTACATATTTTTAATTAATAAAAAAACCTTAAAAATATTTCATAACAATCAAGAGAATATAAGGAATGTGAAAATATATTTTTAAAGTTTTTTTGTTAATTAAAAATACGTATTAGGGAAATCTAAGACAAATCAAAATGCATTATATATTAAGGATCGGAGTGAGTAATTATTATAAGTTTCGAACCTTTTTTTCTTATGTGATACTTGTGGTCAAGATCATACTATGATCTATGGAATCTTCATGGTAAAAGATTCCGAGTAAAATTGAAAATTCAAGCGCATGAGAGGACCACCTCAGAGTATTTTTCATTTTTGAATGAGAATATATATTAATAACACTCATGAAATAAATAATAAAATTTATTTTACCGACTAAGATCAGTAAAAAATAAAAATAAAAATTCTAATATTGACCAAAGAATTTAGACCTTTGACCTGGTTGATCTTGATCTCTACATATATAACTGGACCACTGATTGGGTTCACCAGTAATGGAAGTTGGTAAAAAACTAAAAAAGGAAGACCCCAAACAGTTAAATATGTTTTGGAGGGGTTGGACACATGTACATGTAGTTTAGGAAAATGTTACCTCGTTGAGTGACCGTTTTTTTGTGTGAGATTGGCATCATTAACTTGACACAGCACATTCTAAGCACATGCTTTCCTACTCCAAGATTTGATAGTTTTGTACCCCTTTTCTACGCCAAACCTTATTGTCTTGACGTTTAGTGACGTGTATATATATGCAAAAAAAAAAATGCTCTTCATAACAATGGCGGTAGAAATTCCGTTAAACCAGTTGGTTAAGAATTTAGATTTACTTTTCTGGTAATTCCTGCAGCGAGCCAGGTAGTTTTAAAACGATTTCCCTTAGTTTCGGAAAATATAATACTTCCTCCGGTCTTTAATATAAAACATTTTGATTTGTCCTAAATTTTACATAATACAACAAAATAACCTTAAAAATATTTCTTAACAATCAAGAGAACACAACGAATGTGAAAACATGGGTTTAAAGTTTTTTCGTCAATTAAAAATACGTACTACTCCCTCCGGTCCTTAATATAAGATATTGATTTTGACTTAAGTTTAATCTAGCACGTATTTTTAATTGACGAAAAAACCTTAAAAATATATTTTTGCATTCGTTGTATTCTCTTGATTGTTATGAAATATTTTTAAAATTTTTTTGTCAATTAAAAATAAGTATTAGGTTAAATATAGGATAAATCAAAATGCCTTATATTAAGGACCGAAGGGAGTAGATGAAACTTAGGACAAAATCAAAATGTTTTATATTAAGGATAAGAGGGAGTAATATCTCACTTGAATGTGTATTGCTGTATTGCGAAATTCTAAAATTTAATCGAAGAGACCTCAAACACACTCAAAACTTTTTGTATTGAACATTGTCCAAAACTAACTTAAGTTAGTGCCTTGCTACTGTTGTGTAACTCTTAAGGACACCGGTTCATATTGGAAAAGTTCATCCTAGCCCGAATAAAAGGAGGTTAGGCTTTGTACATTAGAGGTTAATGATTCGATCATTTTGCAGCAGTCGATCATAGCTCTGACCATATTTCAGTTTGCAATTAATCCATACGACTACGACCTACCATCTCAAATTTGAGTAATCGAATTCTTTTCGACCACAAAGCATTGTAGAGTTGTGTAATCAATAAATTTACTATCAGTTGATATGTACTACGGGTAAAATAATAATATTATCGGTGTTTAATATTTTCCTAATTTAAAAATTGTTTGCAAACCTTTTCGAAACACTGATTGTAAGTTTATACAAATAAATTGTAAAGATTGGACTTTGCGATTTAAATCATTTTATAGTTATAAAAAAAAAAAAATTAGGTACCCTAGAACGGGATGGTTTACGTCCATTGCCACACACTAATTAAGTGTCTCTACCTTTGAATAATTAAACTATAGCCAGATTTAATCAAGTTCATAATATCATTTTCATTAGTTTATGAAATTTTATGAATGAAGAAGATATTGTTAAAATTTCAAGTATTACTGTGAATGTTCATATCGTTAGCTGGGAGAAGTTTATTCGACAAAGTCGATCACGTGATATTTTCCGGTGCACAATGTCAACTGGGGGAATCACGTGATCAAGTTGCTCTTCCTAATCAAATTCTTCAAATTAATCCCTTCGCATTAAAACAGCTTTATTCCTCCTTTTCATTCTTTTCCTCTTTGTCTCTCTCATTTCCTGATGGCTGATATATAAACTACTTTGTCCCAAAATTATTGTCCACTTTCAGATTTCATTTTTAATATAATATAAACTAAAAATGAAAATCCAAACTGGACAATAATTATAAGACGGAGGGGTACCACTTTTTTCCTTTTTAAAAGAAAAAAAATCTATCCCAGTAGATTCCACTTAAATGTAAATAAACTCCCCCTTACATTTCTGGTGGGAATCGAACCCTGATTTATCACCAAAAAAGACAACTTAAGCACTAGGCTGATATATATACCACTTATTTTGATTCTCCATTTTTTAACTAATATGATTATAATATATTGTAATGAAACAAGGATTTTTTTTTAAGAAAAAAAAAACTACATTAGTTTCCTATGTTAATAGCAACAAATTGTAAGTACAAGGTGATCATTTAACTTCTTCATTAAGATCGTAGAACTCTCTCTTAAAATGGATGGTACTATATATGAAACATTAAAAAATCCCAAACAATTTCTGAATGAAATCATAATAGCAATGTACTACTTGTCAAATTAATAATTTACTGAACTTGGTGTAAGATTATTTTTGTCTTTGCCCTAAGCTGCACTGTACAATGAATCCTCCAAACCAGAGTACAATTAGTACACAGAACACCATTTTACTAGTGATTAAGGTTAGACAAGATGAACCCTATATCCCCTCCAGAAGCCACCCGTTGTTCCTGTCCTAATGTCCTTTTTAATCTCAACGGAAATTTGTCTATTAATTATTAAGCAATGTACTACCTGCCGAAGATTAATTACATAACACAAACTATTCTAATCTAGTTAATAATTATCATGTCAATATACTTATAACAAGTACTCATATTTGCCTATTGAAAAAGATTTTTTTTTTTGAATTAAAGAATAAAAACAAACAAAATTCTCGTTTTGAAACGTAATGAGTATAAGTGTACAATGTAAACCTTCTAGAGCATCTCGGGTTCTTTATTTTTCGATTGAGCTATTTCTTATAAGTTCCTGTAAATTCTAAAAATCGATATGACTATTTTTTCCTCATACGATGGAGCAGTCACATATTGTCAAAAAGAAAATAAAAATTAAAAAAAAATGCAAAGGGCATATGGATTTCAACTAGAATAACTGACTTATATATATTGATATTGTTGAGAGTTGAGACTCCAAGACTTTGGTAGTTGCCCCCAAAGTCTGTGTTTTATGTTTTTGGACTGGTTAATTCTGACTTAATTACGCGTATAATTCGAATATTTTTTTATTATAGTATCGGTAAGACCACAAGTTAACATAATAATACCAAAAAGATATATAATTCCGATTACACGTAATAATGAGATAAAAATATGTTCTATTGTTATAAGATTTAAAAGAGTGTGACTTGGAAATTGGAATTCGATTGATTTACATTTGACGAAAAGGGAAAATAAAAAATGTATTTCGTGACAAAAGTAATAAGTGAATACATACGTGGCAAGTAGTGATTGGTTATGCTGCAGTTTTCCTCTGCACCAAGCTATGGTGTCTACCTGAAACGAGGCCTTTCTAGGTAAGAGAACAAACTGAAAACCAAAAAAGAAAAAGAAAAAGAAAAAAAGGATTAATTAATAATAAAAAAGCTGGTTCTCTGCAAAGTCTACTGATCAAGACCGATACTTTAATCTCTAAGTTTGTAACTAACCAACAAAGTTAAACTAATAAAGTATTGACAGTTTTATTCATCCAATGATTAAATATCAATAATAAAAACAACGTCTGCCTCGTGTTACGTGCCCCTAAAGTCAGAATCCTATGGAGTATGGAGGGTTGCACATTGCATGTGTTTCCACCGGTACATGACATGACATGAATGTGTATGGATGCATACATGGTTTCCATCGATGTGTTGATCATGATTAAGTGTGCTTTTGCTAAGGTTAATTTTGCACTACGCCCCCAAAATAATACTACAGCACTATATTTGTACTAATTCATCTTACATGAGTGTTATTTTAAGACGGGAGGAGAAAATTTCTTCCAGTTTTTGTCTAAAACTTTGTGCAAATTAAGTCATCAAACTTACAATCTCGCAGAAATCAATTCGTTGTCTCGAAGTGATGCCATCACCGAACTCGGATGGATTCTTAATCAAGTTTACATCGAGGATTAAGGATGTTTTTTTATATTTTTTTAACCCATAATTTATTGTGTAACCAAAATTAATCTTGATTTTTAAGTTTTTTTATATATATAAAAATTCGGTTACAAATATATAACGTTCTTTTTTACTTTCTGAAAAAAAAAAAATTACTAACGCGAACCTTATATATCATCAAATGATTCTATGCATATCGACGATATTTTAAGTGTAAATATTGTTAATGTGTAACTAAGGATCGAAACACAGTAATAACTCCCTATTACATTTTCCTCTTCAAACAAACGGATTTAAAGGGAACGAGTATGCATGTGCATGAGTTGCGCACATACGTACGTATGGATGGATGGATGTACATGGATGGATGGATGGATGATGGGCAGAGGGGTAATAGTGTAAAAGTGAATGACGATGGTGAGGGAAGAAGAATGGGGAGACATGTACAATTAAAGTTACTGTAAAAATGGCAGAGAGTTGCAGAAAAAAAAGTTTTTGTATGTGGGGATGAAAAACTTGGGAAGGAAGGAGCGAAGGGGTGGGAACGTGCCGGCCTCTCTCTCTCTCTCTAGTTTGGTTTGGCAGTGCTCACTCACTGTGTGACTGTGTGTGTGGTTCAGTGCACTTTCTCGTTTTCCCATCAAGATCCCTACTCTTCTCTCTATGTTCCCTTTTTACCCTCTTTTTTCTAATCCTTTTCTTGCTCTCCTAACCCCCTCTTTCATGTGTGTGTAGTTATACTACGTTCATTTCGTCGTCATTCATGATTTCATTCGATTTTTGTAATTCGAATATTTATTATACCATATGGGGAAACTATTGTTTTACTTGAACAAACCATTGTAGAGTACTTGTTAGTTATTAGACAAATAAAAAAACAAATAATAATACAGACAGTGAGAAAAAATAATAAAAATATATAGTGATTGGTGTGTTTATAGTCATTAAGAGGGTAAAAGGATAATTTTGGAAGAAAAAAAAATTCAACGGCAAAGTGACAACAAAATAAGGAGTATACATCAGTCACTATATGTTTTTACTATGTTATTTTACTAAGAGTATTATTTTCGATAAAAATATTGCAGTATATCTAAAGATTTATTTCCTTAAATTCTTTTTCTTAAGAGGATTAACTGTCTCTTCTACGATCATTTCACAATCACTACAATCATCAACCGTGATATTTAATTATTTAATGTTTATCACTACAATCATCAAAAGCTGTTAGTCTCACACCTCAGAAATATTGATTTAAAATGTTATAGTGATATCATAAAAAATAAAATGCTAAAAACACAACAAAATGAATTAATAGAATGGGACGAATGAAAAGTGTTCGCTATTTTACTCTTTCTTGTTGATTCATTTTTGTGTGTGTGTGTGTGTGTTTTGCAAGCATCATACTTCATCACAATTAATAAGGTTGCAACAAGAATGTTCGGGCCAATAAATTGCAATAATTAAAAAAGGAAAACTATAGCAACGCACGCAATGGAGGGGATGGAAAAGGAATTAGAAAGCACATCGCTCTCTTTGTCTCTAAGGCAACCTTACAATTACATGTTCATATGTTTCTCATGTGTTCTTCATAATGAACCCATATCTTGAGAGGTTATTCAATGCTCAAAAAGCTTCTCATTAAATCCCCTAATTTCTTTTGGAAAAAAAAATTTTATGTGGAGTGTCTCACACAATATAATATTAGCAAATTTTCTTTTTTAAAACAATACTCCTTCTATTCCGAAAGAGTTTTGCAACTATATAATCAATTCAACAAATTAACAAATTAAAAGAGTTTTCTTTTAGAGCATATTTAATACAAAAATATTTTTACTAATATACTTATTTTCATTTACGAAGACAGTAAAAAAAAATTGTTTAACTTTCGTTGGTTTCATAAATATAACATAATTTTTAATATCAAAGTTCAATAATGGACGTTTGTATAATCTATGTCATTTGACAATGAGAATTCTCGATAAAATAGAGTAAAATCGTGATCTATGTGTGAATTTTACTTTATAGTATTCATGATTTTTTTGTTGCAAATGTATTATAATAAACACAAAATTCATAATACTATATCAATTAAAGGTAAAAAAATAAAATTAAAACAGAAGAAGAAAGAAAGTGAAGATGATGAAAACCGAAAAGAGCGCAGTGGCAATAACGATATAAATCCCAAGATTGAAGGTCCATCAATTAAATATACCTCTTTTATCAGACTTTCACACCGCAAATTATATTTAAATCACTATTTATTTATTTTGTGCACACTTCACAACACACAAATATAGTACTCTAACTCATTTCCTTTTCTCCTCCCAATATATCATTTCCACCACCCTCAATTACTCTCCCTTCCAGCTTTCACAGAAAAAAATGCTACCAGAACAAACCGCCGTGCTCGGAATACCCACGGCCACCGCCGAATGCGAAACGACATCCATCCCAGACGATTCCATCATGTTTATGGACGATTACGACTTTGACAGCTCTTGCTCCACCCCTTACGTCAGTGCTCCCTCCAGCCCCGGCCGCGGCGGCAACAATGTCCTCCCTAACATTTCCGGGTTTTATTACAGTGCTCCGGCGAGCCCAATGCATTTCATGATCTCTTCTTCTAGTTTGTTGAAGAAGTCCGCCGAGTCTGAACTTTCCCCCAATATCTCCACCGCCGGTGGCTCCTTCGAGTTCGATTTCTCGGCTGCTAGTAAGGTTTCCAGTAACGGGTCTGCTTCTGCTGGATCCATGAGCTCTGCTGACGAGCTCTTCTTAAACGGTCAGATCCGACCCATGAAGCTCTCGACCCATCTCCAGCGCCCTCAAGTTCTTGCTCCCCTGCTCGACCTGGAAGAAACCGGCGAGGAGGATTCCGATGACATTCCCCGGGGAAGGGACTTTAAGATGCGGGATCGATCGTTGCGCCGGAGGACTAGATCTATGTCCCCTCTCCGGACTACTGCGCCGTTCGAGTGGCACGAGGATTTTGAAGTGGATATAAATCCGGCGGAGCTCAAGAATAATGGCGGCAAAGAAGGATTTGCAGAGGAAGCTACCGCTTCGAGCGAAACGACGCCGTGTGAATCAGGTGCGTCTTCGAGATCGTCGTCAGTTGGGAGGAGTTCGAGCAGATGGGTTTTCTTGAAGGAGTTTCTCCACAGGAGTAAAAGCGAGGGGAGAAATAACGGCCACAAGTTTTGGGGTTCCCTGACATTTTCTCCGGTGAAGGACAGAAAGATCAAGATGGAGAAGTTTATGCCGTCGAAAATCGCGTCGTCGAAGTCCGGCGACAAGAATACGGGTTCGAAAACCACTGCAACGGCAACGGAAGCATCGTCGGCGTCATCGGCGAATAAAGCTGTTTCGCCGGATTTATCGGCGCCGGAATCATCTCAGATGAAACAGGGTACGGCCGCCGGGCCTAAAGAAGTGAAAAAGAAGCCTGTAAATGGAGTTGGGAAGAGAAGGGTTCCTCCTTCACCTCATGAATTGCATTACACGACAAACAGGGCTCAAGCTGAGGAGATGAGGAAGAAGACATTCTTGCCGTACCGGCAAGGATTGCTTGGTTGTTTAGGATTCAGCTCAAAGAGTTACGGAGCCATGAATGGTTTTGCTAGAGCTTTGAATCCAGTTTCTTCGAGGTAAAAATAAATAAATAAGATAAATTACAGTAGCAATAATGTAAACTATAAGTTAGTGAATCTTTAAGATCATAGTCATTTGATCCATCATATCATTATTATGGATAACAACTCTAAAGTGCAGTTTGTATAGGAAACAGATCTCTCCTTTTTTTTTTTGGTTGCCTCTTCACTTAGAGAAGAAGAATGTAATTCTGTGATCTACTTGTGTAAGTAGTTTATTAAGTAGTGTTGTAATTGCATGGCAATCTCTGATATAAATGAGATTGAAAAGCAATAGAAGGAAATTGTTCCAGTCAAAGGTGATTTCTTTGTTTGGCCATTCAGGGAAATGAAACCTCCCCATATAGGCCGTGGAATCTTTAGATCCAAAAACATTTTTGTTCTTGCAATTTGTCACCATGAAATGACCATGGCAAATCTACCACCAATCTTCCTTGGAAAATGCACTTTTTTTAGGCTAATTATAGCTCTAATTTGTACCTATCATGCTACTACTATTTAGCTATTCGGAAAGCAGAGTGCCATAAAAGCAGGCTCTTTTTTACTGTCCCTTTCAGAAAGGGTACTGTTCATTTTGCTGAGATGGGATTTTCACGGCAGTTGATGGGAATGGGATGATAGAGTAAACTCTCAAATTCTCAGTCCATTTTTTTTGTTTTGGCAGAATGGCATTGGTTTAAGCAAAAATGGTGTGTTGAATTTTTTTTTTGGTTGTTGTTGATGATGAAAGTGAAACGGAAAATTACAATCCCATGGGATTTGTGAAGGCGGGGTATGGTGGAGGGGATGGAATTGATAAAAAGGAAGGAAGAAGAAATGCTGTGCTTTTCACAGTTATTCTGTTGCATCTTTTTGTTCGTATGCTTACAAAAGATTCCAATGAAAACTTTACTTACGTTAAACTTAAAACGTGATGATGATTTTAGATAGATGGTTGTCACTGAAAAGCGGTTTTAGTTCCATACCTTAACTTGTCCTTTCTGGGCTGCGTTTAAATATTCTTTTCAGTTTTCAGGGAACGGATGGAGAAAAGCTTCTTTAATCGAGTATTTGAGTAAATATAGCAAATGACCCCTTTCTAAAGCTTTCTGATTTTGCAAAATGCTCCTTCAAAAGGTCGATTACCGCAATTTACTACCTTCCATTGTTTTAATCTTTTTGCGATGTAATACTAATATTTGTTTAGCTGGTGTTGAAACTTTAGGTTATAGATCAGCAAAGCTTTCTGATTTTGCAAAATACTTGTAATAGTTTTTCCAACTTTTCTTTTTTCATTGGGGGTACAAAAGTAAATTAGAAAAACTATTATCTACAAATGGGCTCAAAGAAAATACTCTCTAGGTTAAAATAAGAAGTTATAGGATTTAGATAGTCACTATAGATTTTTAAGGGATAGTATGGATAATTGATTTTATTTATATATATATATATATATTTTGGTAATGTCGGGAACTCACCAGATATGTGAAAATTTACGTCCAGTGTAATAGCCTGCAAACCACAATGAGAAGTAAATTATCCTATGCAAGTTCAGGTGACAAACTCGGGTACAAAATGATGATAACTTATTTTTGTTTTCATTTTTGCTTTAATACATCATTCACTACTGACAATAATTCCATGCTGCTAAAATTCATAATTCCTGCTCAATTGATAACAACCTCGTAACAAAACCAAGGAAAATATATTGATAATGTTTGCCATTGTGACCACATAATCTAACCTATGTTGAAGCCATTGATTGGGGTTGAAAAGATGATGCTAGCTAATTTGCAAGAATACTTTTGGCCTGGTTATGACTTATGTGGACTGCAGAGATAGTGTACAAAGCATGGGGAACATAATAAAAGAAAGATTAAGAAGAGTGATGTTAGATTTTTGGATGCAATTATTTGAGTTAGATACTGTTGTTAACTGTACTGTGGTGACCCCTCCTAAAGGACCCCATACCCTACAAGGTTTTATATAATTTTGGCCTTGCTTCCTTGAAGGAAAAAAGAAAAACTAAAAAGGATGTCATCATCATAAATCTCATAAAGGACAGTTTTATTTTAGCTGTTTTTGGTTGTATGTTGCAAAGAGGCCAGCTTTTGTGAAAGTGCCCATATCATCATCCATTCAAAGATACTCTTCTCCTTCCTCTAGGGTTGAAAAAATTGAGAGATGACATTATTATCTGATTTTGGATAGAAAATGACCTACTGTTTTGGCTTCTTTAAGTTTTAATTTAAACATGCATGTTAGCATTAGGGGAATAATAATACATAAGTGTAACTTAAAAAAAATATTGAGAAAAAATTATGATCGCCTAGGCTAACTGCGAGAATGCGTAAAATACTAAAATGACCGAATTCCCCAAATTTTAAATGTGGTATATTGTCCCCAATTAAAAAAGTGGAAGAATTTGTGAATACAATCATTAGGTCTTTTGAGACTTTTGCCTTTTTGGTGATCTTACTCCAATGAAAAGGGGATTATCTTCATGATTAATTTAGAATAGCCAATAAGCTTGTGATTAGGATGCCAAAAGAAATGAAATAATGAAGATCTTTTTGGAAATTTCTAGTGTGTCATTTATATGAGATTTTGTTTGACAATGACAAGGAAAACATCCACTAGTAAAATTTCGATGACAAAAGAATACAGGTAATTTTTTGTGTGTGCATATACACTAGGGTGTTTACCGGCAATAATAAGTTTTAGTGCTCTAGTTTAAATTATTCCCTCTATCTCATAATTATTGTCCAGTTTGAGTTTTCATTTTTAGTTCAAATTGTACTAAAAGTGAAATCTCAAACTGGACAATAATTTTGGGACAGACGGAGTATGTTGTTTTGTAGGATGATCTATTCTGCTCATGCCTTTTAAATTGTAGTTTTAAAATTAGCAATAAAATTTGGTTAAGCAGGTGAATCTTGTGGCTTTGATGACGATTTCTTCGGCATTTTGCATGCATAGATCGAGTTTAAAATGTACCAAAGTTTTTTTTTTATTTTATATTTAAATAAAAAAAATCATCCCAGATTTTGATGGATGGAGACATGCAATTGCACATCTTGTCTGCCTAAAATCCTCATTTTGCTTTAGAGGAAACGATGTTTAACCAAATATGCACGTTCTTATTCTTTATTCCATTCCTTTTGTTTACATATATTTGATGTGCAACTCTTTATGGTTTTGCCTTTTTGTCATTTGCCATCAAATACAAATATTCAATGCCATCAGCTAGCTCTCAAGCAGATGAGCTCCAATCACCGGTTTAGTTTTCTTGTGTGTGTTAGATTATGATACTCATAACAAAAGTTACAATATTATTTATTTTAAATATGATTTGTTTATATAAATTGCTTTTCTTCAAAAGAAAAAAAAAACAAGTTTTCTCCTTTTTAGGAAAAAAAAACAGTATATTAAAAAAAATGGAGCCCTAATAATTTGGGGGCCTAAAGCCCTATCTTTAGGAGCTTCCCCTGAAGCCGACCCTGTTTCAAAGGATGGTTGACAGATCATATTTTTTTCCTACTGTGTTTCGTAGACGATATTAGACAAAGAATTAATTTTACTTAGTAACCAAATAACCTGTACTAAGTAATCCTAATCCTACAAATTACTTTACTATCTTTTCATTCTCAACTTTTTTAATTAGGAAATAGAAAATTAAATGAAACTCTAAGGTATTTTCTGCCAATTTATGTTTGATCATTTTATTAAAAATATTATTGTGCAAAATTTAGGTTCTTCTTATAATTTATTTAAAAATTTAAATTTCATCCCCAACCTATGAAAAAATAGGAATGCATCAGTTGTTCATACCAATATAAATTGAAAATGGCAAAAGCAATTATAGATTTCTTTACTAAGTGAATTTATATATATATATATATATATATATGAGATTCCATTTCTCTGATTCAGTTTCTGGATAAAACAAAACAGGTATGATTAAATTTTTAAACATATAAGCTTGCAATATCATTGTTATTGTTATAATATTTTGGTTTAACTATAAATAGGAGTGAAAGAGTGGTACCAGACTACATTTCATTAATGGAAAAAAAAAAAAAAAACCTCTATATCTCAAAAAATAATCCACGTACCAGATCCCTTCTTCGCTGCAATGCTGATGGCTTAAGTTAAGGCCCATAGGGGATAAAGTCGCTGCAAATGCAATTGATTGATAACAAGCATGTCAAATGAAGGGTCCCTTGTTGCTTCTGCCTCGTATATGATTCTCCGCAATTTTTGTGCTTGAATCTGCAAACAGCTGACCTGTTGTTAATTAACACAATCATATCATGATGAATTCATATGACTTTTGGACAATTGGGCTGAGACCTAGCAGCAATTGGGCATTTTTTAGATTAGGCTCAGTTTCTCTCATTTCTGACTACTTTGTTCTCTGGCCCTCTTACATAAATATATTTGTCCTGTTGTTTCTCCTTCACTGATTATACACAGTGGTCTTTTTTTTTTTTTTTTTTTTTTTTTGGGAGAACAAACTGTGTAGTTCAATATAAAAGGTTTTGATATTTGTAAAGTTGGCATCAAAAACTCAAAATTTCAAGCTTCGCCAATACTGCCGAATCTGGATTTATTGTGCATAATGGTACTTTTCGTTTTCGGGAGATTCCTGACCCTTTTGTTTCTTTGGTATTTCTAGAGTTTTTACTGTGGAAATCAAAAGGAGGCATTTTGTACCCCCAAAAAAAAAAAAAGAGGAAGAAAAAAATAGAGGCATTTATCCTGAGTTTCCAGATATTATACAGATCATAAAGCAATTCACATTTTGAATATGGTGGCATGTGATGTTTCAGCCATGACGCTAACTCAAGGGATGAATCGTGTCATCCAAATCCATCTTCTTATATATGTGAGATATAAGATATCAGTTTTAGGTATTATTTTTTATATATATACGAAGGAAGCTTTAGAGCTTAATTACAAAAGATTTTATTGAGCGAAAGATACTCCTAAACGATCCACCTCTATCTTGAATGCGGTCAAGAGCGGCGGGGTTGACAATACTTGTAACCCCTTAACAAAAGTAAAACCTAACTTAGCTAACGTGTCAGCCGACTCATTAGCCGGTCGATGAACAAAGTACACCTCTACTTCCCATTGATAGTCAATGAGCTTCAGGATCCGTCTAATAACATTGCTTGATGAGGAGTTTTAGGTATTATTAGGAAAGGGCGGAGCAATCGAGAATGATTTCGAAAGTATAAAGAGGACCATAACATCAGGTTGATTCCTCAAATCATCCAAGTCGCAATAAACACTGGATCATACCCAACTGTGAAATTACCCCAAACTCTTCATATACATCCGAGTTCGGGTTTAGCATCCGATTGCCGAAGATTTGGCGTAGAAGAAGTTGCCTAGAGGAGAAGGCCGTGCATTGTCAAGTGATCAAGTCCCTAAACATCACTAACTGCTGTGAATTGCAAGTTTGCAAGTTGCAACTACTATACTCGACTGAGTATGGTGTGCGAAGCTGGATGTGTCCATTGGTTCATTCTAATCTAAACATTTGCAAAGGCATTTAGCAAAGGCTGTGTTATAAATGTTGAATTATCTTCCAGTTACTTATAACAATCGCTACGTCTGTTCTCGTGCAGTGTGCTAATATCCCTGAACTACGAGGAATTAAAGATAATGATCTTTCCTATATTAACCCAAAATATTTAGGATGGCTGCCGGCCAATGCGTGGAGACGTTCCTTTGGAGGATTTTGGTCATTCTTAGGTTTCTTGTGAAGAAAAAAAAAGAAAAGAAGACAGAAGTCGAATTGTTACAAGCATTCCTCTATCTCACTAACACATAGCAGTAAAATTGTGAAGCTAATCTCTCTAACGAAGTTCATGCGTACACATGTGAAAAATAAGGGAAAGAAAAAAAAAGTGTAAAAGATGGTACAATTCCTGAGCGGGGGAAAATCCCAGATGGCCAACTCGTAGCTAACTTAAGTTTCTACAAGAGAAATCCTTTTAGGCCATCAAGCGGCAAAAGTGGATAAGATGTTCTTCTTCAGCACGAATTCATCAGCTTTAGCTGCACTTATGGTCTGCATCAAAGATGAAGAAGGGCCAAATACATCAAAATTACACTAAAATTTCGAAGTACATAAATAAGTAGTTGAAGTAGGGCATGTCGAGAAAGAACTGCAGATGCAAGGCAAAATATCCAGTAAACAGTTTGTACAAACTGGAAATATACAGCTCTTGTCATCACCAGAATTCGTTCATTTTCCACAATAGATTTGCAAGGTGATACTTGTTTAAAGAGGGGTATCAAGCCATGAATATAACTAGACCTTGAAAAGCAGAGGTACTACAAATTAGAATAGCTAGGAGTCGGTGGTTAAGGTGACATAACAGCAGATGTGGACATCATACTGGAAAAGCTTCTTTTAAGAAGAAAAGTAGGGTGTCGACGTGGCGTACCTTAGAAAGCATGCGTTCAAGCCGCTGAATTTCATTCTTGGCATAATCTGCACCCTTGTCCATGCAACTCTTGGCAGCCTTTACATAGATCTTCCCATATCTGCACAAGGACATAAAGGATAACAACAAAAATACCATACTAAGCAAACAAATGATATTAGTGCGTTAATGATAGGCTACTTTCTCTTAAAACTAATTGGGAAAATGATCTTAATATAAACTTGCTGAAATTGAAAAGTTATGAGATTTTGGTTCCCCTTGATGAAAGGATATACATGCAATGCAAAAACAGAGATAAGTCCTGTTGCATACCTTGCAGCAGACCCTGTCAACTTTGCGGCTTCTTCCTCTATCTTGGTATAAATATTCTTCTTCTCCTCGGCTGAAGCGCTAATGAACTCCTTCACCAAGCTATCCAAGGTTTCAAGAATACCAGCCTATTTTGTGAGCAGAAGATAAACGAATGTTATCTCTGTGTTTTGTTTTAAAATAAAAGGGAAAAAGATGTCATGATGTTATTGGGCACAAGTTCATGGTCGAACCTTGGAAGTATATTGTCCCTTCGAGTCACGGCTAGTGCCAGACTTCTCATTGATGAAAGAAACAAAGTCCTCTAAATCTCGGCCGCCATCATAATCTTCACCAGCTTTATTGTTCTTTGGGAAGAATTTCAGTGTGGGGTAGCCACTTACTCCATACCTGATGGAAAATGTATTAGTACCAGTTCAATCAGAACATACAAGGAAACAGACTGTGGACAGATCAGAAACAAAACTAAATTATGAGCAAATGACAGGAGCAAGAATACATGTCAACATAAACTCACTTCTCAGCCAGATCCTTGTAGTTGTCGGCATCAAGGTTAGCTATAACCACATCTTCCTCTTGTTTGAACACTGCAGCAACCTTTTCATATGTCTACATAACACGCAGGATAGCATTCAGGTTTCCACTTAAAGATGCCTCATAGTTTCTAGACGGTTCATCTAACAGATAACAAAAATATAAGTTCAACTAACAGAAACAAGCACTTACAGGAGCAAGGTTTTTGCAATGACCACACCTGCAAAATGCAAATGACAAATAAACTCAGGTACAGAACAGTATTGCAACATCTTGCTACGGTAGATTTCGAATCTGAGATAGAAGGTTCAACAAGAAAAATGAATGAATTAAGGAATGGACTGTAGGTATTACCAGGGAGCATAAAACTCAACCAATACATCTTTTTTCACATCAAGTACGATCTCATCGAAATTATCTTGAGTCAAGACGACAACACTTGATGGGACTGCAGCAATCTTGACATTAGTCCCTGCAAAGTAAGACAGTGGTTTGCACATGATAAGTAAAATAGATACTGATTGAATTACGAATTAAATGAAAGTTACACTTAGCTCAACTTGAAGTTATCAGTTTTTTTCTAATGCAGTTTTGCTATAGATTATAATGGATTGAATATGTTCTGGGAAATTTAACATATAAATGTACTGTCCAATTTAGATTACAGCTGATTTTTCGGTAAACAAAGGAACAAAAAAGTCGAACACAGAGAAAATTATAAACAAATGAATTACACATTTAAACTTCAAGGTGCAAGAAAACAGGCTTCAAAAATTACCTCCTTCGGTGTTAACAAACTCAGCAAGGGCTTCTGCAGTCCGTGCCCCCTCATATCTAGAAAATATAAGTTCAATTTGTGAGAAAGATAAAGCAGTATGTTAAAGATTTCAATTCCCATGAGCATTCGATCAGAATGTCAAAGGATTTAGAACCAAAATATGAAAAAACACATAATCAACGAAAATAAAGCAGATACACTCACTTCTTTGGCTCCAAAGAACCTTTTGGAAACCATTGGATGGTAGGGTATCCAGAGACTCCATATTTACTGCAGACATCTTTGTGGTCATCGCAGTTCACCTATAATAGATATGGATGCAAATCCTTAAATACAATTCCAACAAAATAGAATGGTATCCTAAGTTTCATTTGAACAATTTGTAAAAGCAGAAAACGAAGATGCAACTAGCAAACTTTACAACATTAGAATCAGTCAATGATAATTCAGTTCAGCACTTTATCAGCATAAAGAGATTTCTAGGCATCAAATGGTAATGATTTCATCTATCTAAAGGGCAGGGCCTGCAGGAACGCTAATAGAAAATACATGTATCCTGACTTCCCGAGGTTTCTGATATTTAACAATTTCTACAGCTGTCCAGATTTCCTTAAACAAAAAGAGTGACCCTTATCTTATGGGTTGCACATAGCAAGCAAGAAAGCTGTTTCTATAGTTAATGTATACGATATTGTTCAAAGTTCATAAGGACTTAAAATGTATCCACATCCAAGATTCCTTCGCTGGAAAATTTCAAAATGCATAACACCAAAGCACATAATACGAATCTGATTAAAATTTGTATAAAGCAGAAGCCAAAACTTTAAAACATGCATGAATTCTCAAAGATAGTGGACTAGTCAGATTACCACTGATGGAAAGAAAGAAAATGCAATTTAAACCAACCTTTCCAATCAAAACAGATTTAGCCTTCTTGAAACTTGCACCAAGCTTCTCATATTCAGGAGCAAGCTTCTTACAGTGCCCGCACCTGCAAATCGATTCAACCATAGAAGAATGAGTTAATAAATGAAAAGTCAAAAACCAGGTTAAGAGTGATTCTCATAATCATTTTTCACACCTAAATCAAATTCTAACTAACAATCAAATCTTAACAATCAATGGAAAAAGTGGTTTTTCTCAGCAACTCACTGATTAAGTAAAACAGACTTTGTGTTACTGCAAAGTCAATAAAATCCAGAGCTAGAGCTATAATTTCCCATCCACCTTTTTGTACTTTTCAGGATTCTTTTTTTATTTCTTCAATTCAAAAGGCAGTTAACAAAACCAAGAGAAGAACAAATCAAGCGCTATAATGTGTAGTTCTAGCCACATCAGAAAACCAACATTCCCACATGGACTGATGCATAATAGCGAAGCAAGTGATGAATTACGAAATCCAACACCAAAAAAAACGATTAAACAACAATACTAAACAAGCCGGATCTAAACACATCAAGAAGTTCCAGCTAATCCAAACACAACATCAAAATCCTCGAACATCGTCCTTTGACATAATTAAGAAACACATCCATAAACATTCCACCTAAACTAGAGAGCGATGATGCCGGTAACGAAATGAGAATCGTAAAAGAGAATCAACGGAATCATTACCAAGGAGCGTAGAACTCGACGAGAGCGCCGCGATCTTGACCCACTTCTTTCTCAAAATTCTCCCCGGTCAAGACGACGACGTCATCAGCTAAGGCGGAACAGAAGGCGAACAGTGCCAGGGCAACCAAAGCTAAGAAGATCCTTGAAGACGCCATTTCTTTTTTGTGTTTGTATTTTTTCACAGTAATGTCGATGAGTGAGGTTTTTGCAGGATTTTATATATAATAGAGGGGAAAAGGGTAGGAGGGAGGAAGAAGACTCCAATTTTGTAATTTCGTAAAGTTGGAGCAATGTGTTTGGAATTTTAGTTGAGCTTTTTGGGCCTTGTCATTGTGGCTTCATTGGACCAATGCTATAATGCCACGTTTCAATTCTCTCCACTGTTTGTGGGTCAAATTTATTTTTGCCTCTCTAATCACAGAAACTATTATATTTAAAAATATAGCACATACAATTTATTTTAATTTTCCATCTATCAAATGAGTAAAGGTCAACTTCTTCATTTTATGTTAAACTTTCACAAGTATAGTATATTTTTTCACGCTAGAATATACTAAGCCAAAATAATCAACAAACAATTTACCATAGTTTTATCTACGTTGTAAGTATTTTCTCCGCTCCTTATCATAAGACATCTTAATTTATCCTAAATTTCATTTAGTGTGTTTTTCTAATTGAAAATAAAATCTTAAAAATATTTATAATAATTTGAATAACACAATAAATGTGAAAAATATATTTTTTAATATTTTATTTTCAATTATCAGAACATACTAAATAAAATTTAGAAAAAATAAAAATGCCTTATAATCAAGACCCAAGGAAAAGTCTTTCTCATGCGATAATGTCATTATTACTTTGGAACATTCAATATCGGTTATTTTCTATAAATTAAAACGCTCCTTTTTATATAATTTTATTCTGATATGAACTCAACAACCTTGTTAGTTAGTACTATTAATTTATTGTTGGAGTGAACCTTAAAACAAGTCATCAACCTTTAATATATTTTCACTCTAAGTCATCAATTAAATTTATTTGTAACACAGGTTACCTTACTAAAGTTTTAATCCATTTCAGATTATTCTGTTAATTTTGACCGTTAAATAGTGACGGAAATCTATTTTTCACATGCTTTTTAGTTTAGGGGTATTTTTGTCATTTTTTATTTTTTAATCTTTTTATTTTATTTTTTACAATTCTTCTTCTTATATTTCCTAACTTGTACATACTCGTAGTATAATTCTAAATTTTAGAAATTTTTTTTCCTTTTGTATTTTAACTTCTAGATTATAAATTTTTTTTAAAAAAATTTAAGAAATGAAGAAGAAAAATTCGAGTTAAAGTAAACATGAAAATTAATAATGTACCATTTTAAACAAAAATAAAAATTAAAATAATTAGCTAAGACAAGTTGTTTCTTCTAGGTTATTTAATTTTTTTCAACTCGATTGAGTTATTTAATTATTAATTTTCACGTTTCTTATTCCTTTTTTTTAATAATCTACAAGTTAAGATTATTAATTTTGCATCTTAACTTCTAGATTAAAAAAAAAAGGAATAAGACACATGAAATTAATAATTAAATAATTCAATCGAGTTGAAAAAAAAATTAAATAACTTAGAAGAAATAACTTGTCTTAGCGAATTTTTTTAGTTTTTCTTTTTGTTTAAAATAGTAAATTATTAATTTTCATGTTTACTTTAACTCGAATTTTTCTTTTTCATTTCTTAATTTTTTGTTAAAAAATTTATAATCTAGAAGTTAAAATACAAAAGGAAAATAAATTTTTAAAATTTAGAATTATACTAACAGTCTATACAAGTTAGGAAGTATAAGAAGAATGTAAAAACAAAAAAAAAAAAATTAAAGATTAAAAAATAAAAAAAATAATAAAATGACAAAATACCACTGAACCCAAAAGCATGTGAAAAATGGATTTCCGTCACTATTTAACGGCCAAAATTAACAGAATAATCTGAAATGGATTAAAACTTTAGCAAGGTAACCTATGTTATAAATAAATTTAAGATGACCTAGAGTGGAAATATATTAAAGATTGATGACTAATTTTAAGGTTCACTCTTATTGTTGTGTGAATGATTTTGTGATTAATAATTGATTTGACGTGCATTCTGCAAGATTATATTTAAACATGAGATGCATTACAATCCAACAACCTCATTATACGTTGTTGTAACTATAATTGATGCAATGACCCTCCAATATTTTTTTTTTTAAAAAAGAAGAATTAATACAATGAAAACCTTGTTCTACTTACTGATATCTATTGGGATTGCCCACGTAACCAAAAAAAGTGTTTTTGTTTTCCAAAAAATTGGGGAAAATGATAAATTTTATGACTACAAGCAATAATAACTTGAAACGGGCAAATGAAAGGAACATCGTTTTTCCAAAGTTGTTTTTGTTTCTGTAATGTATATGTGCATAGAGATGGAATATCTTTTTTTCTCTTTCATATTGAACAATGAACTTCATTTTTTATTTTTTACAAAAAACTTTTGAATTTCCTAACAAGAAACAATGGTAGCTAGTATTTTGATCTTACTGATATCTATTGGGATTGCCCACGTAACCAAAAAAAGTGTTTTTGTTTTCCAAAAAATTGGGAAAAATGATAAATTTTATGACTACAAGCAATAATAACTTGAAAAGAAGATAAAAGATTCAAAAAAATTAAAAAGAAAAATAATGGATCATTTAAGCAAACAAATGTAGGAGAAGGGGTGTTGCGAGAATCGAACTCGCGACCTCTCGCACCCGAAGCGAGAATCATACCACTAGACCAAACACCCTGTTGAGCAGCAAAGGATTAAAACATCTTTAAAACTAAATTAGCATTAAATTCAAAACTTAACAAATCCAAGAGAAAGAGGGGATTTCTTTCTGCCGACTTCAATTCTCCTTCCGCTCCGGAAAACCGAAGACGTTGCTGTGTTTGGTTTCTCTTTCGTTTTCTTTGGGGGGTTTTCGGAAGGGAGAAGAAATCTATTGTGATTACAATTGAGGAATTTTGGAAGGGGATTTTCTGCACCTCACAACTTTCAAAATTCAAATGTCTCAATCTGACGATGGGGTAAGTTCAATTTAGTGGAATTTTGAATAAGGAATCAAATTCGTCGGGTTATAATTGTATTGAAGTTTTTTCCTGCTAATTCTTGGATTTTTTGAATATAGTTCAATTTTTCCTAATTCGAACTCACTGTTATCTTTGGACAGGTTGCTGGAGTGGACAATACTTTCAGGAAGAAATTCGATCGAGAAGAGTACTTGGAACGTGCTCGTGAACGAGAAGAAAAGGTCTTTGTTACTTATAGCTTGTTCTTTCTGCTCTTTTGTTTTTAATTTTATTTATTTATTTATTTTTTGTGCTTTTGGTTAGCTCTTTTAATACTTTGGTTTTCATTTGGATGTAGGAGGCTGAGGGGAAGCTTAAATCAAAATGTGAGTCATCTTTTCTACTGCAATTTTGATTCTGAATGTTGTAACGCTGTGTGCATTAGCGAGTTTACTGCGATATGTTGATTGCATATTTTTTGTGAGTATGGAAGTTTGGTTTAATTCTTTGATGGATTGTGGTGGTTGCAGCCAAAGGTCCACCTGTGCAAAGGAAACCCTTGAAGCATAGAGACTTCCAAGTAGACCTCGAATCTCGCTTAGGAAAGACCCAGGTTTGTGTTATTTCCTATTCACAAAGCTTTCGTTTAAAGCTTGTTCATTTGAAGTTATGATTTTTTTTACTAAAAAGTTGAATGGCTGTTCTTAGAGCCCTAATCTTTAATTGGCTGTGATAGTAGAGCATTTGAGTCAATGTGGGAGATTCTTTTGGGATATTATGTCGGTAGCCTTTTAACTTTTGTCACTATCTTCAGCTTGGCTTGTTACATACACATGATTTGCAATTTGGCCTGTAGTGTCAGCTCCTGATTTTCAAGTTGCTCAGTGAGTCTGGTTTTGGTTGAACTATCAAAAATGTGGTTTGGCATTTGACAGCAGTAACTTCGTAGGTCTATAGAAATTGTGAAGGCCCTGCTGTACTGGTCCTTGACATTTTTAATGAATGTGTGATGGCACTTGTATCAATGAACTGAATTTTATCATTTATTTCTGGCAGGTTGTCACTCCTGTTGCACCACTTAGTCAGCAGGTATTGTCCTCAAATCTTTCTGCTAGTATCTTATCTTAAAGGAAGAGCCACCTACATAGAATTACTTGGCTTTGGAAACATTCGCGTTTACTTAAAAATCTGAATTGATGGAAAGTGGTTGTGTTGAAGGCAGGATACTACTGTTCGGTTTGTGAATGTGTAGTAAAAGATTCAGCAAACTATTTGGACCATATCAATGGGAAGAAGCGTATGTATCGCATTTTCATTTTGTTAGGGATACTTGTTTCTGTCTGTTATAGTGTCAAATTTTTATGATTTCTTATCGTATATTTTCAGATCAACGAGCTCTGGGTATGTCTATGCGGGTGGAACGAGCATCGTTGGAGCAGGTAAGCCTGTGCTCTATATATTTGACTTTTCTCATTTTCTTTGACTTTCTGCCATTATCTTCTCTCCATAATTTGTTCTGTTGGTGCAAATTATTTGTTGAGGACTAAAAGTGCCTAATGAATCTGATGGAATAACAAAGCAAAATGGACTTGTCCAAAAGTTTTGTTTATTTTCTTGGTATCAGTACAAGTATCCAGACCATTTTCAGTCATGCTTTGAGATCGCTTTGAGGGCACCTAATGATGTATCCCCTGATTTTCCTTATGTACACTTGTTGAGGCTTTCGATAGAGAACATCAGAAAGTTGTTCTTTAACTGCCAGCATACAGACTAGTCTAAGAGTTTTGCCTCCAGATACTCCATTAGTGAAATATTTTTTTTTTTGAACTCTACCACGTTGTTTCTATTGTAACTTGTAAGTAGATATGAACCCCTGCTGCATGTTTTGCAGGTCAAGCAGAGGTTTGAGCTTCTCAAGAAGCGCAAAGACACTGGAGGTTTAACCGTGCAAGGTAAGATCATTGAAAAACCAGACTTTCATTTCAGGTTCTTCTTGTTGTGTTATGTTCTATCATGATTAACGGATATACTTTTGTAGACTTTGATGAGAGAATCTTGAAACAGCAACAAGAGGAGGAGGAAAGAAAGCGCCAACGTCGAGAGAAGAAGAAAGAGAAGAAGGTAAAATTTTCGAAGTTCTGTTGTTGTATTTATTACATTTGGGGGTCTCGATTTGTGTTAATTCACTGTGTATTTGTTTGGTTTCTCAGAAAGAGAAGGAAGTAGCAGAAGAACCTGAAATAGATCCCGATGTTGCTGCTATGATGGGTTTCGGTGGTTTTGGATCATCCAAAAAGTGATCATCCAAGATGACCCATGTGTCTGTGCCCACGGCTTCAGCTGCCCCCTACTCAGTTTGAAAATCTGCTTCACTTCATCTTTTCAAGTTGTAAAATCTGAAGCTGAAGCTCCTGCCAGAAAGCGTAGGCTTAATAGATTTCTTAGCGTTCTAGCCGACAGATGTTTGTTTTTTGATCTTTATTTTTTGTTAGTTTTATTATATGGCTGTTGCATATTTGCAATTACAAATGATGACCCAGACCAGAATGGTTGTGTTGTACTATATTAAACAAGACAAGAGGAAGGATTTTTTTTTTTTTTAATGTCATTTCCTCCTTTCTGTACAAGTTATAAAAAGTCTTACTCTGGTTTCTGATCATTTCTTTCTGGAATAAGTGGGTGCAAGGCGGAAACTTGCATGGTTATTTATCTCAGTCATCGTTAAAGTAAGCATAGTCATTTTTTAATCGGAGGGGCAATGAGCAGAGGTGGCCGAGATGCGGTGGAGCGGCGGCTGCTCCACCTCCTTCACGGCCACAAAACCCGAAATCGTCTTCCCGAAATCCATGGCCATTTGCTCCGCCACCACCTCCATCACTCCAACAAACTCATCTCCCACTTTGTCTCAATCTGCGGATCCTTTAATAAGATGCATTATGCCGACCTCATATTCCAACAGTTTCAATGTCCCAATATTCTTCTCTTCAACTCCATGATCAAGGGTTATTCATTATGTGGCCCTTTCGAAAATTCCCTGAATGTTTTCATCACCATGAAGAAAAATGGCATTTGGCCCGATGAGTTCACTCTAGCACCTTTACTCAAGGCGTGTTCGAATCTTGGCCATCTTAGTTTAGGACAAACGGTCCAAAAACAGGGGCTTGTTCTGGGGTTTCAGAGATTTGGTTCCGTCAGAATTGGGCTTGTGGAGCTCTACTCTAATTGTGGAAGAATGGAAGATGCAAGAAAGGTGTTCGATGAAATGTCCAGCAGAGATGTCATTGTGTGGAACTTGATGGTTCGTGGGTATTGTCGCATTGGAAAAGTTGAAGTGGGTTTTCAAATGTTTAGGGAAATGGATGAAAGGAACATTGTATCTTGGAATACGATGATTGCATGTTTTGCAGAGAGTGGAAGGTATAAGGATGCCTTGGGGCTTTTTAATGAAATGCGGAATGGTGGGATCGAACCAGACGAGGCAACTGTGGTTACGATATTGCCAGTTTGTCGACGATTGGGGGAAGTTGATCTTGGAAGGTGGATTCATTCTTTGGCTCAGTCAAATGGTCTATTAGAAAATTTTGTATCCGTGAGCAATGCTCTGGTTGACTTCTACTGCAAAAGTGGAGATTTGGAGTCTGCTTTTTTGGTATTCAGGAGTACACATAAAAAGAATGTGATCTCTTGGAACACTATGATTGCAGGTCTGGCTTGGAATGGGAAAGGAGAACTTGGGGTGGGATTGTTTGATGAGATGATAAATGAGGGGGTAAGCCCCAATGATTCGACGTTTGTGGGAGTTTTGGCGTGCTGTGTCCACGCAGGTTTGTTGCAAAGAGGTAGGGATTTGTTTCAGTCAATGCTTGAAAAACATGCGGTTGAGCCAAAATATGAGCATTATGGAAGCATGGTCGATCTTCTCGGGCGCTACGGTTGCTTGAGAGAAGCTTTTGATCTCATACAAACGATGCCAATAAAGCCAAATTCTGCCTTATGGGGTGCACTGCTTAGCGCCTGCCAAACCCATGGCCATACGGAAATTGCAGAATGTGCAGTGAAGGAACTTATCAGTTTGGAACCTGGCAATTCTGGAAACTACGTTTTGTTGTCGAATATCTATGCAGAAAGAGGGGATTGGGATGAAGTTGAGAAAGTGAGATTGTCAATGAGGGAAAACAATGTTAAGAAATCAGCTGGACAGAGTGTAGTTAGATGAATTTGCTACTACGATTGTATGATGAACAGAAACAGTGGACTTGGATGGAGTTGCGAAAGCCAATGTGCTGAAAATATGTCAGAGAAAACTCTCCACTCCCCAGTTTAAACACAGCAATGTGTTGCGCGAAACCGACATTCACCATAGCCATAGTTGGAATGACGGTGCTAAAAAACTGCTAGACCTGAACAACTCTTGCAGCGATCGAGAAGCTCTTTTTCAGTCATTACCCCCATTGGTTGTTATTCTCAAACAGTTCTGGATAATGAAGAAGTTCTCCCTAAAGGAGGAGCTTGAGAAGAAAGAGTAATTACTTTTCAAAGCGTAACAGATAAACAGTTCTTTAAATGTTAATCCAATATAAAAGAGCACTTCATATTACATATTTTCCTCTGAATCAGGTCTCATTTGGAAGTTCCCCTCTGCCTCCCTTTTTTTGCTTATGTTTCTAATAGACAAACACAAACTGACAGAGTGATTTACGATTAGTCTGAATGAAGACGAGAAAAACCGAGAAAGGGGAATGATAGATTCAAGAGTAATGTTGAAATGTCTACAATTATTACTAGGATGATAGATTTCAAGAGTAATATTAAAACAAATCACAAATGTGCAACCTGAAAGGTGCATAATTATTAATAGGATGATAAATTTCAAGAGCCATATTGAAACTCTTTTGGATGTGCAACGTGAAATGGAAATAAAAACAAATGTTCAATTTAAACGAACGAAAAGAAGAATTACAAAATTAATTTTCTTTTAAGATATCACAAATATCACTAAAATAAAAGATATCATTTGTCTATTCATACTCTAGGTCTCAATAAATCTATATTTATAATTAAGGCAAAGTCTAGAGAAAGAGTGCTTTCGTCTCAATAAATCACAAATGTCCACAATTGTTACTAGGATGATAGATTTCAAGAGTAGTATTGAAACTCCATGAATGTGCAAGGTGAAATAGAAATAAAACAAATGTTCTACTTAAATGAAATTGTAGTGAGTTTTTTAACAAAAAGGAAAAAAAAAATTACAAAATTTCTATTCTTTTAGAAATTAAAAATATCACTAAAATAAATGATACCATTGATCAAAAAGGTATTCCACACTTAAAAAATTAATTAAGAGTTACACATTTAGTTAATTAGTGTTGCACATTTGAGCAAAAAGGTATTACACACTTCAAAATTATTTACTACACACTTGAAAACTGAATATTACACCATTAATTAAATTTTGATATCAAACCATTGCACAAGAACAGGACCATCACATTAAAATGCATAATGGGACCATCGCTTTATCCTGTAAATTGAGCATGTAATAGGGGAGTTATAAATCTATAATATAAATAATTTACCGTTGCCGGTCATATGCACTTTTAATTATTGTATTCCTTTAATACAAATTATATGGTTGTGATTGATTTAAACTTATCCAATGGCTATTAATTAAATAATTGGATCATACCTTTAAAATTAATAACGGAACTGTAGTTTTACCCATAATTTGAATTAAAAATAAAAATTTAAATTAGACAATTATTTCAGGACGTGTGAGTATTAATTATAATATTATTGAAAGTAGGATGACTTTCAAACCTTAGTTTAAATTGGTGACTAAATTTTGAGGGAAGCATAAGGCTTGGAGGTATAAATTTTGATAGGCCACGATGATGAAAGGAAGTGAATCGTAAAGTGCTGAAGATGAAATAAAAGAAATTTATTTTGAATCTGTGTATCAAAAAAGTTACAAACCGTAATTTATAAAGTGATGATTTAGGACGTCATAGTGTTAGTGAATTAAAAGATTTCGTCAAAATTGATAGTACTAATCTTTTTCTCGATTTGTTACCTTTATGCTTTTTAACTTGAATTTGATACAAATTTAATTTGCATTCGTTCATACATTAAGTCAATTTTCAGAAATACATCAGAATTAAATTATGTTCTAAACCCACAATGCATCCATTGATGTGAAAATATATTAATGCAAAACCACACACAAAATGTCTTTAATAACCACCGATTATTCATGGTAGTGGAAGTATATCTGGAGAAAATTAATAAAATTAGAAAATTTTATTTATATCTAAAAAGTAGAAAACACGAAATCAATGATCTCATGCATTAATCCATTAAGTGCGTATAAATCATAATTAAAATGGAAAGACAAGCATGCAACACGTATTCTGTCCGGGTTCTTCGTAAAGTTTTTAAAATATAAAGATGATAATATAGCATAGCTGCCGTCAATTAGTATGTGAATTATGTTGGGACGATATGGATATGTAGTCAATTTCTCTATCAATAGAAAAAATTTTCAATTACAATAACTCTGAAAATATCCTTAATTATTGTAAGTGATTTTTCAGAATTCCATTATTAAGGGCCGGTGGGGATGATATGGATATGTAGTTAATTTCTCTATCAATAGAATAATTAATATTAACGATATTAGTTAGTAATTCACGGTATTAACCTACGCATTTTATTTTTTGAATGATTTCTATCGTTGAATTAGTTAGTAATTTTTGGATGAGAATGATATTTTTTATGATTTTATTTTCTCTGTACATAAATAAATACCTCTTGGTGAGTTTAGAATCTTGAACGTGATTGGTCAGAAATAAAATTGAGCAATTTGATTGGCCTATTAATTCACATGACATCATCAATTTTAAATTAATCCCTTTGATTGGTTAATATATTAATATAACAGCAGCGATTTAAAACAGGACTATAATAGTCAATTAATAAAGTTGATTTTTTATTTTTGCAAAACAAATATGTCATTAGAAGTTTCAAATAAAGTCTGCGGCGGGCTAAATGACGGCGTTTACTTCCCGACGTTGCAATTGATGGTGGCGATACAAGAAAACTTTGACAAATTCCGACCGCCCCAAATCTTTCTCCCCCGTTAACCCTTTCCTTCCCGATCAAATTTTCGCCAAAATTTTTCACCCCGTCTATCTCCCCCGTTACAAAACATCCTTACAAAATATCCTTACAAAACATAAGGATACCAATTACGCCAAATCAGGGAATTAATATTGGAATTAAATAGATTATTAGGTTAATTTAAGTAATTTGTGAATTAGTGAAATAAAAATCCAAAAAAAAGAGAGAAAATGACATGTAAGATGGATGGCGTAGCTCCATAAAATGACTTAAAAGTGGCCAACTTTAAATATATATATATATATATATATATATATATATATATTAGTTTCTTCATCGATCAGATTTGGGGCCAAAAATGACCCCCACTTTTCTCCAATGAAAAATGACAAGTTCGTGCATATATACATTGATCAATCAACTGTTAATCTACCTTTTGTTTTTGAAAAAATACTCTTCTTATTCTTCTTTTTTTCCTCTTTCTTCCCAAAGCCCTCCCTAATTTGGTTAAGCTTCTTCTCATTCAACTCCTCATTTCTCCAATCTTTGATACAAATGCCCACCATGGTAATGTTGTTCTCCAATCTTTGATGAAGATAATAAAAATAGTTTGTACACAGAAATTTAAGTACGTAGCCTTTATGTCTGAATGAATTAAAGGGATCAGAAATTAATTGATTTCTGTCCAAAAAAAATCGCTTTCTTTCCAAATCTTTCCATATCATTTGCACTTATTGGGATGCCAAAAATCATCCTTCATTGTATAATAATATTAAAGATTTAAGATATCTCGGAACTATCAATTTTTTTTTTCTTCTGTCACTTCTTAGTTGGTATTCCCTCCGGCCTTAATACAAGACATTTTAATTTATCCAAGATTTTATCTAGTGCACATTTTTAATGGACGAAAAAATCTTAAAAATATATTTTTAAAGTTTTTCTGTTAATTAAAAATACATATTTAGTAAAACTTACGATAAATCAGAATGTTTTATATTAAGGACCAGAGGGAGTACATAATTCTGGTATCTCAATAAACCATATCTTGACACATGTCCGCTACTCTGATGCGATATCCTGTGAGAATCAACAGCAAAACCAAAATTTTAGATTTACCAAATTGTAACCAATTGTTAAACAAATACTCCCTCCCTCCATTCCATAATTATTGTCCAGTTTAGAGTTTCATTTTTAGTTCAAATTATACTAAAAGTGAAATCTCAAATTGGCAATAATTTTGGGACAGAGGAAATACTAGAAAAAAAAAAACACAATATAGAATAAGATGAAATCTCCCTTGGAATAACATTAAAACAAAAAGTCTGATAATCCAATGTGATCATGGAAGAGAAAATATACTTTGTAATAATAACAAAGACTTAATGAATGATCAACGTATCTTCTCGATCACTACTCGCTCAAGCCTCTCTTTAAAGAATTCAATGTTCTTATCGCGAAGCTCGTCACTCTTCTCCATACTCTCAGCCCGGAATTCCTCAAGCATTTCAATGTGCAATTTAGTTCTTCTACTGTTATCACTATAAAACACAATAATTTACAACTCCAAAAAAAAAAAAAAACAGTAAAAATTCTTTTCAACAATGATAATAATAGTACATAGATAATACTCTTTCCGTCCTACAAAAATCCATATTTTGCATTAAATCAAAATACGTATAATTCAATGTACATGCCATTTAATTTTTTATTATTCTTAAAAGAATGAGAGAATAATCGTTTTTCAAGAGACATACTGATCTTCAATTACGTAAGCAATCACGGAGGTCACCAATAAGCCTAGGCCAAAACTCGCCAGTTCCATAATCCATTCCATGTCAACTCTGCACATATTGTTGAATTAATAAAGATGATTTATCATTAAAAAGGATAAAGAAAAAGAAAGAAGGAAATACAAGAAAACGAAATTAGACTTCAGTTTTTCACTAAAAGTCATCGTGATTGATAAACTTCATTAATTGTGTACCAGAAATCAATCAAATACCAATAATGATCAATCAAAAGTAAAAGAAAATGAACAACACTTTTTCTATCAACTCAAAAAATAAAAGAGCAAAGAGATTGTTTGTGCCTTTGTCGTCAACCTCCGAATGAGAAAGTGTTGAAAAGAGTATTGCCCGGTTCCGGTGGATGTAGGAGAAACTAAATGAAGCATAAGCACTCATTTGTTTGTTATGTAAACAAGGTTAAAAAACGCAAATTAGTAGTTTAATTTGGGAATAGATTTGTATTGGTTATTTCCTTTCAGAATTTTATTTTATTTTATTTTATTTTTGGTTGGCAATTGCCGGTTGGACAATATCATCAACAATGGTGGCGGATATGATTAATCAACAATGATAGCTAAATCTGATAGGTGACTTATCAATTTTGATAAGGTTGCGTTAATACAAATTTGCTCTGATTTCATCAACATAAGTTTTTGCTCATTTCAGTTTGTACGTTCAACGAATACACTGAACAAAATATTCATTTGATGTCAAACATAGCACATTTTTCAATTTCGTGATTACTTTTCTAATATGGTTGCACTAACACTAACTTGAATCTTGCAGATCAATGGGTGATATTGGAACTATTGAGGAAGGACCTAAAAGGAAAATCCTAGACATTGAACTTGAAGGTACCGTATACAGTGTACTTATACTGTTAAATACTACGTACTAGGTACCTCATTCTTTTAAAAAATTCACCATAACAATTTCAAATTCAATGCCATCTATGAAAGTCATAAGTAAGCCTATATGTATTATTTCATTTTCCAAAATAAATTTCATTGTATTTGTGGCAGGAAGAAAGGGGACCGTGGAGGATCATTGTTGCTCTACTGCCATTAAAGAAGGAGAGAGGTGTAATTTAATACAAGCTATAATGTCTATCTATGATTTAGTAATAAGAGATACATTAGAGACAAAACGTAACCCATATTTTTAATGTGGCGCACAATCAAAAAATTCTAAGTGCCAAATTCCCACGCATTCCCTTATAAATATACAGTATTTGTAAATTTTTGAAAAAGGTTGCCAATATCATGGCGCATTGTAGCTTAGATCGCGGGGTTATCTAAATGAGCCTTATTTTAGAGCCTTATCACATAGGACTTTCAATCAAATCTAATTTAATGGGATACGATCATATATGCAATCAAATACTAATTACGCTATCTCAAAAAAACATACTCCGTCCCATAATTATTGTTCAGTTTTATTTTTAGTTCAAATTATGGTAAAAGTGAAATCTCAAACTAGACAATAATTTTAGGACAGAGAGAGTAATATATATATATATATATGTATACTAATTACGTATAGGAAAGATTGATTTTGAATTTATTAATCTTTAAAGGAGTCATCAATTCAAAGTTCAAATATTTAATATTTTTTTTACATATGATTATTACATTGATGCGTGGAGGCATAAAAATGCTTTCATGTTTGTATCACATGTAATATTTTAATTTATTATTTTTGCGGTCTTATTTACTTTTATCTATATATGTATGACATGCAATGCGGAAGCTTTCCTATTGAAACCCCAAATTCAGAGTTAACTCAATCACTTAAGAAAATCTGCGGAGGCAGAAAGGTTAAAGAAGAAAACACAGCATAATCCTTTCACATAACATTTGGCTGGCATATAGAGAATGACAAATTCCAAAACCATACAATCTAATAAGCAACAGAAGGAACACTTAACCACACAAGTTTATGATCATCATCTTAAAACAGCCAGCAGGTGGAATAAGAATTGAGAATTTGCATCGATACAACAAACTCAGCGAGGGAATAAAAGGTGTCGAAAACAACCAATTGCAAAATAATCATGGCTCTAGAAATGCATGAGATCCCCTTACCCCATCACTTTGGCCTATTTTTCCTGAAAATTAATTCGCCACCGATTCCAACACGGGCAAATTAAGGTAGCCTTGATACATTATGAAAAATTTCAATGAAGAATAAATGGCAGTAACTTTGTTGATATTTTTCTTTCATGGTAAAAGAAAAAAAAAGGCAAAGAAGAAAAAAGAGCAAGGCACTCTAGGGGCTAGGCCTATAAAGTAATACTAGTATATGACAAATTGTAGGGCTGAAAAAGAAGGGGGGTTTGTTGACTGTGGGGATTTGAGGACATAAACAAGAGAAAGAGAAAGAAACTGGACTTTTGAGATGGTCCAATTTTGGGATAGAGTTTTGGCATTGGAAGTTGGAACTAGGATCCTCAAAGCAACGTTGAAAATATAGTGTATCATATTGTTTTTCATATCGTTGAGTGTTTTTTATCATCAAAGTGAATTTTGTGTGTGTGTGTGTGTGTGTTTTTCTTTTTCAAATGATTGGGCCCAGAAAGGGCACTAAATCAAAATAATATGACAAGCCTGATTCTGGCAAAATAGAGCTTTTCAAAGTCACTCATAGCACTAACGAGCTGTCTTTCCCAAACCATTTTAGGGAAACAAAGCTGGGTACATATTCAACTACTTGCATCATCATAAACTTTTCTGGGTCACCAACGAGCTTTTCGATTTCAACTAATTCCAACAAATTGTTCTTAGGATGGAAAGAAAGGGGCACATTATGTCTCAATAGCATCAGGATCTCTCCATTTTCGAAAACTTTAAGAATTTGAACAGCTTCGTAGTAATATACACCCAATCAGGTCAATGGGATGTCTGTCAATCACGAATTGTTTCACCCAAGGTTCTTTAACACCGTACCGTTTCATTATGCATATCATGATTCGGAAGGGTTGTCGCAGACAATCATCTCTGCTGTTGAAGACTTCTGAGCTGGGTAAGTTGTATTTTTCCAGTTCAGGAGGACCTGGAAATGCCCTGAATGCCTCCTTCACATTTGATTATCCGGGTCAGTCAGTTCCCCCCTGTTCATTCTCCTGCAATTCCTGGTAAATCCTGACAACTTTGTAATGACCATTTACGGAGCTTAACCTGAATCCGTGCGTTATGTTCGGATATTTCATCACGCCTCCAGGGCTCCCGGGTCATCGGATTCCATAAACGAACCTCATCTGAATTATGGAAACCCGAATTCGTGAAAACAGAGCAGCCCATTGTTGGTGGAAACCGAATACTCGGGGGAATCCTTCAGGGAGTTTCATCTCTGCACCTGGAAGATGGTAAAAAGTCTTGACTGGCGGGGTCGTTTTCAAGCTCAACCATGTTGAATGAACTGGTGTTCTTGAATACCATTAGAGGGGATTTGGGATGAAGTTGAGAAGGTGAGAATGTCAATGAGGCAAAACAATGTTAAGAAAGCAGCTGGACAGAGTGTAGTTGCATGATAAAGATCAGAAAACAGTAGGACTGACTTAAGAAAGCCAATGTGCCTAAAATATATCAGAGGCGCACACAGTGCAAGACAGCAATGTGTTGCGAAAAACCGACATTCACCGTAGCCATGGTTGGAAACTTGGAATGGCGGAGCTAAAGTACTGTTAGCCATCTTGCGACAAAAGGTTGTTTCCCAGTCTTTATTCCCACTGGATATTTTCAAACAGTTTTGGGTAACGAAGAAGATACCCTTTTCAAAAGTGTGGCAGATAAACATGATGAGAATGTATATCGACATTTCCTTTAATATTAATAATCCAATATAAAAGAGCACTTCATATTATTTTCCTTTGATTCGGGTCCCATTGGAATTTTCCCCTCTACAAACACCAAAATGAGGGAGTGATTTACGATTAATCTGAATGATGACGAGAAAAACCGAAAAGGGTAATGAACTAAAGGATATGATGAGTTGGGTTGCATCGTGATAATGTCCTTAATGATTGCATCAATTTCCTCCTTGATCGTTCCTACACACAGAATCCCGAAATTCCAGAGCAAAATGGCAGTGAATCATGCAACTTTGGTTCTGTTTTTTTTTTAACAACAAAGTTCAATGCTCTGAAATTAATGCCAAAAGATACTAATAATCTGCATGGGAAAATGAAGAGATTTGAGTGAGAGACGCATTGGTTAACTCAAAACACGCTTAATCTCATCAAACCAAGAATCCAATCGGCCTATAAATAGTCCATTCTCTTTGAACTATATTCCTCACACAGCAAAACTAAGTCATTTGCATTCGTATATATATCTACATATTTCCTTCAGTTTGCATTCTCTCTTTTGTGACAGTTCAAGATGAGCGGAAAGGGTTGTTGTTATTCATCATGCAGATCTTCTTCAGCACCAAAGGTTGAGGTCAAGAAGGAAGTTGATGTGAAGCCACAACAAGTAGCTCCTGCGGTTCCTGCTATTGTTCAACATGTTAAGGCTGAGCAGGTGAAGGAAGTTAAGGTGGAGGCTGAGCCGGTGAAGGAAGTCAAGGAAGAGGCTGAGCCGGTGAAGGTTCCCGTCTGCGCGGTGGGGGGAAATCCTGCTGCTAATTAAGAAGCCTTTATCTCGTTGGGGTTTAAGGGGGCCTCCTGCGTTTATTTTTAGTACTATGTTTTCTAAGTACGTGTTGTCAGTCTATTCGTCTTTGTAACTAGTTTATACGTGCGATAGCTTAGATCTTTGATAGATCTACATAATTGCTACTGTCGTGTTATCTTAAGTTTCCCCAAGAAATAATATAAAGATTATAATTATTATTATAGAAATAATGTTTGCTTTCTCTGTTCTTACTTTTTGTTTGATTTGTAATGGCATTTGGAATAAGAACATTTTGTTTAATCAAGCAGCAATATTTCTACTTCTCAATCCGGAAACATTTTAAAGGATTGATGAATGCGCATATCTTTACAGAAACGAGTCCATTTCACATAGAAGATACAATTTCAAAATTGGTTGACTGGATTGGATTCATAAAGATTTCAGCAAAACACTCCATTTTAACAGATGGAAATGTTCAACTCAGAAGATTTCAATTATTTGATTGAATAGTAACAGGCTACATACAGCAACTATTACAGCAATACAAAAAAGTTGAGATTTGGACTTCGGAGGACAGGCACTCAAATTCAAGCCGCATGATCTTCCTGCTATATTGTAGTCATTTCCCTCTATAAACGTCCCTGCAACCAGAAAAAAACAATGAATCCCTCATGAGGATCATTTGGAATTTTTATCAATATGCGAAATAAAGCAGAAGATGAGTTTGCTGATGGTTGTACCCTTTTGAGTAAAGAAGTTATTACAGCCATTATCTAGTGCATTTCCTATAACTGATGTCGAGAGTCCGTTGGTGAAGAGAAAGTTGGAGGCCATATTGTTGATGCAATTGAGCATTGATTTTGTCTCAGAAAAGCAAGGTCCATTGCAGTACTGATTTGCTGCTTCACATGGAATGTTGAGATGCCCGCTTTCGTCTAGTTGGAAATCTTTGTTGTTGCATCCTCTGTATATCTGTTCGGAACATATTTTGCAGATTCAGAACAGAAATCATACCAACAAAAAAGGAAAAAAAAAAAAGAGGGAAAAAAAAATGAACAGAGATGATACTTACTAGCTTATTATTGAAGCACAGCACTGCATTTCCCGCGAGTTGCATCGGGTTTATCTGAGCATTTCCTGTCAAATTCATGCCAAAGATGATAAATTCCATCACCTCCCAAGGAAAAAAAACGATGTTCCAACTCAAAAGTATTACCTAACTGGCTGTAAAATAGAGCAGCGACGGCGATGACAGTCAGAATTCTGCATGTTGTTCTCAAGGAGATTAAGGCTACCATAACACTAAAGGAAGCCAACAAAAGATACAGAACTGGAAACTAATGTCGCTTGTCTTTTTTAATAGTAATAGAGTAGTTTGTACATGAATGGAGGTAGCAGTATTAGTGTATATATACAGAGAGATAATTTATACTTATTATTATCAGGTATATTAGGTTGGTGTTGGTAAGACTAAGGAAGAGGATTAATGTTGGGGAGTTTGGTGATTGAGCAGCCACCAACTCTTTTAAACTTCATTTTTGACCTTGTTTTTTGCTTGTGTTCAGTTGTAAAGTGAAAGAGTTAAAACACTCAAAAGGTGTAGGAGTTCCGTTTCTAACTTTTTGAGGGCCTTTTAAGTTTTATTGAGGTTTTTTTTTCAAAAAAAAAGGCCTAAGAGATGAAGTTTGTGAGTTAGTATTCGTCTCAAAACACTTCCTCCTCCGTCAAAGAGAAATAGTCCACTTCTTGGTGTACAAGATGGAAAAAAAAAAGTCATGGTAAACCTGTAATCTGAAGGGACTGTTGCATTAATCTGTTATAAAATTGAGATCAAAGCAGACTAATTAAGTAAACCAGAAGATAGAAGGGGGAAAAAAACCAATTAAACCAGAAGAAAAAAGGATAAAACAAAAAACCAATAAGTATGGTTGGAGATGCGGGGTATCGATCCCCGTACCTCTCGCATGCTAAGCGAGCGCTCTACCATCTGAGCTACATCCCCAGACATTGGTGGACGTATCAAATAGCTCTATATATTTGTATGTTATTTGCTTTTGTTATTGCCCAGTCCCCCTTTCTTTAATCAATTCAGTATTTGCAAGAAAACTGAAGGTAATTGATCTTTGTTTAGTCAAACAAACTCCGTTAATCTTATTCCTATTCTTTGAAAGGCTTTTATTATTTCTTACTCTCTCCGTTCTGAAATTGTTGTTTAATTTGGATTATTATTTTTAATAAAAAATGAATTAAAAGTGAAAATCTAAATTGGCCAATAAATTTGAAATGGAGGAAATATATTTTTTGAGCTTATACTGTGTGTTATTTTGACAATTCTCAAAGCCTAGCTTAGTTAAATCTTTGCTTCTCTTAAAAAATGAAAAGAAAAGAAAAATATACAAATGTTGCTTTTGAGCAACATTGTGTTGTCCGATTGAGAATATGCGTTCATCCTGTAGAACCTTGATATTTTATAAAGGGAAAATTACAAATGGATCAGTTCATTGAATTTTGTAAATTATGGGGCAAAATTTGTACTGAATTAAGCGTATTTTGGGGGCAATTAATTACCGAAAAAATACCATAAGTTGGGATCCTGTCCTTACTATATACATAAAGTTCAAATCGTGCTTATTAAATGTCATAAGTTGTATTTTTTTTTCATTGTTCCGTCTAAGCACCGTTAAATTTATAACGGTCAATATGTGAATTGTTGATTTGTCAAAAGGGTATTTTTGTCTTTTAAATAAGAATAATTAAAACAAAAATAAAATTTAAAAAAACTATGGATTATTTTTTTTTAAATTGCTTAATTTAAATACTAATATCCACCTAACATTCCCATCCCCCCCTCCCACAGAAAAAGGAAAATCCACTTCATCCCTCACCCCCCGGCCGCACCCTGTCTCTCTTCATCTCACCACCTTCCCCCGCCGCCGCCCCCTCTCTTTCCTCCCCTTTCTTCTTCCCGTCTCCCTTCATCTCTCATCACCTCGGCCCGCCGCCACCCCCTCTCCTTCCTCCCCTTTCTTCTTCCCGTCTCCCTTCGTCTCTCACCACCTCCCCCCGCCGTCGCCCCCTGTCTCTTCCTCCCCTTTCTTCTTCCCGTCTCCCTTCGTCTCTCACCACCTTCACCCACCGTCTCCCTTCGTCTCTCACCACCTTCCCCACCGCCGTCCCCTCTCTTCCTCCCCTTTCTTCTTCCCATCTCTCTTCATCTCTAACCCCGACCCACCACCATCCTAGTTTTAAAATGAGTCACTGACGGATTTCGGATCTGACATTTAATTGCAAAGGTGGAGGCTTCAAATCTTTAACTTCAATCAGATCTGACGTTTAGGGTTTTGGTGTGGTGGTGGTAGCGACATTGGTGGTTGTGGGGATTTTTAATTTTTGATACTGATTCGTGTGTGATTTTGACAGTGGCGATGGTGATTTGGATTTTAGTTTTGTGGTGAATAGGGAAAAAAAGATAAGCTGGGGAGGATTGTAGATTTTGGTATAGAGCTGGTGATGTGGGTTAGTGTCGCAAAGCACGAGAAATAGGGGGAATGTAGCCAAAAAATTGACCAATTTTGGTTTGTTGGTGTGGTGGTGCTTGGTGGTTTTGGGCCGATGGTGGTGGCTCTGTAACAGGGAAAAAATCAATTGGTTTGAAATTGGGACTTGGATGGTAATTGTTAAAAATTGAGACTTGGAATGGTAACTAGTAAACATGGATAAATTAAGTTGATAATAAAAAAAAGTTTTCAGGTGCTATTTCAAGAAAATGAAAAAATGAAAATCTTTACGTTTTTTTAAAAAATAAAATTGGTTTTTTATTATTTATTGAAAATACGAAATCACCTTTTGACAAGTCAACAATTGACTTATTGACCGTTATGATTTTAACTGTTTTTTGGACGGAAAAGCGAAAAAAAAAAATTACAACTTATGGTATTTAGTAAGAATGATTTGAAAATTTTTATTATTTATTGAAAAAAAAAAAGATACAACTTATGAAAAAATGAAAATCTTTACGTTTTTTTAAAAAATAAAATTGGTTTTTTATTATTTATTGAAATTACGAAATCACCTTTTGACAAGTCAACAATTGACTTATTGACCGTTATGAATTTAACTGTTTTTTAGATGGAAAAGCGAAAAAAAAAAAATACAACTTATGGTATTTAGTAAGAATGATTTGAACTTGAGATATATTGAGATATATAGTAAGGACGTAAACATAACTTCTGCTACTTTTGTGATAATTAAGTGTTTTGGGTGATATTCTTCTGCTCCTAAATTGAGTCTGGAGAGTGAAATTTATTGATGGTGCAAACTGCAAAGTAAAAAGGTTCCCTAACAGAGTTACCAGAGGGTGATTTTCTTTCATGATCATTAGTTTCTTCTAGAGTAATGAAACCTCGTGAGTTGTGAGTACTAATCAGAAAAGGAATATAATATCCTTCTCTCCGGAATTACTGTAAATATAACATCGAATGGCGTAGTTGTTAGACTACAAGGTGCTTGGTATGGGGGTTTCATTCCGAGTATATGCCTTTGAATCCATTTGATGGTGCTTGGTTTATGAGAAATGATTCCAACACAGTGGTTTGGTAGGATTTCAAACCCAATTTTTCATTCCACATGAATTTGGTCGGTTTGGAGAAATTAATCATGATAAAACAAAATTTTCTCCCTTTACTTCTGTATTTTTTTCTCACCAATGCTTTGTCATAGCGGCACGCCTCCTGCTTCTCTACCTCAGAAGTCTCGTCTTCTTCATAGTTCTTTCTTCCTCAATTTCAGATATGTAGTCCAGATTGAAGAGCGGATAGCATATTACCACCACAAATCCTGATTTTCGAAATTTTTTTTGCCACTAATAGAATCTCAATTTATCAAGAAGAATATGGTCGCCTCACGCATCCACCGCCAGCCAATCCTCCGTGGTTCTTACCCTTTGAAAACGAAAAGGCTTTTTTTTTTCTTAATTTTAATCTATTGGTTTCATTTATGGCGTCTTTTCTATCGCATGAAAATGAAATAGAGTTAAAGATTTGAATATTTTGGGTTTTGTGAAAAATGGTTGTGAATTATTTGATACAGAAATTAATGATGGTTGATGCGTGATTAGATGAAGGAGAAAATGATGAGTGGTGGGTGTTTTAGTTGGGCAGCCGAGGACATAGAATTGGCAGAGAAGGAGGTGT